ATAGCTGGTCAACGATCGTCGGAAACATGATCTCCTCGGCTTCATTGAGTTCGAACCCGATACCCATAATCCCAACCCCAACCGGACTTTCTTCCGCAAGCCCAAACGTCATATTACTGATTCGCACCTCCGGTGATCCCAAGCCAACCGTCTCGCTTCCTTGACTCCCGAGAACGTAACCAGTCAAATACGTAACATTGAGGATGAACGACTCATCCGTAGCGGTGTAATTCACAAAGGTGGACGAGTTCGTCGGATCGTAAACACCGAGTTGATTGCAGAGAGCAGCATCGGCGCTGTCGTCGAAGGCTGAACAGCTCGCGTTGGTGTTGACCCAGAGATCGGACGAACCGGTGTCGATGATAAGTGTGATATTTTGAGGAGGTGTACCGATTGTGACTAGGCAAAGTGTCAACATCTGAATTTAGCTATCAGTGCGCTCAGCCTGTTTACCGTTGATGAGGTACTCATAGACACCGGGACTAACCCTAACCCTAACCCTAACCGTTTTGTCATCTGACTTGATAAGTTGGTCAGGTATCCCTTTGACGTTTTTCTCAGTTCCTTCGACGAAGTCGACAATGGACATCGCCCCGCCCCAGAATGAAGATACATTGGAGCAGCTCTTGCCCGAACAACTTGACGTACTGGCCATTAGGGAGTTTGAGAGCCAATCATGATGGATAGAAATACATATTATGATATACTCTTGTAGAACCTAACTTATATCTGCCTCACATACTCGTACAAATCACTTCAATTCACACCAAAGGCAGCGCGCGATACCCCCTCCTGGTCTGCTGCCGCCTCCTCGCAAACTCCAACCCATCTGCAAACTCCTCCTCGTGTGTCTCGTGATCCACCGTCCCAGTAATCCCATTATTTCTTCCAAATGTGATAAGCTTGATGCAACTCCCAAACCCAACAACCAAAGAACGCCGTCCGATCTTGCAGACCGGTCCCAAATGATTAAACAATAATGCTTCACCGTCGTCACCGTAATGAGAGATCGCAGTCACGATGACGTCTCCGTTGGCCATCATGGCCCATGCTTCCCACTTTTCTTCCTCAATCATCTTCTTCGAAGGGGAGGACTTTTGGCCCCGCCTTCTCAGTGCACCAGAAACCCCGGCCGTCTCCACAGGCTGCACACGCACCGACTTCAATCCGATGACGAAATTCCCATCGAGGAGTTGCCACTGTCCCGGATCTTTCATCTTATGCGAGCTCTCCTCGGCACTATACAATGCCAGACAGTTCGCCTCAGGATCATGATGCGGACGCAGACAAATGGGTCCATCCTTGCACCGCAAGGTCCTCATCACGAACGCGCCAGTCTGAACTTCCGTGTATGCAATCGTCAACGTTGGCATGGCCTTGAAGCCACAGCTACAGGTCGTTGCCGGTGCAGTAGTCGCACGAAGATCCTTCACTTCGCCTGTTTCGATCGTATGCAGCAGGTCACCAGACGCGGTCGAGTAGATGTCCACCGCGGCAGATCTGCCAACGATGACCAAGTCCATCGCATCCACCGGGATCAACTTCGTGATCGTAGGCGCACCTCCATGCTCCGCCTGAGCCGGAATCTTATGTGTAAGTGTCCATCCACCGTCCGTCCTCTTGACCGCTTCCACGGTATCATCGTTCAACGAAGTAAAGACCTTGAGGGCCGGCTTCCTGCTGTACGTGCAAGTCACTGCACTTTTATCCTCAGCAGCGGACCCGAGCGGATGTCTCACGATACCTCCAGCCGACGTATACTCCACCACCGTCCCCGGTTGATAAACGCTCGCAAACGTGCTTTCTCCAACGTTGCCACCTGCAGCCGCTTTCGCTGCCCGAACGAAGAACGAAGTCATCGGCACGCCTTTCTCAGTCGGCAACACCAAAGGCAACGTGTTGTTCAGAACATTCCACCATAGAATGCACCCCTTCGCGACAGCAACCACGCTCCTTCCCTCGTCATCGACGCTCACGCTTCGCAGCGGCCAGACGCTCTGCACCAACCCTTTCGGCATGGGTAAGCTCTTACTCGTCTTGCCCCACAAATCCCACAACAAGATCCTCCGATCAAGGCCAACACTAACGAGGTGTTGCCCATTCGTCGAAGCCTGAAGCATGACAACATCCAACTTATGCGCCGCCGCATCCATATTCGCAACCTCCAAAGTCTCTCTCTTCTTACCCTGCCCTTCATCCAACTCAACATCCAACTCATACTGCACATCCTCAAACGCCCCCGGCGCAACGCACCTCAAAACAATAATAATTCCACCCCCCAAAATCATGCTCACCGTCATAAAACTCCGAAAATGATTCCGTACACAAGCCCACAGATAAACCGCCGCAGAATCCAAATTCGAAAGCGGAGTCGTATCGATCTTTCGATCCTTGTCCACGACGAAATAGGTTGGATAATGCACCTCCACCAAGAAATTCTTTATATTCGGCGCGATTTGCGTCAAGAGCTCACTGACGGTGGGCATCATCTGCATCGAGATCCATTGCGCGAAAGATCTGATCTGATTCGCCGGCGCCGCGTCCAGGTTGGCTTGTTCTTGCGGACTGAGAGGTACCGCGGGCCGCCTCCACCATATTCTCCAGAACTTGGGCGTGAAGTAATCCAAGAACCCTTGTACGGGTGCCATGTTGTAATGGAGATTCAAGGCGACGACGAAGGACAGGAGAATGATACTCCCAGCCAATCCCTTTCCGAACACCCTAAACACCCACACCACACCCGCCCAAAGCCTTCCCCGCATACTCAGTTCCCCATCCATGCTCCCACGCCTATCAATAGGCAATCTCACCCTCTGATCCCCCTCTTGCGTAATCTCATAATCCTTCATCTCCAACCTCCGAATATCCACACTCAAAATCGCCACGAAATACGTCATGTGCAAAATAAAATCCACAACGATCGCAACAGCAGCATACATGCAAAACTCCCTGACGGCCGTGACGCTCGCCATCGCCAACAACACCAAAATCGCCAAATCGGCACTGACCGCCATCAACGAACTCGCTCCGACATTCCCCATTGCCGTCGCGACCCTCCGACTCGCCGGCAACGAACTCGGCGTCCGAATAACCGCATTCGTCAACCGAAACATATTCTCCACACCAATAACGATAACGACGAATGGATACACCTCACGCGGCAACAACTCCAACTCCTTCCCAAACAAACTCAACAACGTACTCGCCGCCAACAACGAACTAACAACCTGCACAACCGCACTCACCGCCAACCCAACCCGACTCTGCACAGCCCGTAGCCGACGAAGACTCGTGACCATATACCCAAACGTAACCGCATACGCCGCTGACAACACGGCAACATTAACTGTGGTGAGTGGGGTGAGGCGATACTCCAACAACATGGGTTTGAGCGCACTCTCCGGCGTACGCGGATAATGCAAATCCCAGGGATCACCCCCCGCATCCCCCCTCTCCCTCATCTCCTTGACCGAATCATACCAAATCTCTCCACACACAGCCTCCCTTTTAAAAAAATACCCAACGACGGCCGCGTCCGCTGCGATGAGTTGATGATCCGGGTCGTAATATTTGCCCGCAAACACCGTGCCCCAACGCAGTGTCACACCCCACGGACTAACACGATGCGTACCTTCCCGAATCGTCGCCATATAATCCGGATCAGCACGAAATTGCTCACCACCCTCCCAATACAAAAACGGGGAATGCATGAAACAAGTCCCATACTCGCTCGCAAAACACGTCTCGCACAAATCCTCCACCCCCCTCTCCCCCGCCTTCCTCACCATGGTCTCCATCATCGCTTCCTCGATCTTCAACGCTTTGTCGAGGACTTCTCGGTCGAGGACACCCATGAAGCGACCTTGGATCCACATTTGTCGCAGGACGACTTCGAAGGTTCCCGGGTCCGTCGCGGGGGGGAGTGTATCCAGCGGCGAAGAATTCCAGATTTTGAATTGTTCGTGTGGTCTCAAAAAGAAGCTTTGTAATGTCGGATATGAAAGTAGGAGTAGCGTAAACACCGATAACATGATCGTGAGTGTAGGGTGATGCGTGACGTAAAGTGCGAATCGGTAGAAGGAACGACTGTTGTGAGGTTAGCATAAACTGATCCGCGAAAGAAGGAGGAAGGAAGCAACGGTACTTGAGTGAATCCTCCTTGAGGGAACGGGTATGCCCGTTACGCGTCCTCCACCACGTCCACGGCCAAAAGACCAAGCTCATGATCATCTTGCAGAACTGTGTGGTACGCCAACACAGACGTCACTGTCAACGAAAGCCGATCTCTTATAACAATCCGTGGTAATCGCTGTTGCAATCGCTATCGCAACTGCTCCTGCAACAACCTGCGTTTCTTCAATTGTCGTCGATCACCGAAACCCTGCAGAATCCTCGGCTAACTACTGATCCCCCCTGTGGATCGACTCGGATGCAGCAGCTGGCTAATCGCACACTGCGGACTCTAACTCAAATTCGTCTCTTTGCCTGGCAAGTGTCAACCCAATAGCAACCGTACTTGTGTCGTGCGTCTCGCAGGAACTGCCGGGGTGAGTGCTTGAACCGAGGCTAGTGCGCGTCGACCAATGAGCGGTGGCGAGGATAGCAGACGGTAACAAACGCAAGAGGAGTGGACGGTGACTGACCAGATCGACCTCCAGCTGCGAGTGAGGAGGGAGGGTGATCTGGTTGCGGTATGGGCACGTCGTCGGTTTAATTTGCGGCTGCCTGCACGAGACACGGGTACGCGCGCTGGCGAACAGCCGGGTTGAGACGACGATGAACGTCCTCCGCAATGGGCATTTAATGATGGGTCGTATGTAGCCTGTATGTGACGGCACGACTGTCTGTTCTACTGATGGAGGCGTTGAGCTGAGGAGTTGTTCCGCCTCATGACAGCAGAAGCTCAGCTACGATGTGGACTGTATCCATCTGGTCGCACCCCTAGGCTCTCCCGGATAATCTTCCATTGCGACCCCACTACCACCACAACGCAGTCCCTACGTAGGGCCCCCTCGCCGATCTATCGATACAACGTCCCTTCGTAACCCGCCTCCCCCAATCACAATCGTATCCAGAACATACGCACCGCACACCTCATCCTCCCCCCCCACGAACCACAATCATGCAATCTACCCTCCAAAACCACTGCGTATTCCCTCGTTTGTTATCGACGTCCTCAATTGCACGGTGGCTACCCACCTGCTCATCGCCTACGTCCCTCGTGTATGCGCACGGGTTTCCTGCGCGTGCGGTTGGCAGAAAAGTCCGGTAGTCCGGTGGGCGTGGGGGCTCGAGCTCGGGTGGGTGCGTGCGTGCGTCCCAAAATCTGAAACTCGACGGTATGCGCTGGGGAGTAATTTCATGAAGTTACAGCGCGTGAATGGTTCGAATTGGGTTTGTGAGTTGGACTTTTTTATGATGTGAAGCACCCTCGGGCGTGTGTACAACCTCCAGCGGCAAATCATGTTCATATGTGTCGAACGAAAGGCCAAGGATATCGATGCATATAATCATGCTGTCTCCAAGATCTAACATTAACATTAAGCATGCCCATCTTCCGGTCATATACGCTTGTCGATCACACCAGAACTCCACTCAACCCGAACTCTCGCTTAATCACACCACTCCGCATGGCGAGCTCTCATACGAAAACATCGACACTTCCCAAACTCGACTCGATGACCCTCCAGACAATGCTATGGACCTATACGAGTGCCACGAAGGCAAATCTGATTCGAGTATGATGCTGCCGTAGTTTACCGGTAAGGGAGTTGAAGGGTGATGGCACGCAGCGCAATGAATAATGTCGAGGAAGACCATGGCCACCGATGGATGCAGTTATACAGGAACGAGGGGGTGAAGTGATACAAAAAGAATCGTCAACTGCTCGTAACAAGCTATATTTCAATTCCTAAACCGCTCTTCTCTATACCAAGAGAGCGAGAAGAGAGCAAACGTTCCTCGCCCCAATTTTAAATCTTAGAAACAAAAGACTCCGGTGCCTGTTGAGAGGTAAACCCGAATGGAAAACGCCGATGAGAGAAAAACCGTATGTGTTGAACAAACACCCAACCCAGGACAAAAATCAAATCAAAACACAAACACAAACCCGACCAATCACCTCATCTCACACAAAGAGAGGCGGAGACCGTTTAGTAACGGTAGTGGTCAGACTTGAAAGGACCCTCAGCAGGGATCCCCAAGTACTTACTCTGAACATCCGAAAGCTTCGAAAGCTTAACCCCCAACTTCTTCAGATGAAGTCTGGCGACCTCCTCATCCAAGTTCTTCGGGAGCATGAAAACACCGATCTCGTACTTGCCCGGGTTCATCCACAACTCGATCTGCGCCAAGACCTGGTTGGTGAAGGACATGGACATGACGAAGGAGGGGTGGCCAGTGGCACAGCCGAGGTTGACCAAACGACCCTCGGCAAGGAGGATGATGTGGCGGCCGGAGGGCATGAGGTAACGGTCGACCTGGGGCTTAATGTTGGAAACAGATGAAGCGTTAGCCTTCAACCACGCAACATCAATCTCGATGTCAAAGTGTCCGATGTTACAGACGATTGCGTCATCCTTCATGTTGGCAAAGTGCTCGCCGGTAATGATGTCACGGCATCCAGTGGTAGTGACGAAAATGTTTCCGAGGGAGCAGGCTTCCTCCATGGAGGTGACTTCGAAACCCTCACAGGCGGCTTGGAGGGCGTTGATGGGGTCGACCTCGGTGACGAGGACGCGGGCGCCCATACCGCGGAGAGCGGCGGAACATCCCTTACCGACATCACCGTAGCCAGCGACAACGGCGACCTTACCGGCGATCATGACATCGGTAGCACGCTTAATACCATCGATGAGGGACTCACGGCATCCGTACAAGTTGTCGAACTTGGACTTGGTAACGGAGTCGTTGACGTTGATGGCAGGAACACGGAGGTGACCCTCCTTCATCATCTTGTAAAGGTGGTGGACACCGGTGGTAGTCTCCTCAGAGATACCACGGCAGTCGTTGAGCATCTCGGGGTACTTCTCGTGAACGAGGGCAGTGAGGTCACCTCCGTCGTCGAGGATCATGTTCAAGGACTGACCATCCTTGAAGGACTTGAGCTGCTGCTCGATACACCAGATGTACTCCTCCTCAGTCTCACCCTTCCAGGCAAAGACGGGGATACCGGCAGCGGCGATAGCAGCAGCGGCGTGGTCCTGGGTGGAGAAGATGTTGCAGGAAGACCAGGTAACCTCGGCACCGAGGGCGGTGAGGGTCTCGATGAGGACACCGGTCTGGATGGTCATGTGGAGACATCCGGCGATACGGGCACCAGACAAGGGCTTGGAAGCACCGTACTGCTCACGGAGAGCCATGAGACCGGGCATCTCCTGCTCGGCAATGTCGAGCTCCTTGCGACCGAAGGCAGCGAGGCCAATGTCGGCGACCTTGTAGTTCTCAGCGGGAGCAGCCATTATTGTCTTGTAGTATGGGTATGGAGGTTGGGCAGGAATGTGCAATTGGCTCGAGGCGGCGGACTTTATAAGGAGGTTAAATTTCGCAGTGAGCGGTTTCAGGGGTACAAAGCTGACAGCGCATCGATCGAGTGAAGCTCACGGCCGTGCGGGTAAAAAGGACTCGTGAATTGCAATAAAAGAAAAGATAAATAAAAACTTTTGATGTGCGACGAGCTCGATAGTAAACTCGACTTCGCTGTGCGTTGTGTGATGTGATCATGATCATAATCATGACTCCCATCGTTAAAAAAGACCCTTTGTGCAAGAAGTAAAACAATGAAACAAGAAAGCAAACCATTTGTATGTCGATCGATGCAAAACGGAACAAAACCAGTAATCATGCAATTGCGCTCTTCACGCCTCCCAAACCACCAACAATTACCCTTCAGATGCAGGCAACAAATCAAGCCTGAACCTCAGCAACAACCTCCGTCTTCTCCTCCTCATGTACACCGTTCACCTTAACATCCTCCTCCTCGACCTTCTTCTCCTCAGCACCCGCAGCCGCACCCGCAGCAACAGGCGCAGGCCTCTCGAAAACCAACCTTTCCGCCTCAGGCACAACCCACATCTCCCACCCCTCCCTCTTCCTAGCCTTCTCACCATCCTGACTAACCTCAACAATCTGACTTCCCCTACACGCCTCCCGGACAACCTTCTCATCGAGCGTCAACTGCTTCACGCGGTTAAAGTTAGCCAAGAAGGCAACAGCGACCCAACCCTCGCCGTCCATATGTCTTCGGAGGAAGAGGTCCTTGCAGAGGTTGTCGAGGGAGAAGTAGTAGTCACTACAGACAATCGTTAGCCATTGTGCATCCAACAGACGGAATATTTAACTCACATTTGTCCGAGGATGTACGGCCTCATATCCCACTGCTGCATCTGCTGCATCTGCGCCTGCATATCCCATCCACCCCTGTACTGTCCACCCATCCTTCCACCACGTCTCTGGCCGTGATGCTGATGTTGGGGTGCACCGGTGTACATAGGTCCACCGCTGACACGGTTGTTGTTGTTGAACTGCCTCGGCGGGCGGGGACCACGCTGCTGTTGCTGCTGCTGCTGAGCGGGTTGCTGCTGTTGTGCGTTCACACCATTCGCGACGACCTCCTCCTCCTTCTTGTTCTCAGCCGGAGCAGCAGCCGCATCAGAAGCCTCCTCCTTCTTCTCGACGGCGGCAGTCTCAGCGGACTTGTCCTGAGCCTGCTGAGCCTGGGGCTTCTTAGCACTCTGGCTTCCCCGCCTCTGTCCCTGAACTCTCTTTCCCTGCTGCTGTTCACCGCCCTCCCTGTTCTGTCCTTGCCTCCTCTGACCCCTCTGTTGCTGTTGTCCCTGAGCTCCTTCCCGCATCCTCTGTCCCTTACCCGGCAATGGAGTAGCATGCACGATCGTAGGCGTAAGACTGACCCACTTCTCCTTCTTGTCCGCCTTGGCGGTGGGCTTCTTCGTCTTCTTTGGCGCTTTTTGGTCGGCGGATTTGGCGATGTCGATGGTGGGGAAGGAAGACTGGTCGTCGAATGCGAGATCGGCAGCAGCGGCGAGGGCGGCTCCGGGGACAGATGTAGGGGCTGGCAAAGATTCGTCGTAGACGACTAGAGGGGACTTCTTGGGCTTAGGTTCCGCAGGAGCAGCGGTTTCGGTCTTCTCCTCCTTCTTTTCGTCTTTCTTGTCATCCTTCTTTTCAGACTTGGCTAGAGGCGAAAAATTAGCATTGAGCCCCGATTGACCGAGTAATTGCGCCATACCATCATCCTTCTTGGACTTGCTACCCTTCTTCCCTCTCTTCTCCTTCTTTTCATTGTCCTTCTTCTCCTCCTTCTTCTCGACCTTCTCCTCAACGGGTTCCTCGACGGTAAGAGCAGGCGCCGGTGCACGCTTAGCCAGCTCCTCCGCTCTCACTTTCCAGATGTTGACCTTTGGTGCCGGAGCAGGAACGAAAGGCTTCTCCTCCTTCTCAGCAGCAGCGTCGGCCTCGACATTCTCGGTGTTGACGGTAGCAGCGTCGTCAGAAGACTCAGTAGAAGCAGCGACGGTAGAAGACTCGACAGAAGCGGTCGAAGACGCAGTCTGGATAATAGGGACCTCAACGGCCGGGGCAGCGGCAGTAGAGTCTTGGGCAGTCGTTTCTGAGTTCATGATCTTTCAACGAACAACGACGAAAGCTGAAAGGATCTTGTGAGGGTAATGTGATGGGTAAAGTCGAAAAACGATACGGTACGTTCTGGTCTAAAACTGATTCGAGAAAATCGCCGTAACGTGTAGGTAAATCTGCGGGTTGTGTAAGAAAAAAGCTGTGCGCTGGAGGAAAGAAGTAGAGAAAGTTCGCCGGTCCCGGATCGACAAGAAACAAACAGACGAAGCTCGAGACGAACGGTACCGACGAGGGGTTAGGAAAGAGGTAGACGAACCGAACTCGAAGAGAACTGGAAAGGTCGATCGAATCGATACCTTGATATGAGGGGTGATTTGGGGGTGGTGGTCACGTTCAGGGTTACTTGCGTTTTCGTACACCTTAGAGCCAAACTTTTTCGCGGCGTCTATTCAGGGCACAAACTGCGGATCCCTAATTACCGGAGAACGGAGGTGATCGGAAATCCCTTTGGAATCAACGGGTAATTGTTACAGGATGAATGCTAGATAGGAATGGCAGAAACGGAATACTTAGACGTAAAGATGTATCTGGCCGTCGATTGCGAGAGTCCATCGGCCGCGGAACGGTGTTCCGATATTACATCCGATCTTGCATTGAACGGCGATAGGATAGCAATTCATGCATCGTCCTGGCCTGTTATCGCCAATTAACTGACATCTTGATTTCCGCCGAGATACGTTCTCAATCGCCTGCTTTAATGGCCATACCGGGCATGAGTGGGCCGTGATTTGTCATTCTCATGAGATCCCTTCATCTCGCCGCCACACCTGATCCGGGCTAAATGCTCACCCTCGTTGACATTTCCATCTCATAAGATATCTTTGGTATCCATCCTCCCTCCGCCTTCCCTTATTCATGACCTCAGCCAAGCTTCACTCCTCAAAAGTCAATCCCAACCCTCCTCGCAACAATACTCCCACCCCACCGAATAGCACCCGCTCCAAACGGAAAGTAACTAACCAAATACACCACCAAACACACCACCTGCACCGCCGCACTCACGACCGTCAATATCGTACTCTGCAATCCCAGGGCAAAGTAGATGGTGAGAACCATACTCGTGAAGTACGTCGCCGTGAATGGAATTCGGGAGCCGGAAAAGAGGTGTTTGAAATATGAGATCGGACCTTGGAGAGCTGCGAAGGAGGAGAGGAAGAGGAGGGAGCCGACGGTCCAGAGCATGACGAATCTGTGTAGGAACATGTCAGCCATTACTGCTCTATGGGATCGTTCCCACCGGCCAGCTCCGTAACGTGACGTATGCCAGTACGCAGCAGTCAATGCGATGGGAAAGGGTTGGAAAGACGTACTTTCTCGGCTTTAGGACCAACACGGGCATCATCAAGAACGCGACCAAGAAACATACCGCTGCACCAAGGATACACGCTCCAAAGATCAGCAACCTATGCCACACGATTAGCCTCAATCCTCAAAAACACGCTCCCGAGCAGAGCCTCGTAAACCCCATCCCTGCTCAGCATGTCAGATTGCGCAAACTCACCTATCCCACCGACTCAACCTAATCCCAAACCAACCCTGATCCTCCTCTTCTGCCCCAATCGGCAGGTAATCCCTCGCTCCATGTGGTACCATCCCTCGTAATCTACTTCCCCATCCCTCATTCGTCGACGCAGTCGTCGGCGGAGGTAATTGATCCGATTGTCGGTCCCAACCTAAGGAGGAGAGGCCGGAGCGGAATGCTGATTCCTGGAATGCGGTGAGTATTCGATGCCAGAGGATTGATCCGGACCGAAATTATACGTACGGTATTCGAAGTCATTGGGGCTTGATTCGCGGTCAATTGGTTGGTTCTTTGTTGGACTTGCGCTCGTCGGAGTGGCTGGACGTACGTGCGGTGATCATGACGCCGGGACGTATGTACATGTATCTGCCAGGGATTGCGAACATTGGAAAGACCATGAGACCCGAGACGGGCGAACCGTGAAATTTCTCTCTTCCCTCGAAAACCCTTCTTCTATTACCAGTCATCCGACTCTACCACACACTACTCCTCCTACATGCACAAAACCTCGACAACATCCTCCCACTGCCCCTGTCCTTGGGGTGGTGGAGGATAAACAACACTGTTGTTGCTGAGCCTGCTGAGGCTGCTGAGGATATCCCTGCTGAACAATTCCCTGAGCCTGAGGCTGTGCCTGAACCCCAACGGGGACCCTCCGCCCCGACTGCATGGTCCCACCAGACTCTGTCGTCTCTGCTGCTGCGGCACGCCCTGTGGCCAACTGTCCTGGTGTTCCCGGTGTAGGTGCACGTGCCTCTTCAGACATGTATTGTGTCACGTATTCAGGATTTATAAAGCTATGAAGTTCTTTTCATTCTATACCTTAAGCCGTGCGTCCCTTCGCACATTGCCGAACAGCTGAATTCGAAACCCGGGCCCTTCATGATCGGTTGCCAATTGAGGCTCGCGAACGAGGCCTGCACTTGCAAAGTTCATTTCCATGGAACTCTCAACTTGTCACCTCCATATTTCTCCGCCTTCTCTGTTCCCGACCACTTTGCTCAGCCTGGATCCTCAAAGGCTTCGCCTCTTTCTGTCCTTCTTCGTCCACATGCCACGGTCTCTCTTCAATTCATGACCTTCATCACTCAAGGCCGACATCTGTTAAGCCTCCCCTATATTCCTTCTTTCAAACCTGGACAACATATCCCGGATCCCAAGTGCCCTCGGGCTCTGATGGGTGCCTCCCTCCCCGTTGATTACTCACAACCCTGATGCCACCGACTATCATGTCCACATTCTTGTGCGTATGCCCAAATGCCCAGACATCAACACCTTCCCAGCCAAGACTCTCTGCTTGATAGCCATGACTATCGCTGTCGTCACTGCAGCACAAGACATCCGTGGCAAACCCGCTCACATGCGGACTAGCCTCATATCTCTCCGGGCTCGTCCCTTCCACCAGCGGCGCATGATGCGTAGCGACAATTAACTTTCTTCCCTCATTCCTGCACTTTTCAATCTCTCGCCGGAACCACCGTACTTCCTCCTCGTGCTCAGCGTTATGCTTATCCACCGTCCACCCCTCGACAAGTCCGAATTCTGGCATGCGGTCCTCGACGATCTGGCGCTTATCGGGTGGAATGTTGGAGAATAGGGTACACCCTAACACAGTCGTTCGTTCGTCGATGTCGACTCGACGCCGCCACATGATCTCCACGGCACTTCCTCCGTTCTTCGCACTTTCGGCCGCGACGGCTTCGATCACGGCTCTCGCCTGGTCCCAGCTCGATGCGAGGGGTTCGTGGTTCCCTAGAACCACGAGAATCCTCTCCCAGCCCTCCCCTGTTGCTCTTCTCTCTGCTAGAGACGACAAAAAGACCGTGTAACGGGAATCATTTGCCCGACCGATATCCCCGCATATCAGCAGTGTAGGGGCAGTGACTGGGATTTCGCATTCATAGCTTGTATGTAGATCAAGGTGTAGGTCGGATAACAACTGTATTCGTGTCATGGCTGGGTGTTGGGCTCAGGGGTATCGAGGTCCGAAGAAGTCTTTGTCTACGTTACGGGTGGTGTATGACACTAAGCCCTTTCCGGCAAAGGCATTTGTGTGGGTTTATTGACGGTTGCTATGCTTGCCAGGACCTATCTGTTAGGGTTGAGCATACGTCTCCACTCTGTGAGAGAAACCGCAACTTTCTGGTTGCTTCGTGTGGCAGAACCCGGCCGCTCATAATTTCCCACGCATATACCGGTACGCCTTGGACAATGACAGCCAAATGTATTCAACCGAGGCCACAGTAGCAGATCGTTTGGGACATTCACAAAACCTCTAATGTGAGTGAAGCTCCCAGTGTAGCGTTGTGTTCTCTATCCCGTGAGAGGCACTCTGTACTTTGTTCGTGAATGGCAAAGACGAATAAGATTCTCCAATACTATCGTACACGCCCCCAATCACGCCTTTACCTCAATCTAATACCACCATCCGTCTCAATAACCTGCCCCGTCAAGTTCCCATCCCTCATCGCATACAAATACGCCTGCGCAACATCCTCCGGCATCCCCACGCTCCCCGTCAACGCCGCCTGCCCAACCCCAGCAACCAACCCATCCCTCGCCTCCTTCGGAAGTCCATCCCAGAGCTCGGTCAACACCGCACCGGGAGAAACGCAGTTAACACGTACACGGAGAGGAGACAACTCGACGGCAAGTCCCGACGCAAGTGAGAAATTCGCGCCACAGAGTGCGGAGGTGAGGAACCATCCCGGCTGTGGCTTCGCGCCCGCGAGACCGGAGGAGAAAGTGATTGATCCACCCTCGCTGATCAACTTTTTCCCAGTCAAAACCTTCACAGCCAACACGAACGCCGTGAACCTGATATCAAATGCAGGCGCGAGCGAATCCTTCGCGAACCCATCGAGGGACATATTGGGGAGGGCATCACCCGCCGTCCAGACCAAATGGTCGATCTTACCGGTCTTCTCGAAGAGGGACTCGAGTTCTTGCTCGGTAGTGGCGGATTTGAGGTTGATTGCGTATCCGGTAGCTTTGGGGGAGGAAAGACGCTCGAGAGCAGAGTCGATACGGGGTTGAGAGGAGGAAGCGATCACGACGGAGGCACCGAATTCGAGACAGGCCTCGGCGACGCAGAAGCCGATACCGGAGGAACCGCCAATGATAACGACCTTCTTTTCGTTGAGCTTGTTGTACTTGGACATTTTAATGATGGATCGAGGATCAAGGGGGAGGTCCGTGCCGTTTTATTTCTCTCGAGGACTTTTGTGGGGAGGTTTTGGAGGTTATGTAAGCGTGCAGCCAAGCTCGGCATTCGGAGGAGTGTTGTGCCGAGATGCCGTCGATCTCCCGCCTCGATTTTCCAGATAAGGTTGATCAAAGGTACCGGTATGTATGATTTTATTAGAAAACGAACAGCGAGAAGGAGTAAGCATAGCCGGGGCTTTCGTACTCTTCGACATTGCCCGTGTTGGGTGCCGACTCTGGCTGTGCACCGGTGTATGCGTATGCAATGGATGAATCTCAATTCGAACCTTGGGTATAAGAATGCCGAGTTACTCATACACTCTCCTTCCTCCTCCTCACGCAACAATCACCCGTGCCTCCTCCGCTCACCGCACACTTCCTACCACCCCTCAACCTCATCCGCCCTAATTCCTTCACCCAAACCCCACCTCCAGCCCTTATCAAGCAGGTTATCCATCTCAGCCTCCATCCTCTTCCTATCCCCTTGTCCTTGTTTCTGTCCCTGTCCCTGCTGTCCTTGTCCGTAACTTTGTCCACTCTTCGTACTGTGCCGGGTCGGGGTTAGCTTAGCCTGTCCAGACCCTCTCGCGGTTAGCATACACTGGTAAGATGTAAAGGGTTGGGATGGTTATGACATACCTCACCCGAACCAAAGTTTGAAACGATACTTGCACTTTCCCTCAAGCCAACACTCTCCTCGCTCCCAACACCCTGACCCACATCCAGATCCCCAAAATCGAACTGCGCCTCCCGCTCGCCATGCTCCTGCTCATCCGCACCTAAATCAATATCGCTCTCAGATGAAGGCGGTGAGGAGGGACTCATGTGCCCGACGGTATGAGCATGAACATGAGCGTCATCGTGTTCGATGTCGAGGTCGAGGTCCATGGAGTCGTCTTTGTTCGTGGAGGTGTCGCGGTCTGGGGAGATCATACTGTACGGTATTGTCGCGTAGTTGGATTACCGGTGAAGTGAGGAAGTGTTGTGAAGGGATTAATTGGGGGTCGTCGATGATGTGGGGCTGCAGGAGACGTACGTGTAACGTAGACACCAACACCCCATGAGATATTCGAAGAAAGAAAACACTAATACAATATCGTTCGCAGTAGCTTCCAAAGGGTATATCGTTCGTCACTGACACGAGTCTCGGGGAGGAATGTTTATGGGTCCGAGACGGACTTTTCCCACAGCCATGAAGCACTCGCAGATGAAGCAATGTAACAAACAGTATCATTGATATCCACATCTACACAAGAAAAACTATCTCCAAGCCCACTCACTTATTCTCCCACCTTTATACACTCCGCCAACATCAACGATATCGTACACTTGCCTCATCCCGTCCAATCAAATCTTACTCTTCTTCCCAATCAACCCAAGTTTCTTCATAACCCCCCCTAACGCCCCCTGCAACTCCCCTTTCTCAAGCTCCCTCCAATTCCCCTTCGCCTCAGCCAAAATCCTCTCCCTCCTCCCCCACTCACACGCAACCCCCCCCCTAAAACTCTGCTTCGTCCCTGCACGGCCTGTCGCGGGAACGGCGACGGCTGCGGTGCACAATTCCTCCGCACGGGTGAGGAGAAGCGGACGTGATGCGACGAGTTCGTCGACAAGTCCCGAGGCGAGTGCTTCGTCCCCATTCATGAACGTTCCCATCGTACAGACGCGTTCAGCAGTCCTCCTCCCCACGAGCGTCTCCATCAGCTTATGCCAAAACCCCGGCACCGCAATCCCGAGCATAGCCTCATTAAGCCCAATCGACAAATCCCTCGTCGCAATCCTCCTATCCGCACACATCGCAATCGCGCACCCACCCGCCGGACACGCTCCCCCAACCGCCGCAACGACAAACAACCTCGTCCCATACAACCTAGCCAAACACTCATTCTGCAGGACCCAGTACTCGGTATACCTCGCTTCTGTCGTCATGGGCGCATACAACTCCCGCAAATCATTTCCGGCCGAAAAGACGGGTTTGGTGAGGGCGGAGGAGATGATGAGGGCGTGTGCGGAGGAGGTTGATTCGGCGAGCGTGAGGGCATCCAGGATGGCGCGCCAGAGGGGAGCGGTGAGGGAGTTGACGGGGGGTGAGTGGAGGGTTAGGTGGAGGATTGCGGGGTTGATGGTGGATGGGGCGAGGGTGAGGAGGGGAGTCTCGATGAGAGGTGTTGTCATGGTTGTCTTCGTACGATTGCTTGCCTGGGAGGATTTCTAGGTCTGCTCACTTGGTAGGGTCTTGCAGGGCGCTCGGTACGTGAAAGTGCGGGGCCGCCGCGGATCGATAGCCGTCCGATGACTTCGCGTGATGATAAAGAGGATCAATGGAAGGTATTTCTGTGCGAACATTCATCTTTTTAGAGGACAATTCAGAAGCTTTGACTTCAATTGGAACGCAGACAAAATATCTGTACTGCGCTCGCAACGGTGTCGGTGAACAAAACAGAAATCAACATTGAAGCTATAGCAAACTCGGAATAGACGGTATAAGTGATATAACCTCTGGAATTCTCCTCTCCCACTTCATCTTCTCACTCTCTTCTTCTCTGGCTCTCAAACAAGGAACATTTCGCACGTTCCGTCTCTACCTGGTACTCTCAGTCGTCGTCCACCCCATCATTCACATCAACCGGCTCCACCTCCCAAATCTTCTCCGCATACTCGCGTATCGAACGATCACTGTGTGACTGGTTAGCCGGTGCGTTACAACCTGCGTGTCCATGCTAACATACCTGGAGAAAAATCCCATCTTCGAGACTGCGGTGATACACTTCTGCGTCCATCCAGCTTGGTCGCGATAAGCCTCATCCACCAAATCCTGGGCATGCAAATCTAGTCATCACATCATTAGCCATCATCGCAAGATGCAGGCAGGGTAGGGACGAACAAGCCCCAAAATCATCACTGATCAAATAATGATCCCGATCCCCCCTAACCGCCTCCACCAACTCCCCAAACTCCCTCCCATCCCCAAAAGTCCCCTTCTCAATCTCCCTCACAACGACCTCCAACCCCGGATCCATCCTCACCTTCCCATACCGATGCGCAAACCTCAGATCCTCCACATCCTCCGCCAAATTCCCAAACAAAAAGATGTTTTCTTCCCCAATCTCCCTAACAATCTCGACATTCGCGCCATCGACCGTCCCGATGATGAGTCCACCGTTGAGGACGAACTTCATATTCGAGGTTCCGGAGGCTTCGGTGCCGGCTGTGGAGATGTGTTCGGAGATGTCGTTGGCGGGGATGATCAGCTCTGCTTTACTGACGTTATAATCCGGCACGAAGACGACTTGCAATAACCCCTCCACCTCCGGATCAGCATTAACGACCCTCGCAACAGCATTAATAAACTTAATAATCAGTTTCGCCATCCTATACCCCGGCGCAGCCTTTCCACCAAAAATGCAGACGCGTGGTACGACATTCCTCTTCTCGGCGGGGGACATGGCGCGTAACCTCAACCACCGAGATACGACACCATAGATATTCAGTGTCTGGCGTTTGTATTCATGTATACGCTTTACCTGAACATCCCACAACGCATCACAATTGAGCGCGATACCTGAGACTTCCAGGACATGGGCGGCGAGACGCTGTTTATTCCGATACTTCACCTCCCTCCACCTCTTCCCAAACTCCTTATCTGTAGCGTACTGCCCAAGTTCATGAAGCGCAGTGAGGTCCGTCAAAAACTTTGTCCCAATCTTCGACTGAATGAGCGCGGTGAGGCCAGGGTTCGCCTGATACAACCACCGCCTCGGCGTAATCCCATTCGTCACATTCAAAAACCTATCCCTCCCAAAGACTCTCACGAAATCCTTAAAGATGGTCTTCGTGATCAAATCACTATGCAACTCCGCAACCCCATTGACCTTATGACTCCCCACCACCGCCAAATGCGCCATCCTCACCATTTTGACGTGGCCTTCCTCGATGATGCTCACTCTCCCCAGCAACTCGCGGTCATCCGGGAACTTCTTCGACACATCCGAGAGAAAGTGCCAATTAATGAGATAAATCAGCTCCATATGCCTCGGCAGCAATCGCTGAATCATCCCGACTTCCCACCTCTCAAGTGCTTCAGGTAATACAGTATGATTCGTATGCGCAAACACCCCCACAACAAGCGGCCACGCCTCCTCATACGCCATCCCCTCCTCATCCACAAGTACCCTCAACAACTCCGGTACAGCCAGTGTCGGATGCGTATCATTCAACTGAATCGCAACCTGCCTTGGTAACTCTCCCCACCCTCTCTCCGTCTTCCTGAACCGGCGGAGGATGTCGTAAAGCGACGCACGAATCCAAAAGTATTGTTGTTTGAGCCGAAGCTCTTTTCCGACGTAGACGTTGTCGTTTGGGTAGAGGACTGCGGAGATGGTACCGGCGCGTTGTGCGTCGCGGACGGATTCTTCGTATTCGCCGCGGTTGAAGCGTTGGAAGTCGAATTCGATCGCGGGTTTGGCTGACCATAACCTCAGGTTATTCGTCGTGTGATTCGGGTGGTTCCCCTCAGTGGGAACATACCCCGGAATAGGCACATCATACGCAACAGCCCAAACCTCCTCCCCACCAACCCACCTCCTCGCTTCCTTCGACATCTCCTCCCTCTCCCGCTCCTCAGCCCCGACATCTTCGACCCAGCCGCCGAAGCGGACGAGGACGCGGACATCCTCGCGACGGACTTCCCACGGGTATCCACTACTCAGCCAACCCTCCGCAACCTCGACTTGTTCCCCCTCCCCCCCAATTTCCTGCCGAAAGATTCCGTAGTCGTAACGGACGCCGTACCCCCAGGCCGGATAATTCAGCGTCGCGAGTGAATCGAGGAAACACGCCGCTAACCGTCCCAGCCCGCCATTCCCAAGAGCTGCATCAGGCTCCGCATCCCCGAGCTGCGCAAGATCCAACCCCAAATCCGCGAGTGCTTTGGCGAGGAGTGGTTGGAGGTGGAGGTTGGTGAGTGTAGACGAGAGTGTCCTCCCCAACAAAAACTCCAAAGAGAGATAATAAACCCTCTTCCGATCAACCCTCGTATGCGCCTGCTGCGTCATATTCCAATGAAGGATCAAACGATCCCGCAATGCCAAACTCGTCGCGAAATAAGCTGTCCAGATATCCACCCCCCTTACCCCGAGAAGCGCGGAATGAGCGAGAGACGTCTCGACATGCCTGATAAAATCCTTTTGAAATTCGGGACTCGTGGACCAATATGGCGTCAATGATAGCGACTTCCAGAGGTTGTCGATGGATTCGAGGGCGGCGTCTTCGGCGGCGGAGATGGAGGGGCGGCGTTTGCTGAGGCCGGTTGGTGTGCGTTTGTGGAAGCGGCGGGGGTTGATGGGCGGGGTGCCGGTGTCGATGGAGGTGGGGCGAGTGGATGTGCGGTCGGAAGGTTGGGGGGATGGATCAGCGTCGCGATCGGGGCCGAATTGGTGTGTGTGTGTTAAGCTCATTGATCCCTGGCGTTGTATGGAAAAGATGGAAGAATGGATGGATGGGAGAGGATGGGATTTGTAGACGGAGGGTGGACGTGGTTGACTCGTCACCTGTCGACATGTGCGGGGAATCATGGGAAGGTTGAGCCGCGGAACGCATGATTACCTCTTCAATCTATATACCACAACCCGAAATCGTTTTTTACCCTCTCCCCTTCCATCCCCTAAGCTTAAGCGTCAACACCGTTCTCTGTCTTCTTCCAGGCCTCAACCATATCCCACCCCCTCTCCTCCGCCTTCCTTACATACCCCTCCACATCCCCACCCCAAGTCCTCACCAACTCATATCCCTTAACAAGATCACCAGCCTTCACCCCGTCGACCTCAACGATCTTGAGTAGGGTTTCAAATGCTTTGTCGGTGGAGGAGATGAGGTGGTATGACTGGGCGGCGGCCAACAACCCCGCTGAAGTACCGGGGAAAGAAGACTCGATGAACGACGCGAGGTCGGTGGAATCGGGTAGAATGGTTTCGAGTGCGGGATCAGTTTCCGCAACGTCCGCATGCCGCCACTTAACCAAACACTCCTGGACACGTTCGTTGTGCTGGTCAATTTCAACAGCCTTTCTGAGTGCCTCCACCGCACGTACCCAAACCTGCTGTCTCGAACACCACTCAAACACCGCAACCCACGTCCTTACATCCCGCGGACAGTAAATCTCCAACCCCTTAAGGTACTTCTCCACATCCTCCAACGGCGTCTCACTCAACATCAACTTATCACCACGGGGATCATCATCAACCTTCTTCTTCTCACCCTCGTCATCAACGACCTTAGCTTCTTCCTTCTTCTCCCCATCTTTCTCACTCAACACAACAGCCGCCTTCTCCGCTTTCTTCACCCGCTCAAGCACCCTCTTCTTCGCCTTCTTCACCGCCTTCCCCCGTTCCGCCTCCCCCATCCCCTCCCAATCCATCAACACCTCCTTAGACAACCCAACCCTCCCCTCCGGCCTCTCACTCAACAAACACGCAACCTCAACCAACCCCCTACAAGCCTCCCCATAAACCCCCGTACTCCCCCTCATCCCATCCTCCCACCCCAACAACCCGACATAATCCCACACAGTCCCCTTCCGCGCACAATACCCATGGAAATCAAACTCGTCGTCGGCCCAAACCCCCAATACCCCCTCCACTTGTCGCCACCGTTTCATACCGACGCCGTAGCGCGCGTGCGAGATGTTTGAGCGGGCGTCGTGGGCGAGGTACCAGAGTGCTTGCATGTCGTGGAGGTCGCCGATGGGACCGCCTGGGACGTCGTTTTTGGTGAAGAGGGATACGGTGTTGAGGGCTTCGTCCCATCTTCCAGCTCTGAGTAAGTATCGTACGCTCTTGACGTTGACGAAGCGATCCTGCAAGTCGAGGGCACGAGCCGCCTCGGAGGCTTCGGACGCGGCATAGGGCGCACCCAGATGCTTGAGGACCTTTGCTTTCATGAGATACAGTTCGGGGAGGGTAGGCGTATGCTCAATCGCCTTCTCCAATACCCCGAGCGCTTTCTTATGTTGTCCACAATAATCCCAAAACTGCGCAAGGACATACATCGTCCACAACACCGTCGTCGGCACCTCTTCCTCCCCCTCCTTCTCCAAAAAGGCCTCGAGCATCTCTCCAACGATTTTGCGTTTAGCGGGATCGGAACAGAGCGGCTTGAGTTGCGCAAAAGCGGACGGAACACCCTTCTCCAACATCCTCTTGGTGTACGCCTCCAACCTCGCCCTCCACTCCACATGATCCGCGCTCAGGAACTCGAGGGGTCGTCGTCGGGGAAGGTCTGCGCGGGGGTATTTCGTACTCAAAGCATCGTAATGGCGAAGGAGAGCGGCAGTGTCGGAGTCGTCCATACCAAGCGTGCGTGTGAGAGACGTGTTGTAAGACTTGTGATCCGGATTCCGATCGACGAGGGAGGTGTAAATCGCCGCGGCTTCCTCATTACCGCCGAGGGATTCGAGCCATTCCGCCCGCAACTCCGTCGCACTCAAATAATCAACAATCCTCCCCTCCGCTTCCTTCTGCCCCAGCCACTCCAGCGCACCTTCGACATCCCCGGACTGAGCACAAACCCGCGCACGGAAAAGGAGGAGTTCGGAATGCTCGTAATCACCCGCCTCAGGCTCCTCCTTAATAGACGTAAGAAACGAATCGAGTGTCTTGAGTGTAGCATTGTAGTCTCCCTTCATATACGTCGCCACAGCCAACGCCAACCACGAACTCTTCAACCCCAAGTTCTGTTCCAAGATCTTTGTCCGAATCGGGATGACCTCGTTCCATTTTCGCAGCTGACTCAACAACAACGCCTGATCCCGCAGAATCTGATGATTATCCGGATCGAACCTGAGCGCCTGTGTATAACACTTACTCGCCTCCTCGTAGTTTTTGTCACTCCTCCACAACAGCCCAAACACATGCCAAACAACATGACTCGTCAAATCACACCTCACACCCTTCCTCACCAACTCATACGCCTCCTCTTTCCGATTCACCGGGTCGAGGGCGTTGAGACACAGGCCCTTCATGGCGAGGGTTTCGCCGTGGTTTGGAGAACGTCGGAGGATTGTGTCGATACATTTTAGAGCTTGGCGGTAGCGTTTGTGTTCGTAGTGTTGGAGGGTTTCGCGGAAGAGGAGGGATTGGGAGTGGGTTAGGGCCCGGTTTGGGTTGGGTTTTGTGGACATGTTCCCTAATTGCGATTGTTCTCTGAGTCGGGGTCGCTTGGAGATCTTCCAACATTTCGGTGTCTCGGTGGTCATGTCACGTGAGGTCGCTTATGAGGGGGAGAGGTTTGTGAATACTGCATTTACAATTATCAAACAACTTCAGAAGTATTCACAGGTTTGTACGAGGCTGTTCTGCGTTCGGTCATTTCAATGGGCCGCGAGAGGCCCGAAGCTCGAGGTTCAGATTCAGGGCTTTTATCTTGAGAGAGAGGACAAAATTTGCGTCATATAACTCAGGAAATTCCTTTTCGTTTCCACTCCGAGGTCTTTCCTAGATCTATCCCCCTCCCTAACCTCTTCAGATTTACCCCTCCATCTGCTCATCCTCACTCTCCCACTCCTCCTCCTCCTCCTCATCCCATCCCTCCTCCTCCTCCTTCCCCACAGCCGGCACCTCCCCATTAATAACCCCAACCAACTCCCCAACATGCTCCAGAATCCCCGCATCATCCCACTCAAGTTGCTTATACATCTTCCCACAAACCTCCAAACACTCCCTCGCATCCTCCCAACTCTCCCTCTTCTTCTCCTCATCACCAATTTCTGCGGCACGCTGGCCTTGGAGAAAGTAACACCAGCCGTAGAGGTACCACAAATCAACGATCTGGTCGTCTTCTTTCTGGAGGGATTCGAGGACTGCGAGTGAGAGTGCGAGGAGGTTTGACTCCATCAACAACCTTACCAACGAGATTCGTGCAGGATACGCCGGGGGTTCTCTCAAGTCCGCCCCAGGTGCCCGCACAACTCCTGTACCCTCGATCGAGGCCTCAGGCAACCACCCCGCCACACTCTCCCTCAACGCCGCCCGCGCGTCCTCCTCACGTTGTTGACTCAACCGCATACTCGCCAACGTTTGTAGGGCCTCCGAGTTTCCTGGTTGTGCTTCGAGTGCGCGTGCGGTGTATGCTTCACACCGCTCCTCCGCCTCGGGTTCCATACACAGATCAGTCATATACAACTCTGCGCACCCACACCACGCACTCGCCAACTTCGCTCTCAACTCGTCCTCTTTCTCCTTCGCACCCTCGGATTGCGCATCGAGGGATTGGAGTTGTGAAGTCAACGCCGCAGCACCGCGCTCGAACCACCCTAAAGCCTCCCTGCCACCCTCCTCACTCAACTGTCCCAGCCATAAATATTTCTCCCAGCCCTCTCCATTCCGCTTGACGCTCTCCCCGAAAACTCGTCTCGCGCTATCCAGATCGCCGTTTTCGACCATTACTTCACCCAGGAAGTCGAGTGGCGCCGTCCATATACAGGCATTGGGAAGGAGTTGACAGGCTTGTGTCGCGAGCTGGAGGGATTCGGGGAGTGAGAGCTCAGTCAACGCATCCCGTGCGCGGCTGAGGAGGGACGTGATCTCGGTATATGTTTCCTGAGGGATATTCGGGGGAGCTTGAGCAGGGAGAGCGGACATCGTAGCTCAAAGTTGCACAGACGGAAGTAATATGAGAAAAGATGTTTGTGACTGAATCTGAGACGGATCGATGGAGAAGCGCGAGTAAAATGACGGAGGATTGCTGGACGTCACCCAAAATTTTGGAGAGAGCGCGTATGCAGGGTGCCTGTCGTGCCTGGCCTCACGTGAGAAAGAAGGATGACAGGGTAGATAACAAACAGGGTGCATTCATAACTTCATTCATTCCAAGATAACCCTCCGTATTCAACCCTGCGTCAAGTGCGTAACCTTCCCACTCCCATCAACATGCACATTCAACCTGTACATACCGCGATCAATACACCCCTAAAGTGATATACGGTCAAGACACCTACCTATCCTCGTGGAAGTCTCTCGTGAGGAACGATCCGGGCTCCACAACTCTGCTCTTCTGTGGTAAATCACCTTTGGGAAAGCCCTACTCACACGACGACGGATTAGCACACGCAGGTGATGAGCGAAGAGGGAGGGACGGACGGAGTCAGTGATCTTTTTGCCGATGAGCTTGGATGACCAGTCCTGGATCAAATTCGTCGGTGGTTTGTTTGACATGGTGGTGGTGGTTGTGTCCTTGGAGGGCATAACGTCACCATATCGGAGGCACGCAGGAACCCGCACACCCCGCCCGCCCGCGCATGCGACAGCTATACCTCGCTCGGGGGTTGCCATAACGTTTGCGCACGAGTCCTACACATTGAGTTACTGAGGATCGTATTGGTGAAGCTACGCTATGCCTTGACCCGCCCTTTCACATCAGTGCTCTTCTTGGACGCGAGGAGCACATAAGCGATCACAACTCCAGCCGAGGTCGCCGCAAGTGCCAACAACAGACTTCGAGATGCCGCAGCAGGCGCAACTGGCTCGGTCTTCACCAAGAACCACCACATCCCCACCACCACCACCACCAGCACCAGCACCACCAACACCAACACCGCCACTAAAACCGTCATCGCACTCGACCTCCCCCCCTCCACCTCCCAAACCCTAACCCTCGCATCAACACTGCCACTTGCAACCAACCCCCCCTCCGGCCTCCACCTCAAACACGTCGCCGGAAACGAATGCGCCTGCTGCACCCTCCTCAACGGCACCAACGTAGGACTCAGCACATGAATCGACAAATTCGCACAAGCGACTGCGATTGTACCCGTTGAGGCAACATCCATACACGTCACCGAACTACGTAGCTTCTGGGTTCGCTCGACACCCGCCCCGCCGGGGGTGTATCGGACGATCCATGCGCTCCCACTCGGTTTCGAGTTGAGTGCTGCTACCATAACCGCGCCCGTCATCGCGACTTTGCCGCCGGAGAGAAGTCGTCGGCGGGGGAGAAACCGGACACACCGGAATTGTGCGGGTTTGGAGGATGAGGAGGGAGATATGGTACGGATGAGTTTCCCGTCTGGGGCGTTGTGGAGGTAGAGCGTCGATGGAGTGACGTACGCGAATAACTCTGCAGCAGCTGTGTGGGATTCCTTTTCGTTGGCTTCTGGCCACGAGAATGCCGCATCGTAGATCTCCTGTCCAGGTTCTCCACTCGTCCAAGCGACGCTCCGATCGGGAATGTTGACCACCGCGAGTGAACCGTCTGTACTCGCTGATGCAAGGAGTGACCCGGAAGCGTTGTACACCGCCACGCGTTGGTAGTCGTCACCGTCCCCATTCTCGGGCGCCTTGAAGAGCTGTTTCCGTCCGTCTTCCTCAATCGTGTTCGCCTTTAGCTTAAACAGTCTCAAATGCTCATTTGGTCCATTTTTCGCGTTAATCCCCGTAGCAATAACACCCTACATACCCCCATTATCAGTACCAAAAAGAGCGCATGTTGGCGTCGACAATGAAGAACCTACCTCGTCGTTCACATCCAAACACATCGGCGCATCCTCCTCCCGACTCAACACATACTCCCCCACACTCTCCAACCTCACCTCCCCTTCTGCCCCCTTTCCCTCTCCCTCTTTTGTTAGGGGTTTCAACTCCCGGATATCGAGCCTATTCGCGACACCACTCCGACTCGCGCCGCCGCCTCCGGCGAGGAGGAGGGTGGTGTTGGATGACCAGGCGAGTGCGAAGATGGGGAAGGCGGTTGAGGATTCGGCGTAGGGGGTTGATGGAGACATCTTGGGTTTGGGGTTGTTGGTGTACGCGAAGTGTTGTCCGCGTCGTCGTCGTCCACTGATGCAAGCCGCTGTCATGCTGCGCAGAGAGCTGTGCGTAGATGAACAAAACACCACACCATCGTATCTCCCGAAGTATTGTCTAGAATGGAGTCGACGAGCCTAGAGGAGGTCACTACGTCGGAGAATACGGTGACAAGCTTGGCGCTGCCGGTCAATGGCTCGCGACCTGGGACGCCGGTGATGCAGGGTGCTTCGCGTTTGCCGAGACGAATTACCTCTTTGTCTTCGCTGAAGACATCGCCATCGTTACTGCCTAGACCATCGAGCTCGCTACAAACGCGCCGTGCACCCTCCGCCCTCGCAATCGCCCGATCAGCCGGCCAAACACCACCGCGAATCCGTCACGTCGCATCCGTCTCACATCTCCGTCGACGCTCACCATCGCCAACATCGACAACCGATTCCGAGCACGACGACGACGATGAAGATGATGGGAGGAGTACTGGAGCGATGACCCCGTTCTCGTTGAGTTGTGCGGCGGAGCAGAGGCTGAGAGTCGCGCAGAAGAGATTACATGCTATGAATGCGCGGTTGGAGCAGGCGCGGAGTACGTTGTTCGTGCCGACTGGGGAAAGAATGAGGAGTGTTAGTGCGAATGGAGCTATGGAGATTGGGAATGGGAGTCGGCCTTCGAGTGCGGGTGCGGGCATGCGAGGGAGTTTGAGGTTACGGAGTGTTACGGAAGCGACGGGGGTTGATGAGATTTCAGGAGATACGACACCGAAAGCCGTTACAGGAAAGAGCGAGGGGACTACACCGGAAGATATGAGGCGCTTAGCGGGTGACTTGAGGAATTTGAGGGAGAGGATGTTGAGCGGGTCGCGGCGGTTGTCGGCAGCGCCTATATGTCCTTCTTCGCCTGCGCGTTCAAGTACAGCATCGCCGACGCCTAACGTGTTATCGCCTACGGTTTCTGGAAGACGGTCGTCGCTGTCACCTCTTGCGCCTGCACCTCGGCGTCCGGGGACTGCGTCACCTACACAACGTGTTTTATCACCACCGGGGCGCCTAATGTCAGCTTCGCCTCTTATCGGCGCTCGCTCGACGTCGTTGTCATCAGCGTCGTCACAAAACTCGACACCACGCCGCCCATCCCTCATTCACCGTACATCATCTGGCTCCACCATTCCCCTCTCCCGCCGCAACTCCTCATCACCATCCCTCCTCATCCACCCACGTTCAGCCGAGGGTACACCAAGACGTCCGTCTTCCCAATCGCAGACCAAGAACGGGAACGGGAACGATGATCTGTTGAACTTGTTCCCGGCGCCACCACCGATGCGGAGGGGTGACAGCGCAGTGAGTACCATGAGTGCTGCAACCAGCACTCGATCGGAGTACTTCACCCCAACCGACGAATACCCCTCCCCGTCTTTCGAGTCCTTACTCGCGCCCACAAGTACTCACGCCCCCCGCCGTCCCGGTGGTAGTGACGAAGGGTATGATTCTGTCCCTCCAACCCCTCAAACTCTCCCTGGTCTCCCTTCTTCGTCAACGTCCGAATTGGAGGGCCCGTTAAAGGCGTTATTAGCAAGAGTGGAGGAAGCGAGCGAGGTTGTTGAGGATGGTGGCAGGGAGTTGGTGGAGAGGTTGGTTGAGGCGGTTAATGTTTGTGTGCTGGAGGAGAGTGGGGAGGTTAGGAGGAGGGTTGGGAGAGTCATTGAGGTTTTAGAGGGGGGTCAGTGACGCTGTCAAGCTTTGGGGACGGGAGAAGTATGACGATGGATGTGAGAAAGAGGGCGCAGAATATTGATAAACGGGGAGATGGATTGCAATTGCACGGCTTATGGAACGATACAAGATGGCAGAGCTACGAGGATGGGGCTAGACGCATCATGGACCTTTGGAAAGGACTCTACACTTTTTTGATCACTCTATAGCTACGGCTGGGTTAGGTTTGGAGTTTTTTAATATTGAATTTATTAATTTTTACGATTCACCGCAAGATTAATCCAGGCACAACCGAAGCTCGAACTCCAGGTTAACCTTTGCATCGACGACCGACGTCGACGTTACAGGCCCAACCCGGAAAAGTCCAGAGAGCTCACACCGCCTCCTACACCTCAATCAGATACAATTACAATGTCCGAAGAAAACAAAGCCGAACAAGAACAAGAACTCGAAGTCCTCCAATCAATCTACCCGGAAGAACTGGAGTTGCACAGCGACCAACATTTCGTCATCACACTCCCCCTCAACGATCTCACTTCGAGTCCCAATCCGCCGTCTGCAGTCTTGGAGGTGCGGTATACGCCCGATTATCCGTCTGATTCCCTGCCGGAGTTGAAGGTTGGGTCGATACCGAATGAGAGGGAGGAGGATGAGGATGAGGACGAGGACGAGAACAAGCAGGATGATCCGGAGTTTGACGACAGTGATTACAGAGTGCTGGAAGGTAAACTAAAGGAAGTGGGCGAGGAGAACATGGGTATGGCGATGGTCTTCACACTATGCTCCACCCTCCAAGAAGAAGCCGCAAACCTCCTCACCCAAAAACACGAAGCGCAACTCGCAGCCGAAGCCGCCAGACGCCAAGCAATCGAAGACGCCGAAATGGAGAAATTCCGGGGAACGGTCGTCACACCCGAACGCTTCCTCGCCTGGAAAGCGAAATTCGACGTCGAAATGGCGGCACTCCGCGCTGCTGAGAAGAAGGCCGCTGAGGAGAAAGCGTTGGGAAGGGGAGCCAGGAATAATGCGAATCCGAAGAAATTGACGGGGAAGGAGTTGTTTGAGACGAATAAGGATTTGATTGCGAGTGATGCGCAGTATTTGGAGGAGGGTGATGTGGAGGTTGATTTGAGTCAGTTTGAGAGGGTCAAGATTAGGGATGAGGAGGAGGAGGAGGAGAGGTTGGCGTTTAGTGATGATGAGGATGAAGGAGGCAAGAAGGGCAAGAAGAAGTAGACGAGGAGCTTGTAGTGAACTTTGCATTGTTGTGAGGTGCGGTCGGACGTAGCATAGGTGAAAAGGCATGGCATCAGAAGTGTCATGGAACAAACTCAAGCAATAGCACATTCTACACATAAGAAAAGATATCTGCATTCAGATCTGTTGTGTGTTTCAAATTACTGCGCTCATCGTCCCCTCGCCTGACATCGCGTCAGCAAGCTCAAGAAGAGGCCGGAGCTTCTGAGAGATTTCGAAGATGCAAAAGACGTATCCGTCGCAAGTGCAGCCTGATGTATATGACCGTGCGAATATGACATTCCATTTGCTTGCATTCAACCCGGCTACGTCCGCCCGTGACCACCATTCCGATATAGAGCTCGGGGGCTTCGGTCAATATCTTGTCGTGAGCGTTCCTCCGTGTGCACGAAACCATTCTTCTCATGCCGGACCTCGAAGTCGAGGGCTCATGAGTTCTGGCGATATCGTAGGGTCTCCAATAAAAGGAAGGGCCAGTGCAATCTGCACACCATGAATCAGTCACTTGAAATCACTCAACGACCATCAGCTGAGGTACCATTTGGAGAACCGCAAACCGGTACGTTTCATGCGTACGGGTCGTAGCAGGGGTATCTCCAGCGTTCCATATTATGCGCATGTATGCTCCTCACGACGAGATTTCGACCTTCCCGAATGCCCTATCCAACTCGTCCCCCTCTCCACTTTCCCCCTTTCCCTCTTCTTTCTCATCTGCCTGTTCCTCATTCCGTCTCCGCATCGACGCAGTAGGCTGCAACATCCTGACTCCACTATCGAGGTAGCCAGGTGCTACGCGACGTGCTTCCTCCACCTTGCGTTTCTCTGTTCGTGTTACATACTCTTCCCACTTATCTTTCGCATTGGCTTCTCGTGTGGTGGAGGTTTGGAGGGAGGTCTTCGTTTCCTCGGCCATCGAGCGAACTTTCGATACATCCGTGACTGGCTTCAACCCACCGTCAGCACCCCTATCCCGAATAAATGCTGCTAGAAAAGTATGAACATACCACGGCCGAAAGACTCGGAGGAAGCGAAATATATTGGTACGGTAAATGCACCGCACTCGGGATCTGTACCGAGGGGGATTTGATAAGTGGGATTTGTGCGAGGACGGCTGTGGAAGCGGGAGAGTTAGCATTTGGGAAGGCATGAAGTTGTTTTTTGGATTGTTACTGGTGTAGTCTGTCATTTGTTTTGTTCGTGATGGTGTCGGGTGGTGAAGTGATGTCGTACGTGATCGGAATCCGCGACACGACACGACCGCAGCCGCACGAGTCCACGTCGATGAGGTACTTTACTCACGTCGTGGGGGTACTTGACTCACAAAATCCGTGAGAGTGGGGACGAGAAACTTAGGGTTATGATTTTGGACGGTTATGCAGCAACTCGATTATAATCTAAGTAGACCATGTTCCCTTCCTCAATTCTCCTCCGAATAACCATTAAGCCCATCAGCAGCAGCAAGTCGCCCTTTGTCATAGCTGCTGTACACGATGGCGGAGAACCTAACCAACCCATCACTTCCGGCCTCCATCTCCCTAGCATACTCCTTCGCTTGCTCAATGCGTTTTGCCTCCCTCGTTATTACCGGCAACATACTTGCTAGCCGTACCCGACGTTGTAGGATGTCAGTATTGTCCACTGATGGCTCAGAGGGATAGATTGCTGCTGCCATGTTCTCAATTAAGGTATGCACACCAGCATTGAGGAGCTGGTTTATCACAATGACTGCGTCTGGAGACGATAGAAAATCGTGTGTTTCATCAATAAGATGACGTAGTGGTAGGCTTGGTAGAATTATACCTTCAGCCCCATCTGCATCACAGCTGCCGTCCCTGTCGGTGAACTGCTGGAGGACTTGTGCTTCCTCTCCAGGAGTCAATGGGAGAAGGAATTGCAGAAAAGATTCCTTCTCAACGATAGCACGGATGCGAGAAATGATGAGGTCAAACTGTGCAAGAGACAGCTCTTCCTTCAGGGACATCCTGCCATTGCAATGTCAGCATACATGCCCAAGTTGCTTCTGGCGATAAGAATTCTTACCCTCCAATCAGTTCTTCCACAGCCGTCTTCACCTTCGCACTGAGCCCCTTCCATCCATTGTGTATCAACCACCACGAGAAACTCAGGTAATCTCGCTCAAGATCAGTGCGCTCGTCGCCATCTTCCTCCTCAATGCGAACTTCATTATTAAGCACTGGACTCCATAACGATACGACACTTGCTACATATGTACCACGGCCGATGATGTTCAGTTGCACCCTTGTCAAAACGGTGAGCAAGACCAGACAATAGATTAACGTCAAAGTGCGCGTGATAGCTGTCCCCCATTAGAAATTGTATACTGACCGCGTATCGGGAAGCGCATACGTACACAGTATCTTCAGGTCGTTCCACAGCTCAGCTTTCGACCTTCCGTTGCCATCGCCAGCGACTTCACTCATTCCACTTATCATGGATCCAGCCTCATCCCCTTCAGCGGCTTTACTCGGGGCCTTCTTTCGTTGCAAATCTGCGGTGATGCCCTCGACATCCAATTCATGAGAAACTTGCTCTGCCAGGCTAGGGAAGAGTGCAAGCAAGGTGAAGGTGCAATCCTGTTGGTTCTGCTCGAACCGTCGACGAAGACTAGCATCTGGTTAGCATACATCCATAGAGATGACGTCGGCCATAATACAAACTTTTCTTTGGCGGTCCTCTCACCCATAGCCCGCTCTTGAACTTCTTTTATCTTTGAGGAAACATACTGAGTTGCAAGATAGGCAGCACTGGCGACGACAGTTGTAACACCGATCGCCCGGCGGTGTCGGCTAAGGAAACCTCGTATTGACTGGAACATGCTGAGAGCGGACGAGTGTATAGACGATGAATGGGTTCTCTGGTCTCGACTGTTGTTGGGATGGTCGTGTCGTGTCCTGTCGTGTCGCGGAGTCTCCGCAGCGGCAGCGGCCGCGGCCGCGGCTTCCATCAGGCACACTCGTACCCCACCACCAACCTCATCGTCAATTCGTACCGATTTGTTCTTTTTGATAGCAATGTCTTCGATTGTTCCTCCTCCATTGCCTCCTTTACCGCCTTCGCATTCGCATAACGGATCGCTGTCGTCGACTCCGCACCCGCCCACACCACTGCAACCTCACGCTTTACATCCGCCGACAGCCGATGCGGATCGTGCTCTGATAGAGGGACTACAAGGAAAGAGTGTCGCTGAACTGAAGGAACTTCAGGAGACTGATGGCTTGCTCGACGCTTTCTGGGAGAGCCAGAGTCCTATCGCGAAGGAGCACAGAGAGCTCGAACGAGAGGCATGGAAAGCCAATGAAGAACTAGCAGGTCTGCGATCCACGCAGTCACGCATACATATCATCGCTGACAGCCATCTTCAACAGATCGCATCATGTCCACCCGTACGACTCTCGACCTCCGCCGCACAGACACCGACGCCAAACTCCGCGATTCAGCCTCCCTCTACCGAACCTGGCGACAAACTGAGGAACATATGTACTCCGCCCTCTCACCTCTCTCACCTCCATCTCTCCAACAACATCTCAATGCGAGTACGACGTCCGTTTCGGAGATGAGCGATGCCCTGGCCGAGAGTTTCTTAGAGGAGGGTGGAGATTTGGGTGTGTTTTTGAGGACGTATAGGGAGGGGAGGAAAACAGTGAGGTTGGGGGAGGTTCAGGGTGAGAGGTGGGCTGAGGGGAGGGTGGGGGGGTTCTGAACAGGAGAACGTAGGGGTGGATGATAACGTGTTAGAGGGAGATCTCGCTGCACACGGCGAGCGAAGCTGCATCTGCAGTTCTCGCCGTGAACCAAGGTTGCCGAATCTTGACCCCAAGTACTCAGATCTCTCTTCATCGGTGCAGGATTTAAGTGCCGCATCGAGGCGCCCGTGCACCTCTGCCATACTACAAGACAATGTGATACGGAGCATGATCGTGCAATGCGCGTTTGATGATGAAGTCCGGTTGCGCAAAAGAGAGGGAGTTATGGCTCGACAACGACAGTACGGACGAGGTGGGAAGGACACCATGCGACTGTGAGGTCCTGAGCCGTGACAAGCCGTTTTGATACCTCAGTAGGAGCGCATGCATCTTTGAGGAGGGACAGTGAATAAACTATTGTTTTCAGAAGTTACAGAGCAATATGAAAACAGTCGAAGGTACTGTATGAAGGAAGAATTGTTGATAATAAGGATATGATAGGTATAGTGTAGCAAAAGTAGCAAGATAGCAAATGTCTATGCGCCGTTATCCTCGTTTCCGTGATCACTCCATTCCCAAAACATCATCCTTGCCGTAAGTTCATAACAAAAAAACACCATGTCACCAATGTCCATACTCAATCCCAAACGCCATGACTATTACTTCGAGTACACCGCTCAATCACCAGCCGCGTATCGTTAAGTCCGAGCGGGCGTTATGTGTTTAAGATCGATGGCTGATGAAACCATCAAATAGATTCTTAAGCCGCCCGTAGTAATAGTCGGCGTCCGTTACTGGGAAGTTGCTGTACCCTGTACAAGGAAGTAAGCAAACCGCAGCAATACGAGCGAAGAGGATTGAGGCACCCCAGGTTCGGACAAAACGGAGAGCTAGGCCCAAGTTCGTCACAACATCGTCCGAATATAACGGATTCCTGTGCGAATCATCATGTCGTGCCATCATAATGGCATTGGTTGCCTGAAAATAGTCATTCTTAGCATCGCGGGCAGAGAAAGAATGGAGACGCATACTAGATCGACGTTGGGGAGGAAATCCTGAAGCCAGTGAGATTTCCTGTCCTTGTGATTCAGGAATTTAAGCATCACAGTACGGTAGTGGGATAGCTCCCACCCCACACACCACCCCTTCATTTTCTTTTCCTGCGCTTTCGTTTTCCTAGCCTCATGGGATACGTAACGCATCACCCACAGCAAGCAGAACTCCTCGACTAAATCGAGGGCTTCTATCAAAACTTTCCTGGGAGATGCGATGTCAAAATGGTCGTCCAACTCGATGTCCTCTCGATGCTTAAGGTCGGCGGCAGTCGGGGGTTCCCTTGGCGGTTTAGGGGTACTCTCTAGATATGTCTGGTACGAGTCAGTATATTGGGCGATGAACAAGAAGCATGACGAAGAAAAGTCAAAGAACCCTAACCCAAGGAGATATGGTTGGCGCAGAGAGAGAAGGAAGAACCGATGCCCCGTCCTTGGCGATGTGTAGAGGGAGTCCGCAATGCAGACCGGAACCTGTGTGGGGACAACAAGCGCTGGGAGAAACCAGACACGCATTGAGGCCGTGCAAGGGCGAACTCTTTGACAGCTGGTCCTGGGCTCTCACGGGTTGGTTCCGGTCCTGCCCAAGAGCAGTCGAACGCTGTCTTATCCTGTTGAAAGTCGAGATGGACGGGGTGCTGGGGCGTGGCCGGTGCCGTAATGGCAAAGGGAGTCCGCAGTGCGGACCGGAACCTGTGTGGGGACAACAAGCGCTGGGAGAAACCAGACACGCATTGAAGCCGTGCAAGGGCGAACTCTTTGACAGCTGGTCCTGGGCGCTCACGGGTTGGTTCCGCTCCTGCCTAAGAGCAGTCGAACGCTGTCTTATCCTGTTGAAGGGCCACGTTGTCGAGTTGTTGGTATGTCGGCACCTTCTCTCTCTGCGTCGGGGACCGGCAATGCAACGGAAGAAATAAGAAAGAAAAGTTAGTACGTACATTGTAATGATGACAAGTCTGCTGATCCACTTTCTTGCTTCCCGTCCCCACCAGGTACTCCAAAGACCTCATAAGATGGGTCTGCACGTAACGGTCGGCTTGGCCCTCGGTAAATCCATGGTCGACAAGATCATCCCATACGGCATCTTCAACCTTTTTCCAATGCGTGTCGCTCCGCATATCACCAGAGAATCCAAACTGTCTCTCGATATCGGCGGTGAGGGATGCATCCTTGTAAACTTGCAGCGAACAACACGGCGAGCTTCGGCTCTTGTGAGGGGATCGGTCGCGGGTCCGGCATGAGTGTTTATCGGAGGCCTCCGTCCGTCGTGGCGAACGCGAGCGTTCGTTGCACGAATGTGTGCTGGTATGATCACCAGTTCGAGACTTCGAAGACCTATGGCGACTACGAGATCGACGACAAGACTGCTTGGAGCTGGACGGCGCTCTGGGTCCAGTAGATCGATGTTCCGTTGATCCCATCGACGGGGATGAAGAGCCTGGGGCACTGTAACCAGAACCGTCGGTCATGGTTGTGATGTAGTGTTTAATGATAACCAGGGATGGGAACGACGAAGTACTTGTACTCCTCCCATGACTACTTCGCCCCACTTTGCAGATCCGTTGCCCCCCGGAACCGCGGGCCAACTCATCTGGCCGACCGATCCCACAAGAAAATTTCCTCATTGATCCATCCTTGCTTCGCCTTCGTCATCATTGACTTTCTTTTTCGAAGTTCTTTTCCAGAACGAAACAGCCTCTACCTGAACCGGGTGTGAGCGTGTTCGCTCCCTCGGAAGGGGCCCTAGCGCGACCCGGCGGCCCGCGCTTGCAGATCAGCTGCGCATGCCGTGCGATCCAAGGCGAAACGAAAGAAATTTAATATTTAAATGTTGAGGGATGTCTTTTCTCCAATAGCTGTTGATAGAGCTGGTGGCTGGATGAAGGGATGAGCCGTGATTGATATTGATGGCGGCGATGCCCGGAAACCGAGAAGTTCAAGCCTGGTAGATGCGATGAACCCGCACAAATCGATTCATGACAGCACTCTTGATCGATTGATCCCTCTCAATACATTGAGCCTGTTATTCACGATCGGTTAATTAAACCAAATAATTACGATCGCCCTTGACATCAGCTACGTCTCAGGTTGAAACGCTCGGAATGCGGGCTACCATGGACCACATACGCACGCGAACACACGCACACCCAAAGACACGTTTGAATCCGGAAGCAGATCGACTAGCACGAAAGAAGAGATGGTGTTATGAGCAATCTCGGTTGTTTGGCAGGACGAGCGAAATTGCGAATTCATTGCGTGATCCACGGATATCGGTATCGATTTGAAGCTGTAAAAAATGTATACCGGGCGAGAAGTCTAGCAATCAATGTTGCTTAAACACGTCTATCAAGACTTCTATCAATACCCACGGCCATCCCTAGTCATTCGATCTCTGACAATCAATCCCATCCGCCCACGAACTTTACCTATGCATATCTAAACTTTCGCCATGCATTCCCGCCCAGCACAATGACACAAGTACTACCACGTACGCCGGCGCCATGATGTTACTGTAGATACCGCGGAGCCGCAATCCATTCGGGAATGCCCGCACACGGCACGTACGCCAGGATAACGCGCACCAACGAGCCGTTCCTACCTACACACTCATTCCAACCCCTCGTCGCCTCCCCCTCGATCCCCGTCCGCCTCACCACCACAAACGACAACCTCCTCCCCCATCACCCTCCCCCTCCACCACCCCTCCCTCCCCCCCTCCACCCCCCTCCACTCAACCCTAACCGCCCTCTCCCCACCAGCACCCAACCTCAACAACTGTTCTCCCTGTCCCCTACTAACAATCGCTCGTAGTTCATCGCTCCAGTTGAGACGTCGACAAACCTCCTCAACAACAACATCACTCCCAACCCCCAAGAGCTGCACATCAAACTCCACGTGTTTTACCGCTTCTATCCCAACATAAACTGCCGGGACGTGGGGGGGTAATAGGCCGAGGATTTCTGAGACGGGAGAGACTTTAAGGGAGGTTCCGATTGCGATCAACAAATCACAACATTCTGCATCGGGGGTGCGAGGGGGGGAGGTGGATGGGGTGGGAGAGCCGAGGAGACGGGAGGAGAAGGTTGGGGGGAGGGGTTCGCCGAAGAAGGTTATGTCGGGTTTCATCACGCCCAAGCTCGGGTCCACATCTTCTTCTTCTTCCTCCTCCTCATTCTCAGTTCTCTTCTTCCCCTTCTTCGTCGTCGTCGTCATCGGAGGGTTTTCCAAACACAGCGGACATTTAGGTATGCGTCCAGCACGGATATCCCCAAAAATCACCTCCCCCGGACATTTATACCCACACGTAACACACCCCGCCCCCCCAAAACTCCCATGACACTGCACCAACTTCTCCCCCCTAATCCCCGCAACACTCTCCACCCCATCGATATTCTGCGTGTAATTCGTCAAGAGTTTCCCCTTATCTTGCAACAAGCGAATAAACGCATGCGTGGGCGTAAACCGCGAAGAGGAGGAGGGTGGTAGGATGAGTCGAGCAAAAGAATAAAAGATCGATGGATCAGACCGGAAAACGTCGATATCGAACATCTCTTGTGGGTCGTTGAGTCCACACTCCGCCAACTTCGCATATATCCCCGTATCGGAGCGGAAATCTGGGATACCGAGACTCGTACTAATTCCCGCGCCCGTTAATACGATGATGTTCTTCGCGTTCCGAATCAACTCCACGGCATCTGACACGGTGTTGTATTGTGCTAGTTTTTGGCGTTTGGAGAGGAATCGTGAGAGTGCCATTTCGAGAAGGGGGAGGAGTGCTTGATCCGGGAATTCGCAGAGGAGGGGTGGGATGCGGAATCCGAAGGCGGAGAGGAGGGAACGGGTTGGTGTTTCGAGTTGGTTAACGTAGTATTTTAGGAAGAGGTCTGGGCCCATTTCGCGGAGGTCTTTGCGGAGTTTTGCGATTTCGGTGGGGGAGAGGAGTTCGTCCTGGGGTACTTCGCCGTCCTCGTCGTCGGAGTTGTCGGTGCGGTTTTGGGCTTCCATGATGTCCAGCAACAAACTCCCGTCATCAGAACCGATCTCACTTCGCTGTTCCTCATCCAACGGAATCGCCCCCTCCACCTCACGATGCACGGTCTTCACGCGCTTACTCGGCGGCTCCCCACCGTCCACATGTCCCATCCCCTTCCCGGCATCGACATCGACATCGCCGCTCGCAAACGGACCACCTACAGAAATCGGAGAAGACATCTCTGGATACGGCGGTGTTGGTGTTTCGTTAACGTCGCGGTTCGGTGCGTCGTCAGTCAGGTTCGTTGGTTTCAGTCGTGCGCTAGGCTGGGACTGCTTAGCATAACATTCGATACCTTCAATGACAATTTCAGCCAAACAGCTTACAATGGCCAGGAGAGTCCTGCTGGACTTCTCACGACGATAGGACATCCCTCGATCGCGCGGGCCTGTGAGGTTACTTTGGAGTGATACGGACCGTCTCGGTGTGCCTTAATCTACACCGACGCATACCTTGCTGCAGTACATATTGCTTCGAGTCTCATGACGAATTCGCTCTGTCTAAGAAGCTCGACACGATCCTTGTCGGCCGGTCCTACAGGTCTGCTCAGTGCCTTGGTCATTCTTGACCCGGTTTACCCGGTTCCTTCCACGGAAACCTGGATCCGCATCCCTCCTCGCATTTCGGATTGATCTCATGGTTCGATGGCGACATCGACTCCATCGAAATTCCATCAAGGGCTTTTCGAACCGGATATCGTCCGTCTGCCATCGACGTCACGCCATTTTCACAAACACGTTGCACGTTGCACGCCGCTTCCGTGGAATATCGAATAAGGTTCAGACAAAAGAGCAGGGGTGTCAAAAGAGCAGGGGTGTAGGAACTGATGATGACGTGGGTGGTAATCCGATCCCAGCCTTTCACGAGAGGGTGGGTTGTGTGGAGTGTGGTTTCTTGGAGCTGGTTACGACTCACCACCCCACCTCCTCCTCCCCGCAACCCTCCTCTCCCCTCATTCGCCCTCACCGCCCCCACCGCCCCCAACGCCGCACTTTTGATGTCCGGGCCGACTCTAGTGTCCAACTCTTCTGAGACCGGATATCTGTTATCGTTCGGGACCGCCCGCAATATCGCTGTGGTCACGCCATATGCATTTCCACCAAACACGTTGACCACGCGGTTCCGCAAGGAATAACGTTCAGGAAAGAGCAGTGATGCCGGATCCGAAGCCTGGGGTGGCGTCTTCGATCCCAGGTTTTCACGAAGCGTTGGTTCGGTTGTCCTGCAGTGAGGATGGTTGTTGTATCATCTCAACCACGATTCACTCCAGGACGTCTTCCCTCGCTCACCATCGACGCCCATCTCCCACCCCAATCATTTCCATGCCGTCCGATCCGTCCCAACCTCGGCCAATTCGTCATATATCACCCCCGCCGGCCCCAACTTAAACTTTCCTCTTATCATGCACGGGGGTTGCCAATGCGCAGCAACTCCAAGCGAGGCTATGTTTCGAAAGAAGAACGTCAACCAACGAACGATTGGACCGGATCAAAGTTACCTCTTGGCTTGCCATATTACGAGGGGCTTAGTCATGATGGATAACAGGGTTTCCAGCAACCTTCTTCGTGTGTAACCCAAGAACGATTGGACCGGATCAAAAGTTATCTCTTGGCTTGCCAAGAACGATGCGTAATAATGACGGATGACCGCGTTTTCAGCAGGATTTCTTCTGCGATCCGGTCCGTTGGGTTACAGGGAGGAAGTTGGTGGCGAAGGATAAAAAGGTGCCGTCGCCCACCCTTTTGAACGACTACCATCAAACATCCACACTACTCAAACATCCATACTACTCAAACATCCACACTACTCAAACATCATGGGTACGACCCTGCCGCATTACGCTGGGCAGGACTTCCTCCACACCGACGGATCGCCGACCCCCCCTCAGTCTCGAGCTCAAAACAAGAAGCTCGACACTGGCTCCACCCATGACCAAAGCCGCACTTTGGCTCGTCAAGGACCCCATCGCACCTTCCGACCCAAACCCCCTCGCACTCCTGTCTCGCCCAGGCCTTCGTCCAGTCGACTCCCTTGTCGGTCTCCAAATGGACCCTACGTTCGCCCCTCCATCAGTCCTCGATCGTCGGCGTCAAGATCTAAGGACCCGAAACTGATCACGCCTTCCGGCACTCCACCCAACAAGCCTATCGAGCAAGAGCGTCACAATGCGTCTTTCCTTGGCCGAGACCGACTCTGCCTCCTCGCACAGCAACAGAGGTTCGTCGAGTTAGAGCTTATCATGAAGGAGGATCTGGCGAGACGTCAGAATTACGATACGGCGACAATTCAGAGGCAATACTCCTCCAACCTTCAGAACTGTTTGAGAACTTTGGTGTCGGAGGAAGCCGTGCAGCACTATAAGGTAGGCGTAGCATATTTTCTTTTTTTCACGGGAGGTGACAGGACGCCAGCATCGATGGGAGAGGACGGTTCTCGCGACACTTACGGGATAGCTCAGTAGGCACTCAGGCAAGTGGACCCCAGCAGCGTCCGCCACACACCAAGGCGGGCGTCGATCAGCAACCTCCGCCGGACGCAAGAGCCGGCCGGGGATCAGCAACCTCCCTCAGCCACCAGAGCTGGGCGAGGCGACCAGCAACCTCCGCCGGACGCAAGAGCCGGCCGGGGATCAGCAACCTCCGTCGGACGTAAGAGCCGACCGGGGTCCACGAACATCAACAATCCACTTGCCTGAGCCGCTTTGCTGAGCTGAAAGGGGGAAACTGGGGCTGGTGTGCCTATCTACGAGCTCTCGACAAGGTTATCGACTGCCTGCTTTGTGGATTCGCTGCCAGTGCCACTACCTCCGGTTTGATTAGTACTGCGTATGTCTGGCAAGGCGCCCTCTGTCAGTCGTACGTGGGAAAGTTGGACTCCCGTCCTTCGACAACCCCACTTACCCTTCTCTCCTAACTTTCACTAACCACGCTTTTCGTGAACATTTGAACTTGTGCTGACTTCTACATCTTTAGTTGTATCGATATCACTTGTCCCGCCCCGAGAAGAAGGCTATTCAGGGAGCGCAGAGTTCGGAGGCGACGGTGCAGGATGAGGCGATGGAAACGAGCGAGGAAGTAGAGGACGCGAGATCATCATCAGCCGAGAATAGTTTGGTAAGCTATAGCACTACTTGCCTTTCCATTTATGCTGACTGTACATCAACAGGATCCAAATGGTTCTGCTGCTATTGCTGAGGACGTTCCACCGAAGAAGGAAGGCTTCGTTTCATGCGTGATGCCGCCACGTCTTGGTCGCCATTCGGTCAGTCCCGAACAGCGCGGAAGTATTTATACAAGGACACTGGCGCTGTTGAAGACGGTTGCGCAAGAGCACGTCCGTCTGTTCGTGTCTTGTACGACTCGACGGTGGGTTGCGCAGAACGAGTTCAAAGTTCAGGCGGACAACCTCGCAACCTGGGAGATGGGGCACTACATCAAAGGAATAAAGAAGCATTTGGCCGATATGAAGGTTTGCCAGAAAAACAAGCTGTATAACAAGAACGCCGACCTGGTTTGTGTTCTATCTTTATAATGTTGGCTCAGGTCTTATTAACATGGTTTTTGCAGGTTGCGGCAGCCGTCCTCATTTTGCGGCACGACGGAGCGCATGACTCTAAGTTGGATGATCTCGATATTTTCGGGAGAATCTCATTTGCCAGAGAGTTTGTTTACATTTTTGGTGAGTGTTGTCTTCCTCACTTTCTCACTGCCATGTTTCTAACTGTCTCATAGGCAAAGGTGGCCTTCATGCGCATCCCAAATCCGATGAGTGGAACGAGCAGATGGACTCCAGTTGTCAAGGAATACTTGATATCATCACTGCCGCTCACGGACCACCAGCACCGTTGCCTGTGGGACCCTCATCGGTTGTGCCCGGCGATGTTGCCAAACGTCGGCGACACTTAATTTCCTCCCTGCGGCGTCAGAATCTCCTCGCCTTGGACGAGTTCACGAGACTGGCACTCCTTGTGAGAATTCCATTCCCACAGATGGAGGATGCGTTCTCGTTCTATAACGACTTGTCGGATGAAGACCCGGAGAGGCTGCACAGGCTCGCCGAGCTCCTACGCGCTGTGGACCAGAACACGCGTCCCACACCTGGACCTTCAGGGAGTGCGAGTTCGCGTCATGGTGCACAAGTCGTTAAGACGGAGATTTGATAAAGAAAGGCATGGAGTTATCGAGTTATGGGATCTATTCGCGGGAAAATATAGAGGAGAGGACATCGGTGCATGGGAAGCTTTCGTTAATCATTGGTGAAGAAATTAGTCGTTCGGCGTAGCTTGCCTTTGCTTATATCCCATATATGTAATCGAAGTAATATACTTCTCCGATTCATCATTCACAATTGCGCTCGACTGTATCGTAAGAGCCTGCGTTTCCTCATCCGCAAGGCATGTCTTCCCTCAGGTTTACCGTATAGCAATAGTTTCAATCAGTTTAGCATCCCAAGTAGCCTTAACAGTACGCTATTTCGAGAAAGCAATTGCGCTTGACTTGTGGTTGTTTGAGTGAGGGTCACGCCTTACAATTGGCGGGAGGGTATCTGGATGGTCAATCAAAAGGAACGGGCAGAGGTGCCGCGGATTGGCTCAGCGTGAGAATTCACAGAGAGGATCACCGAGGAGAGCGGCGTGGGTCTACCGCGCGACGTTGGAAATTACGTTTGTCTTGTTGATAAGGACTTGAACGTTTGGTAAATTCTAGATTACTTATACCTCATATATCTAATCGAAGTCGTAGGGCTTCTTAGCTTGGTCATTTGTAACGCAACGGTCAGTCTTGCTCCTACTGACGCCGGTTTCGAGTCATTCCCGTGACCCCACAAACTTATCCCATATCCTGTGGTACCCCTCCTCACTCGTTCCTCCCCATCCGTCTTACTGGCTAATGCTCGCTCCGAGCCCACACCGCATCGGCTTAGCCATCGCCATCACCATATTACTCCATTACATCCTCGGCCTGGTAAACATATTTCTCCTCTCCCGTCCCCACATCCGTAATCCCCTCTAGAACCGCCTCCGCATCAACCTATGTCTTCTTCGCCAAAGCCAGCTTGGTTCCTTCCACAATCGCAACGTGCTCCACGCTGTGAATCCTATTCTCCAGGTCTTCCAGCGACTCTCCCTCCTTCATCTCAATTTCCTTGATCAACAAAGGCTCTCCTCGGTCAACCTCCTCAATAACCCAGTGGATCATGCAGCCAGTCTTGGTGATCTCACCCTTCTGGAAAGCATCATATGCTCTGTCAATCGCATGTGCACCATCAAATGCCCCAGGAAGCGCAGGATGCAGGTTGATAAGAGGGATACCAGCCTCTCGCAGTGGTCGCAGACATTCTGAAGACAAAATATGCATCCAACCAGCGCAAACCACCAAATCCGGGTTCAACTTCTTGATCTTCTCCGCCAACTCTCTATCAAAATCCGGGCGCGCTGCCGTAGCATCTTCTAGATGCTTCTTCTTATATGGTACGATGTTGTGGACGGTTGTTGAGATGGAAGCTTTGGCGGCGCGCTCGAGGCCATATGCAGCTTTTTTATTGGAAATGACATGGGTGATCTTGTAGTCGGATCCCTGGTTGTCGATCAAGGCTTGGAGATTGGAGCCTGATCCGGAGATAAGGACGAGAATAGACGGTAGGCTCATCGTACTTTGGTATCTTGTTGAAAATATTGACGTTCGAAACTACCGAGGACGTAGATATCGCACCGAACCGCGGCCGTTACGATATCGCAGCATGGTGCAGCGCTCCTGTACTGCGCCACGCGCCAGCCGCCATAATTGTTGCCGTTCCAGACGATCCCGAAAGTCGAGAAATAACCAACGGAACAATTCTACGCATCCTACAAATACCATGCCTTCAATCTCTGACAATATCCCTCCTCACCCTTCCACCTCGCACGCAGACAACATCTGGATCGCCGCCTCCGAAGGCAAGACCGACAAAGTCCTCGCTTTCCTCGCCGCTGATGCCACCCTCAATCCCTCTGTCCCAGATTTCTCGGGCTACACCCCGATCCACGCCGCGGCATCATATAACCATGTTGAATTATTGAAGCAATTACTATCCATACCCGGGGCTAACCCTAATGCTGGAGACTCGGACGGCGATACTCCGCTCTACGTCTGCGAAACGGTGGAATGCGCACAACTGCTCCTCGAAGCCGGCGCAGACCCCTCATGGCGCAACAAAGATGGAAAATCCGTCCTCGAACATTTCGAGGAAGAAGGCGACGCACTCGCCGTAGCTGATTACCTCTACTCCGTCCTCGGACAGCAACCACCACCACGTCTCCCCGAGAACGCGGATCTGCAAATGAGGGATGCGGAGCAGGAGGGAGAGGATGCAGTTGATGTGGAGGGGTTGGAGCCGGCTATGAAGGCGCAGATTGATGAGATTATGACGACGATGCCAGAGGGGCCGGAGAGGGATGCGAGGTTGGCGGATGTCGTGAGGGATGCTATTATGGGACAGTATAGAGGGGACGTATCGCGGCAAAGGTTGGAGTGAGAGCATGGCCATGAGGGAGTGTGAAGTTCGGATAAGGATTCTGTGATCAGTATCGGCGGAATCATCGCGGTAGGGCTTTGCCCACGGCTTGGTGAGCGGGGGATGTCCGTCGAAATCCAAGGGCCTGCGTTAATACTTTCATCATGCTCGATCGGAAGTTTTGATGAATCGCAGGTATTTTTGCCGTCGGCGGGGGCCGGCGTAATACACATTCCTCAGCCAAATCTCTTGTTTCTCATGCTCCGCTACAGGTATTTGCCACTGTAAGATTCGTAACCTTCTATATACATCTATCGCGAAAGAACACGATCGGTGTTGAGCGTGGCTGTGGAAAATTATTCATGCTAGGGGTCATGATACCTGTAAGGCAGGCAATTATATCACGCAAAGCGGGTCTCTCGGATTTGTACGTGTCCACAGAAGGCAAGACAGTGCCATAATCAGTCATACTTCTGCGTTTAGACGTGGCTGCTTCTTTTTGGCTACATAAACGTCCCCTTGACGATAATTGCTAAACAGCCAACACGATTTTCTATTTGACTTGTACGTATTTTCACGACAACCATGGCGGGCTGCGTGTTGTCCATTGGCCAATTGCCTTTGCCAAGGAGGCAAGCTTTTGGGCACACGAAGCACCACCCCTTCGGTAACGCCTACGTATAGGTATACTAGTAATAGGATACACAAAGTCTAGAGTACCTTCCTCAATAAAGAACGCAGTACGACGGTGCCCCACAATCCAGCACACCCGTGGGAACATTCAAATTTGGGCCGGGCACATGCCACTCGACACACATGGCCACGAATATATATAAAACAAACAATTGCCGTCAATTGAAGAGCCTATCCTATTCCTATGCTACCCATGTAAAGAAGAAACCACGTCTTATCTCGACATTAAAAGACCCCGACCAACAAGAAAATAAATGGAGAAAACAGGGGTATCCCAATGCTTGCCCTCTCCCAGCGTAAGACGACGCATCGTATGCCATCGTAACTCATCAATCCATTCGTCGCATAAAATCACACAAGTCCCTTCATAGGTAAAACAACACTCACGCCCGGATGCCCATGTGCAACACGGCTCACCACTCTCTGGATGCAGAATTACTCCTCCTGCTCGTCGTATCCATACGCATCCTCCTCCTTGACCTCTCTATCCAACTTGTTGACCCAGTCACTGACAAAGATACTCGCCTTCAAGAACTTCTTGTTGGCGTACTTCTTATAGAAAGCCTCGTGCTTGACAGGTCCATACAAGTAGTTGATCATGATCTCCGTCACCGGCAAGAGCTCGTCTTCGGTGTAGCCGGAGTAGTGAACAAAGTTGACATCCCATGCGGAACGGTTGAGGGTAAGTCGCGCAAGGTACATGGACGCCGCAGCGATCTGAGAGGGAGGGAAGGCGAGGAGACGGTGCTCAAGGAGGGAGATCTCCATGAGGTACTTGGCGACCGTGCGGGTCTGGATGTCGTAGTTGTCCGCCTTGGAGATACGACGCAAGAAGTTGAGGGGGTTGGGGTAAGAGAGGTTGAAGTCCAACACCTGCAAGACGTAGCGTTCCGCTTTGAGAATGTCCTCATCGACCCATCCGGAGTCGGTCATGTACAAGAAGTTCTGGACGGAAGGTGCCATGATTTCCTCGTACTTTGCCGCGATGAAGAGGGCGGTAACGCCAACGAGTTGCAGCCTCGTCAAGGCCACGAATCGGCGGGAAAGGAATCGATCGATGATGTTCACAGCCAAAAAGAGCGTCTCGGGCAAGAGCCTGAACTTGGTGTGCACCTGAATCAACCAATCCACAAGAATACCCCTCATATTCCATGCCAACTCCTTCTGCAGGGACATATAGTCGGGGTTAGGGAGGGTGTTCTGCTCCAACTCCTTCATGTACTCGAAAATGTCCTCCACATACTCGGCAACCATCAACGGGTCATGTGCATCGTCAGCATCCAACTCAAGCCACGGTGCAGGTTCCTCCTCAACCGGTGCCTCAGACTTGACCTTCTTCGTAGGTGGAGCCTCGATGACTTCAGGCTCTGCAGACGTCGCAGATTTAGTAGACACAGTCGCACGCTCCTTCTTCATGGCGGGCGCCGTCCTCTTGCGCGTAAACTTCTCCTCCTCCTTAACCTCTTCCTTCTCTTCCTTCTTCGGGCGAATCGTACTCCTGGTCCTGGTTACCCGGGGCTTAACCTCCACCGCAACCTTTCCATTCTCCTTGCCGTTGGAGACGGCGGCTTCCTTGACGTGGACGTTAGTGACTTCGCCTAGAGCAGCACGCTTGCGGGTCCCGAGACTGCTCTTGGTTGGTTTGGTGTCGACGTCGACGAGGACGGGCTTGCCGGCGCGAGTTGTGCGAGTTCGAGTTGCATTTTCATTGTTCTCAGTTGCGGCAGCGCGGGTTGAACGACGCTATAAACGGTATAGAATCAGCATACGCGTTTGAAGAGATACAATAAGCCCCAGTGAGAATCTTGGGTAGATATATGCTATGCAGACGGCTTCGGCGACATGTCCTTGGCGAACATTACCCAGGAGGACTTGTCCTCCTAGGCGCCAGTTGGTGAACATTAGCGAAGCCGATGGTTGCCCAGCATATACCCCATGAAAACAGCCAAAAGCCCTTTCCAAACCCTCCCAACTCAAACGAAACACGTCCATGACTCACCGTAGCATTCATCTTAGCTATACGTATTTGTTCGGCTTAAGGAGGTTGAAAGCAACAAACTGCAACAAAGACCCAGTCAATACGCGTCCAAAACACAGTGCCCTTTAAAAGAAAACTCACCTGGTAGGTATATAATCTCACTCGAACGTCAAAGAATCCACTATGATCTTCAGGAGGCTCGACAGGTCGTGCAAAAGGTGTAAACAAGCAAACACCGTGGCTTGATCGATAGAAAAATGTCTGAGCTTCGGAGCTAATGCGATTAGAGAAAGGAAGGACCGTAAGATGCTCAAGGACGAATGGAAAGAAGCTCCAAGGAGTCTTGAGGTCCGATTTTGTTGGATGAAGGTTGTGTGTGACTTTGAGGCAGGTCAGCTTGTGTCTCCTTTAGGTCTGATTTTGATTGAGCGCGTTTCAATGGACGGCCACCCGCGACGGATCGACAGATATGGGAAGTAGACGGGAACCCAAGCAAAGAGACGGATTGCGGAATTAACAACAGGGAGATTTTGATAGGATTCAGCTCTTGTAAACCTGAACGCGTCGACTTCGTTGTCGATGTCACAGTGCAGGGCTGGGGCGTCCGTGCGTCGCTGCGCTTTTTCGGCGCGAATTGTCCAGGGTAGAAAATCTCTTAACATGAACGCGTATGAGACGTGTCATACGGACTGCAAATGGGTTACACAGGGGTCCATTTCGCAGCTAAATCTGAGCTCTTTCAAGATGACCTGCTGTATTCTAGTTCAACGTCTCTTCTTTCAATCTGTCCGCTACCTCTTCAACCTCCCCTGCCTCAGGATCCTTCCTGAACCTATTAAAGTATTTCTCCCTAAAATCCGCATGTGCAGGCTTTAAACCGTTCGTGACAACCCCTTCCTTCCCCATCTCTTCCCCATCTCCCTCCCCGTCCTTCCGTACATGCCTAACATACGTCAACAACCTTCTCGCCCACTTCCCAAAATCCTGTACAGAGTTATACAAGAGCGTCATGTTCGCATGCGTGGGGATGTCCACATCCTGATACTCATCCGTCACGGTGGGGAGCCAGAGGACGAGTCGTCCGCCGTCGTTGAGTCGGGTTGCGGAGAATCCGAGGAGGTCGACCATAACTTCGCTTAGTTCGTAGGGCCTCATGGGCGGGTGGTAGTCGGGCTGTTCGTGGCTATAGATCCCGCTCCTCAAGAGTATGGGTTCGGTCCTCAACTCCTCATCGTTCTTCCTTCCCAGTTTCTTCGCGCCGGCACGGACACCGTATGGCGGATCACACACGATCGCATCGAATCTCACACCCTTTCGTAGGGGGTTATGTGTGATGTCATAGGTACAACAGTCTAGGAAATTCGAGCTCAGGCCATACTGCTTGATATTTGCCAATACTCCACCCGCACGTTTCTTCCCCCCTCCCCGAATTTGTCGACCGTCGATGTCGGACCCGAAGGTCATCGCGCCATAGTGTCCACACGTAAACAAAAAACTCCCAGTTCCAACAAAGGGGTCGTATACCAGTTTTCCAGGCGTAGCATGCGCCATATTCGCCGAAACCAGACTCAGTTCCGCGTCCATACTCGTGGTCCCCAAATACTGCCTTTTCTTCAAATCATACATATGTATTGCTTCTCGATTTCCTACACTCACCAATCTTCCGTTAAAAACTCGTACGAGCTTGTGTGTTGGGTCGATTGTATGAGGTCCCGCCTTGGGTTTTGTCCATTCCTCGAATATTGCGTAGATCTGTTGTGCACCTTTCATTCTGATCCTCCCCTCGAATCCCGTAAACCGGAACGAGTTGATCATCTCAACATGTTCCTCCACAGGCCTCGTATGGTTAAAGATCTCGACCTCGTATTTAAACGTATCGGTTCTGTATGCCTCGAACCACCCGTATTCCGCAGCGCGTGTTTTCACGACATCGTGTAACGCCTCTAATGTCGGTGCCTCACCCCAGAGCTCGTAGATAGCTCGTACAAGAACGGCACGCTTCACCAGGCGCTTCGCAGTCTCCTCATCTGGAAGGTCGACGACGAGGAATGGTGAGGAGTTCGTGTAGGCGCTCAAATCGACGTCGATACCCTCAAGTTTGGCGAGGGCGTCGAGCTCGGGAAGTCGGAAGTCCTCGTGGACGTGTGCGAAGAAGATGAGGTATTGCATCAGATTGCTTCAGCGGGTGTATGGTTCTTCTTGATTAAGGTTTGAACCTGACGTTTTTGAGACGGTCGTGCTATTTTTAGAAGTGTGGCACGGTTGGGCGCAGTCCACGTCTGTGTACCGATGTACTGTACATGCTTGGTATCAACGAGCGAAGGTTACATCAACGGCGATGTTGCAAGTCAAGCTGGACGTCGAACCTTAAGCTCCTTGTCAACGTCACCGCTCTCCATCTGGATTGCGACATCGTCGTTAATTAGCTGCAGTACAACAAATGCGACAAATGCTTTCGCTACATATACTCGAGCTCATAACAACCACACGGCCAGTGACTCGCGTTACGGCCTACAACAACGTGCACGCCTGCAGACCTCCACTGTCATGGTACCGCTTCAATTCTACCTCCACCTCCACCTCCGATCCAGCTGAGAAGGTTGCACCTGTTTTGCGGAAGGGTCCGTGGTCTGTTGAGGAGACCCGGAAATTTGAGGACTATATTGAGAGCAATGGACAGATGAACGCTTCCTGGGAAGATATCAATTGGGAAGAGGTTGCGAACAGCGTTGGGACCCGCACAGTGCGACAATGCCAAGAGAAATGGCGCAAAACATCCCACAACCCCCTCTCCCCCACTACATATACTCCCTGGACCATTGAGGAGAAAAAGATTCTCAAAAAAGCCTATGAAGTATATGGCAACAATTGGAGTTTGATTGAACGATTGCGTTTGCTTCCAGGGCGAAGCGCGTCTAACATGATGTACCGGTTTCATGATTGCGGCTTGGAGGGAACAGAGTACACAAACGGACGCTTCACGGAGGAGATGCTGAGAAAGATCCAGAAGTTGTTGGATGACTCTGATGGGAAATATCACCATAGTAACGGGGACATCAAATGGATAATACTTGTCAAAGACAACTTTCCAGGCTGGTCACGCCGCACCATAATTAACGAATACCGGCGGCTCTGCGTCACTGAGGTAAGCTCCCGACAGGGTCCATGGTCCGAAGATGAAACAAAGAGGCTTTGGTGTGCTGTTGAAAAATACCTTGATAAACCTACAATGACAAAAGTTGAGCAATGGGCCGCAATCACTAAAGAGGTAGGCACGCGAACTCCTTCCAAGTGCCGGCAAAAATGGAAGAGCCTTGAATCGTTACAACACAAGGCAACCGCCGACGACGACAAACCATCACTACGTGCACGCTGGTCACATGACCAAACCCTCCACCTTCTCTCCCTCGCCCAAAAACACAGCCTAAATTGGCCACTCATTGCTGCGGACATGGCCTCAGCACCTGAGGAAAAGAATCGCAGATTCACTAACGTTAACAGCTGTTGTGGTAGATTTTGGCGTATGATAAACTTGAAACGAGGGCAACTGGAGCCGGAGCTGGACCATCATTTAAGGCATTGTTTGGAGAGCCTTGGGATGACACATATCTTGAGCCAGGCAAAGGGGTCGGGGCCGGGGAAGAGAGAGCATCAGAAACCCATGTACATGCTCGGGCGCAGGATTAGAGAAGCTGATGTGGAGGGGGAGTAGCAGGTTGGGGAGGCCATCAAGATGTCTTGAAGAGAATTAGGAGAACGATTGAAGACAATGATGCTCCGTGCAGCTGCTTCTTGACGAGAGAGGAACCGAGCATGAGAGGGAGAAGGTGAACGAGGAGGGACAAAGTACAGAAGGTGCGGGAGATGGTGAGGTCACCAAACTTGCGGGGCTTGGGGCCTCGGAGGCAAACGAGAATCTGGCAAGGGTGGATGGTGTGACGTTCAACCTTCCCAGGCAGGTTCATGTGCCTAGGTACTTGTTGTATGTGCGATCTAACCGCTGACACCTGTGTACTCACTTGACCATGAAAATGAAATTACTCATATATTCCACTTCCTTCCGTTCCTTAAAACTCTGACCCCTCCGCGGGCTGCGCCAATTTCCTATTTGCACCACTCCCCATTTCCCTCCTCAACTCCGACAACACCGTCTCCAAAGTATACTCACTCCTCCAACTTGCCAAAACACCTAGTCGACTCGGATCGACGTGCCCTGAGGTCGCGTTTACGCAGGGGAGGTTGATGCGGGAGATGAATGAAATAGTTGGGGGGGTGTCGGGGTAGGAGGGAGAACAGTGGAGGCGGAGGGAATAGATGCGGTTTTCGTGGGTTGACTGTACAAAGCAAACGAACAGTCAGCACAATATGGATGAGAAGTGGCAATTCAGGGAACATACGTGAGGAGGGCCGAGGATCGTCCCGTTCCAGTTTGACATGGTCATGTCTTCTCCATCAGCCAGACCGTAGGAGCAGGAGCCGTCTCCAATTCCCTTTTCTCCCTTCTCTAGCTCTTCCAAAAGACGGAAGTTACGTGGGACTTTTGCCATTGTAATTGATTGCTCGTAATTAGGATTGTATGGAGGTGAGTTGACAACTGCCGTTCATGCAGGACAGGATGTACGGCTGCGTCACCGACGACTGCGCAGGAAGGGTTTGAAACGGAGAAGCTCAATTGGGATCTGGTCAATCTGAGTTGTTCTGTTTGCCGTTTTCAGTTGTATCCTATAGTTAAGCGGCGAAGGCCAATCGGCTCCAGCGCAGAGCGTGCTCAGCACGGTCCGTTCACACATCTTTACAACACCGCGAGCAGGAGCACCAATCCTGTAGGGAGTTCGCTTGCATCAGAAACTCTTCTTTCGGTCTTCACCTTTGAGGGTTTGCCATGCTCTCTCTCCTCCAACGCGAACTCTCATTCTTCTCGAACGAAGCCAAAAAGAAGCAATCCAACGTTAAAGACGCCGCAGACACCTCCGCAAAACTCCTCACCGAAGCCGCCCGTCATGCCCGTACATCCGGCGAATCAGACCTAGCTAACGAACTACGTGCCCGGCCGGCCTTCTTTACGACTTTCTGGAGGGCATGCGAGACGAAGGATGCAAAGTTCGTTAATTCGAGTTTACTGGCGTTACAGCGGCTGATACCGACTGCCGCTATCCCGGACACGTCGCTGCATTCGTTGATTCGGGCGTTCGTCGTCGCCTCTCGTATTCCGAGCACGGATATCAACCTCAAGCTTTTACAGTGTTTACCACCATTGTTCACCTCGCCCTACTATGCTCATGCCTTAACAGGCGAACTCTTATCCGATGCACTCCGAATCTGTTTTGAATTTGCGACCACGAGAGGGGGCGGGCTGGTCAGTGATATCGCCGGCGCGACATTACGGCAATGCTTACGATCGCGCTTCGAGCTCTGCGAGGTCGAAGGTGACGAAGGACAGAAAGCCGCTCGATCGCTGCTTGACGCCCAGAAGATATTCGAGGATTTGTGCATCTTGGTAGGCGGTGCAAGAGATGGGACCAGCACCCCTTCCTTCCTCAAATTGAATAATCTGCATACCGACCTGGCTCTGGAATTGATCGAAGGGATTTTGTCGGGGCATAGTAGTTTGTTGGCAACCCACGAGGAGTTTGTGAGAGTATTACAAGCACGACTGGCACCTCCCATCATCCAATCTTTTTCCGAAAAGCGAGACTTCACCACAACCATCCGGACAGCCCGCGTTGTATCCCTACTACTTCGAAGATTCCTGCCACACCTCGTCACGGAGTGTGAGATCATTTTGTCTTTACTCCTCCATATGCTCGAACCGGACTCCACATCCGCTGCGTGGCGACGGATGTTGGCGATGGAGATACTGAGAGAGACGGTTTGCGGAGAACATGATCTACTACGACTCATTTACACATCGTACGATGCTGCTGATACGCATAAACCGATGCTTAGGGAGTTGGTAACGGCGCTAAACCGTCTCGCGTCCGAGAAGATTGCGTCCTCAACGCCTGCTGTGATGCCGTCGTTGAATCGCGCGGAGTCAGCATATGAAGTAGCTGGAGGCGTCGCAAACATATTGTCGACAGCGCTCACTGGTACATCACAGGATAATCTCATAGTGTCTAATTCTTGTGAGCCGAAGACTCCGTATATTGAGATGCTGGATAAATCTGGTCCGCCGCCGGGAATCGCGTCCGGGTATTTGGGGTTGCTTGTTGTGGAGTGTGTTAGAGGGATCGTGGAGGGGTTAGTTTGGTTTTGTGGGCCGTTGGTGGAGGGAGATCAAGCCCTTGCTGAGGCCGTACGGGCGGAAGATGTTTCTCCATCTGACGCCAGGTCCAGTATCACGAGCGGACCCGGGAAATGCTCTATGGAGAGTGAGGAGGGTATGGTGAGGGAATTCAAAGGCGAGAAGCCGGTGGATTACGATGATGTTATGGAGTGTAAGCTGATTCTGAATGATAACTGGCCGGGGTTGTTGGCGACGTTCTCGACCTTTCTATCCTCGACACTCCTCGACTCGACACTCTTCGAAGGCATCGTGGGGTCCTTTGGGGAGTTGACCGTGCTGCTCTGCCGTCTGGGTTTGGCGACACCGGCTGAGGCGTTCATGACGATGTTTTTGCGGTATGCGACCCCGTTGGGTGCAGATGCAGGTGCTGGTGGGTCAACTCAACCAGGTTACAGTTTGAGCACGGCTTCGTTCTCTATGGCGTTGGCCTCGCCTACGATATCGAAGGTTATTGATGGCGCACGGAGTTTGTGGGGCGCCGAAGCAGTGGCTATTTCGCCCGGCTCCATTACACCAGTGGGGACACTTCAAGACGGCGGCGGGCAACAGCCGTTCTCGAGTCGGAACCTGATTTGCGTTAAGTGTTTGCTCGACGTTGGTCTCAAACTTGGAGACGACCTCGGGAAGGCGTGGTCGATCGTCTTAGAGGGCTTACAGCAAGCTGATCTGGGGTTGTCGACGTCTACATCACTTTCGTCAAAACGAACGAGTCAAAGGCCGGACGACTTGGGAGTTGATCCGAGGAATGTAGTTGAGTTGCAGGAACGTATGAAGGAGATGGTTGAGAAGACGACGTCATTTGCGCATCCCGAGTTCCGGGGGTTCCTTGAGTGTCTTTGTCAGTTGAACGCGACCCTGATTGGATTGATAACGAGTACGGAGTCGGATCCTGGATATGTTGCGTCCTCTGCAAATGCTTCCTCGCCCCCGCCTTCTCCTGCGGCAATAATTCGGCACAGTCACCGTCGAACCGCGAGTTCGGCGAGTCTGTCAAGGATTATCACGTTGACGTCGAATCCCCTGAAGCAAACCTTTGCATTGGACAAGTTGCTTGAAGTTGCTGAGCACAATATTCCAAGATTCGCGCGGTTGAAGCCGGAGGCGTCGGGGTGGAAGCTCATCGTCGAGCATTTACACAAGACTGTACGAGCGAGGGAGGTATCCAATGATGTTCGGGTCCGGGCAGCTAAGATTATATGCAGGCTTGCCAAGCTATTGTCATTGCAAGAGGAGGTATACGAGATAGCCGGGGCTCAGCAGCGCTTTCTACGGTCACTGGAACCTCTAGTGCTTGTCACGCAATCTCAGTCAACAATATCTATCCCAGACTCTTCGACGAAAGCTGCTGAACTCGAAATCCGGAGATTGGCGCTAGAGACTTTGAAAGACGTGCTTGACGAGTCTGGCCAAGCGCTGACGGAGGGATGGGATATTGTCATCGAGATTCTCCGATCTACGACGACGAGGTCTGCGAGTTCTGGGTCTGGGACGGCCACGCCAACGCCGGAACTGTTATCGCTCAATCCTGTCTCAGATAAATTGGTACGGTTGGCTTGTGAGTCCGTCCAACTCATTTTTTCCGAGTATCTCGCCGCTGTTCCTGTTGCAGCGCTGACCACGCTCATCGAGGCACTTGGCTCGTTCGCTGGGCAAGATGAAGATTTCAATGCTGCCTTGACCTCTGTTGGTTTGTTCTGGATCTTGTCTGATTACATTCAAGCGCAATGTCCGTCTTCGGTCGATTTTGAGCGTGTTTTTGACGGCTACGAAGATGTTATACGCTCAAATCAAGAACGACCCGAGGATGTGTATGCATTGTGGATGCGACTGCTCCTTCAGCTCTGCGATCTGGCGAAAGACGAGAGACCCGAGGTGAGACATGCCGCGATTCAGATCATCTTCCGGGTCTTCTCAAACTTCAATGGAGGTGTTCGTGCTTGGCAGTCTTGTTGGATCATCTTAGCTCAATTGATGAGTTACAACCCCGATTCGAATCCCGATCAGTATGAGTACGAGCAAGAGGACTTGCGCCATGGGGAAACTACCAATCTTCTTCTCGAGGGCATATCTAACGTGTTCACTCAGCACATCGAGGTGTTTGAAAGTGTACCTTCGTTCTTATCTTTCTGGGAACGCAGCCTTGGCTTTCTCGGCCAAATCAGCGAGCAGAACGAGGCGAAAACAACGCCAGCTGCGTTTATCGCTATGAACACTGTTTTCGTTGCTGCAGGAAGGGTCTCCGATCGCTTGAAACTCTGGGAATCGTCCTGGCAGACATGGACACACGCCGGCACTTGTCTTCTCGGAAGCGGTCGGAGTGCGGAGGCGGTGTCACAGGAGTCTTTCCATGCCTGTCTTAAAACATTCGGAGCGCTCCGTCAACTCTCACCTGGTGCGCTTGGTGAGGCTGATCTGCAGCAATTTCTCGAGATACTTTACGACGTCCTCTCGTACCAGGAAGGTGGCACGTATCCCTATGACATGGACATCCTGTCGCCTGTACAGACCGCGGTCCTGTCATGCATGACTTCTTTTACCGAGGAGTCCGCTAATTCACCAGTTGACATCATGGACTTCCTAATAAGGGCACTAAGATTAGCGATTCGAAATGGCGGTCTTAGAGTCAAGGGTAAGCCGACTTATGTGGCTTTTACAAATGCTGCGATCGAGTTCGCGGCAACATTCTACGCCGCTCACTATGAGAACACATCCATCTACCGCTCTGGCTCATACAACTGTCTGGTTAGCGTCCTACAGGAATACGTCACCCTCAAATATCACGGACCAGATCAAGGCAAATCGCGCAAGAACCCCAATTTATGGCGTTCGGCGACGCAGCCTTTGGTCGAACTAGCTTCGAGGGGTCTCCCTGTTCTGCTCAGAGAAGCCCCGGAGAGACGTGCCCAGGTGATGAGAACGATGTTGAAGGGGATGAGTAGTATGACGTTTGTCTCGCCGGAGGATTATCTCCTTCAGGCCGACAGTACGGATGAGAATTTCGATATGGACGCATTATCGCAGTTGCAGGAACCCATTGTTACCGCTCTTGGTCACGAGTCCTCTACTGCTTCTGATGACGATCTCGTTGATGCGTACATCACATTATTCGCCCGAGCTTCCGTGATCAACCCCCTCCGACCCATCCGCACCTCCTCGGCACTCACCCCCGAAGAAAAGCAATGGGGCAAAAATCCTAACCCGCGACGCGCCATGGGATTGTTCTGCCTGAACGAGCTATTCCGCATCAGCGTTGTCGCCAGAGAGAGAAATTACCCACGAATCACGGAAAGAGCGGTTGAAGCATCTCTCCGCAGAGCCATGATGACACTCGAGAATTTTGTCGTGGATCGGCCTGTCGCGGGTAAGAAACCGATGCGGAAGATGGAAAAGAAGGAGGTTAGGGAGATTGTTGATGGGGTGCTTGGGTTGGGTGGAAGAAAGGACAAGCCGTTTATGAAGTTATACCCGTTATTTGTGACGGCGTTGCCGCTGTGTGGGGGTGAGAAGGACATGATGGATACGGTGGGTAGGATATTTGCGGCGGCACCTTGAATGATATTTGATGACTTTCTCACGCTCATGGCTGGCAGTAAGCCATACTATATAAAACGAGTTTCACTCCTCAAACGGCACCTCCCTCCTCCAAAACTCCGCAATCTCCTCCCTCTTCGCAACCCAAACCCCCTCTTTCCCGCTCACATACTCCATAAACCTCTTCAACCCCCCCACCCTTCCCGCCCGTCCCACAATCCTACAATGCAACCCAACCGACATCATCTTCGGACGCCCCGCGACGCCTTCGGCATACAGCGCATCGAACGCGTCACGGAGGTATTCGAAGAATTGGGACGATGTCACGAAGCCTGGCGCACAGTGGAATTTCATGTCATTGTTGTCGAGGGTGTAGGGAATGATCAGGTCGTTGTGGGGTGTGTAGTAGGGTAAATCGTCGTTGTATTCGTCGCTGCTGTATAGGAGCTCGTCGTGGCCTTGTTCCGCGTAGACTTCTTTCACGATCGCCAAGGAGCGGGAGGAAAAGCGGCCGGTGTACCATCCCCTCGGAATGGGCGCACCGGCGGCTGAGATGGCGTGGAGGTGTTTCCGGACGTGGTCGCGTTCCTGGTCTTCCGTGAGTGCGGAATAATCGATCCACCGATAATGGTGAGAAGCGATTTCATGTCCACCCTCCATCATCGCCCTGACAACACCCGGATTCAACTCCACCGCCCTCCCAACAGCCCAACACGTAAACACCCACCCAAACTCCTCAAAAAGCCTCAAGATTCTCCAAACACCACACCGCGCTCCGTATTCATACCCGCTCTCCACGTCACGTCGACGGCGTGGGACGGAGATGTTGGAGGGGGATACACCGATTTCGGTGAGGTATGTTTCGGAGCCGGGGTCGCCGTTCGCGAGGGAGTTTTCGCCGCCTTCTTCGTAGTTGAGGACGAAGGAGAGGCAGAGTTTGGCGTTGTTTGGCCAGGTGAAGCTGGGAGGGGAGGGGCCGTAGCCGATGAGGTCGCGGGGTGGGCCAGATAGTTGGCTGGACATGGTTAGTTACTGTTGCGACGGAGATCAAATGATCAATCGATGGTGTAGTGGTTGGGCCTAGCCGAAGGAGCCGAGGGCGGGGGGCTTATCGGCGGTGGCTCGGGCAGGCACAATCAGATCGAATGCACGCGCCACAACCTTAACACTCCGTTTGCTGCTGAACACGTGATAACTTAAATAGCCTTCTCCCCCTCCAACCGGTCACCAACAACAACCGTCTCACTCTCAACCCCACCACCAACACCCACCCCCAGCCCCTCCCCCCCAACAACCCCCTTCCCCCTCGGCATCCACCTCCCCGGAAACCCCCACCCAACATAAACAACCCCAGCAAGCAAAATCATCAACGTATCAAACCCATAAAAATAAGCTTCGTGCGTAGGAAGGTATCCGGTCCACCCCTGCGAGAACTCGATGACGCGGTAGATTTGCCGGATGAGAACGAAAAAGCAGGATGTGTAGAGGACGTAGAGGAATGGACGCCATTTGGTGGGCGTCGGAGAGGAGGAGCGCCGGGTGTGGATGTCGAAATAAGTTATCTGGAGGCAGAAAATTGCGAAAGAGGCGAGGTTGACGGCCAAACCCGCCATGAGGACATTATTCCCCTTATTGTACGCCGCGTTGATTTGAGCGAGCGTATTCTTCCCCTGATCAACACTCAACAAAATCACAGCCCCAGCGATCTGGATACATAGACTAACCACATCCGACGCGACAAAGATATACGAGATCAACGTGGGCGGCAATAGAGAGTGTTGTCGCCCGACATAATTCATCAAGCGTCCGAGGAAGACGTATTCAGCCGCTGCGTAAAAGATGGGCGCGATGATGACGCACGCATCCATACACTTAAACAGGGTCGCACTCCCCGCCGGATCCCTCGCCAACGGAATCCGTGCCCCGTACCCGATAGACTCCATGATTCCCCCCGCCACCAACGGCGCAAAGTACCACGCGCGCCAGCGTACCATCTGCCAACACCCCGCCACCACAACCAATCCATAAAGCACGAGTGCAGCGATGGCCAATCCATAGTTCGGCATGTAGTGGAAGAAGTTTTGGGGATCGTTGTAACCTTCTTGGACGGGGATCGCAAGACCGGTTGAGACGGGGTGGATTGTGTAGCCGGCGGGGGTTGAGGTCCAGGTTGGGGAGCCGGAGATTAGGGTGTAGCCGGGTGGGAGTGTGTAGGTTGTTAGTTGGCGGTGGATGGTGGTTGTGATCTCCAGGACCGTACTTGTTGGGAGCGACATCGTAGCAGCTGAGCTGGACTGTATGCTGGACGGGGAGGGAGCGTCGGTGGTGAGTTTTGTTGTCGCCTGGCGTGTGCGGAAGTTGCCGTACAGCCAGGGACAAGCGCGCTTTTGATCTTTGCAGGGGAAAGGAGAGCCGACAGCGCTTATCGCGTTCCCACGCCTGCTCCTGGATGTGGGGATCGCTGCCGATGGCCAGGACCAATCTGGCGATCACATGACGGTCAGATGACAACAGCCCTTCCTTTGGCCCGAAGCCCCTTCCCTCTGCACCGCATCAATAATCCTCCGCCCCGTACGCCTCGCCCCCTTTCTCGCACCGAACTCGGACCGATTTCGGCTTCCATCACAGCCCCTATACGCATCGCCTGATTTTCGGTGTTCTGTTTGGTCAATTTCGCCAATAGGCGAGCGCGGGGCCGACTAGGGCGACACTTCGCGGGGATTTGGGGGCGCGGCTTGCTCAGCCTCGTTTTTGTGGGGTGATCCTGAGGCGGGTGCCCGTCCATGGGGAAGGGACGGGAAATAGGCTGCGAGACGGAAGCGGATTTGGAGCCAGGAAAGTCGCCGGTTTCGAGCAAGAGGCCTAGGCAGTGAGAACCCCAGGAAGAAGAAGGAGGATTGGGTGGCGGATCAAGGGGGAGGAGAGGAAGCTTGAAGAGAGAGAGAGGAGACCTGTACATGTACGCCGCGACCAGCTGGCAACAATCACCCTTATAACTGTTAAGCCTTCCCTTCTCGATCAAGGCATCTCGGCGCCATCTCGGGGCCACCTCCGGGACGAAACACACTAATACGGCAGCGGGGGATCTGCACCCCAACAAATGGAGTACATTGCGGAGCGCAGAAGCGAAAACTCAAATGCCCGTGGACACGTGCCCTCTCTATATAAACCGGTCCGTCCCCAGCTTTTTGGAGCAGTCTCATAGGATCAACAAGCAAGCTGTGGAAAAAAGATGGCGAACAGCAAACTACCCGCGATTCTGATGACATGCTTTGCCGCCTTTGGTGGTATTTTGTTTGGTTATGACACTGGGTATGTTCCTCCTCTGCTCTTGTCGCAATGTAACATCGATCGCTGACGCAAACGTTACAGAACGATCTCCGGTATCATCGCCATGCCCCATTTCCTCGAGGTCTTCGGTACCCTCGGCCCCGACGGCGTCCACTACATCCCCTCCGCCGACAAATCCCTCATGGTCTCCATTCTCTCCGCCGGAACCTTCTTCGGTGCTCTCCTCGGTTACCCCTTCTCCGACTACATGGGCCGCAAATGGGGTCTCATCGCCGCGTGTCTCGTATTCTGTGTCGGTGTTGCGCTCCAAACCGCTGCTGTCGGTGTCGCTGTCTTCTCAGTCGGAAGATTCGTCGCGGGTTTGGGTGTCGGTATCGTGAGTTGTTTGGTACCGATGTATCAGAGTGAGTGTTCGCCAAAGTGGATTCGTGGTACTGTTGTGTCTTGTTACCAATGGGCTATTACCATCGGTCTCCTCCTCGCCGCCATCGCAAACAACGGCTGCAAAGACCGTCCGGACGCCTCTGCCTACCGTATCCCCATCGGTATCCAATTCATCTGGGCTGCGATCCTCGCAGGTGGAATGCTCTTCCTCCCCGAATCCCCACGCTACTACATCAAGAAGGGCCGTAACGACCTTGCTGCACACTCGTTGTCGCGCTTGTTGAACTGTGATTTGGAGGATGAGGAGTTGAAGACTGAACTCGCTGAGATCCAGGCGAACTTGGAGCATGAGAGACGCATTGGCAGTGGAACCTACTTGGACTGCTTCAGGGAGGGCAAGGGAAAGAACCGCATGAGGGTTCTTACTGGTATCTTCCTGCAGGCGTGGCAGCAGTTGACTGGTATCAACTTTATCTGTATGTGGCCTTCCTCCTGTCCGTTTTGAGATTCAAGAGGCTAATGAGTGTGTCACAGTTTACTACGGTACAACCTTCTTCGAGCAATCCGGCATCAGCAACCCCTTCATCATCACAATCATCACAAACGTCGTCAACGTCGTCTCCACCGTCCCAGGAATGTACCTCGTCGAACGCCTCGGCCGCCGTCAACTCCTCCTCATCGGAGCAGCAGGAATGTGTCTGTGTGAATTCATCGTCGCCATCGTCGGTGTCACTGTTGGTTCTGACAACCTTGCGGCACAGAGGGTGTTGATTTCGTTCGTGTGTATCTACATTTTCTTCTTTGCGGCGAGTTGGGGACCGATTGCCTGGGTTATCTGTGGTGAGATTTACCCGCTCTCGATTCGTGCGAAGGCTATGTCCCTCTCCACCGCCTCCAACTGGCTCTGGAACTTCGGTATCGGGTACGCGACGCCTTACATGGTCGACGCCGGACCCGGAAACGCAAACCTCGGTGCCAAGGTCTTCTTCGTCTGGGGATCCACTTGTCTCGGATGTTTGATCTTCACTTACTTCCTCATTCCCGAGACCAAGGGTTTGAGTTTGGAGGAGATTGATGTCATGTACGAGGAGGTTAGCCCGAGGAACAGTGTTAGGTGGAGCCCGGCTGCTGGGTTGAGGCACGATTCGGAGAACCAGTTCTCCAAGAGTGTGCATGATCAGAAGGTTAGTGAGACGAGGGTTGATGATATTAGGATGAGCGATGTGTAGGTTATTACTGTAGGAAATGGAGGAGCATGGTTTTGGGATGCGTGTGAGTTTTGGTTTGACGCTTTGCTTGGACTACTATTTCAGCTTAATATGGTGCATCCTTCTCTTAACGATATTTTTTTTTCACGCCATAAGTTTCATTTCTGTATTAAGTTTTCTGATCCTCTTATATAGAGTTCTGCACGATAGCTATTATGTAGCAAATTCTCCTATTATCGTTTTGGCACGTCTTTGTTTCATAATCATACATCTCAACCGGTATTCCTGCTTCTCAATCATGCTTCTTCGCGTACTTACTCTTCTTCCTCAACCAACCTCCATACCGATACAACACGAACGGAATCGGAATCATCCCCACACTAATGAACCCAAGCAACGAACATCCCCATCCAATACCCAAGTTCGCAAACAACGGAGTCGCAATCAACGGGAACCCAGCACCAAACGCCGCACGGAAGAAATCGTTTCCGGCATAGACACTCGCTGCGTATTTGGGGTACGCGTCTCCGAGGTAGTTGATGACACACTGGAAGAGAAGGAACGCACCCACTGAGAAAAATGAGGATCCGATGATGGGGACAATCCAGTGAATACGGGGACGAGACGTCCATCCGAACCAGAAGAGGCAGATCGGGATCCAGATCGACGCAAACATCGCCGCCTGCAACCGCAGCTCGACGGGGCGAAGATTACCCTCATCATCGAATTTCTTCTCGAGGTAAAAGTATGAGTAGGCGAAGTATCCGAACGTGGTGATGATTGTCATTACGAGAATGCCCATGAACGCCAAACCTTCCTCTCCGAGGTTGAAACCGTAGAACTCGGTGAAAACAATCGCGAACGACTCGAACCAGATATAGAGAATACCGTACACGAGAGCAATGTAGAGGTCGAGCAAGAAGACGATAGGTTCACCAAACGTCAACTGGAATGGACGCCAGAGGCTCATGACAGCAACTTGGCTGACTGTCATCTGACTCTGCTCTATCTCGCCTTCCGATTTGAGGTCTTTGTTACCGGTCAACTTCCTCAGTCTGCGGGCACGCTTAACGAGGATGTTCTCCGCGCTCGTTTCAGGGAGGAAGAAAGCGAGGATCAAGAGACTTCCACCACTCAACCACAACAACACCCAAAACGTCCATCGCCATCCATTCGCGTCCGCAGCGAAACCACCAAGGAGAGGACCGAGCACGGGTCCACAGACAGCTGCGCACCCCCAGATAGCAATAGGGTACGCGCGCTTCTTGGGCCCGAACATATCACCAATGCTCGCTCCACCCGTAGCAAGCGGCGGCGACCCAACAAAACCCGCAGCAAATCGCAACGGAATCAATGCGCCGAGGCCACCGCACAACGCAGTAGGCACCTGCAAACAAACAAAAATGATAAGACAGATGATGTAAATCGTATTTCTCCCAATCGCCGGGATCTCGCTCAGCGGTGAAAGGAACATCGGTCCGATGCCGTATCCTGCAACGAAGGCTGTAAGACCAAGTGTCGCAGGGACTTGGGTGATCCCCCAGCGTTGTTCGATATCGGGGATGCCGGGGGAGTAGATGGATGACCCGATGTAGACTGCGAAAGTCAATAGACAGATCAAGGCGGTGACGGAACATCGTTTTCCAAGGGACCAGTTGGCAGGGTTTTCGGGATCGATGTCGGAGTACCACGTTACAACATTGGGATCCTTACGAGTTCCTTCGTATGGGTCTTTCTTGCCCTTCTCTTCATCGTCTGCATCTCGTGGCTTTTCGTTGTCGTTATCCTCGCCAGAGTGTTGGGAGCCAGAGTCAACGGCGGTCGAGTTCGAGTTCTGACGGCCTCGTTCCTGTCGTCGTTGATTCTCCTCCTTCTCCTGCTCACGAGCCGCGGTCTCCCGCTCAATATACTCCTTCGTATACTGCTCCGGGAACTGTCCCTCGATCTCTTCGGGATACTTCAGAAAATCAAGCTTTGGCCCAAACGCACCACGCAACAAAATCCCTACAAAGGACTCGCGAAACCAGTCTGGTGCTGGCATCTTCAAGTTAAGCCCTCTTGATATGATCTCGTTCGCGGTCGTTCGAACTCGTTACTGAACATCCTCCCAACCCCCAGGACATACGAAGGGTTTTAATGACCTCCTCAGCTGATGAATGACCTCCTCCATACTCTTTCCCCTCATATGCATTCGCGTGGGATGACGTTGACGACTCCCTCGATCGGGGAGCCGACGCGAGTCAACCGTCGGCGATGCGCGCAGTTTTTGGAAAATCGCACGGGACGAGAAATAGCCGAGAGACATTGAGCGTCATTCCGGTTGATAAATTAGAGAAAGTGGATATTCTAGAACGAATGGATTCGCGGTGCATGGGAGGACAAGCTGCGCGCATCGGTACGGGAGGTTGAGTTGTCGGCTCTGGCGGCTTCGGGACGGATGAGGCTGTCATTCGCGATCGCTTCAGCGTCGGCAGGAGCTACTTCGTAAGTCGTGATTTCCAATCATTTCTGCCCTATATTCTTCTGACAAGTACGTACGTCTTGAGCTTACCTAACCAACGGCTCTGCCGAAACTGGACTCACTCCAGCCGCAGAAAAAGTCAACGTCACGGCATATGACGTAGCCTGATTGATCACTTAGGTCTGGATGAAACCCTTATTGTATTTCTGCGAAGCCTGATCATTCTAGATCTGACGGCGGAGGAGAAAGACTATCCTCCTTCTTCACCGTCTTCCGTTTCCTCCCAGACCTCCTCATACCCTCATGCACCTCCTTCTCCTCCTTCACCGGCTTTGGGTTCTCCTCTTCCTCTTCCTCGTCCTCGCTTTCCTCCTTGACCTTCTTCCTCTTCGTACCACCTCTCTTTGTTACCTTCTTCGAAGTCCCGTCTATGTCGGATGTTCCGATGAGTTTTTGTCGGCTTGAAACGACTGCGGAGGTCCGGCCTCCGACGGTGATGAATGTGATTTTCTCACCGGATGGCATATAGCCAGCTTGCACCCCACCACCATTCCCATCCTCCACATCTTCCTCTTCTTTGACCTTCCGCTTCTTCCCCTTACTCTTCCCTTTACTCCACCTGTGTTTGAATAGCCAATCCTCAGGAAAGCTATCAGAGTCACCACCAGCTTCCACCGCCGTCACAGGTACCTTCCTAGTCCATTCCCACAATCTCTCCAGTTGTCTTTCGTCAACTGTATTCGAATATTGCTCGGGGTGTATCCCCGCTTGATACAACACCTCATCCGCGACCCAATTCCCTACCCCTGCGCTGAACGCTTGATCTAACAAGAGTGCTTTGATCGGGACGCGGCGCGCGCGGACTTTGGCGGAGAAGAGGGGGAGGGAGGGCATACATATCACTGGATCGAAACCGAGGCGGGAGAGGGGTTCGTCGGACATGGGATCTTGGGTATGAACCAACCTCACCCGTCCCAGGCGGCGGGGATCGCAGAATGCCATTTCGGTGCCGTCGTCCATCATCAATGTAAATTTCCAGAACTTCGGTGGCCAGATATCGGTGGATGAAGCGTCGCGGTGGGAGTAGTAGTGGGTTTTTGTGTTGCGGATGTGTGGCCAGCCCGTCATGCCCAGATGCATCAGTACGCACAATCCTTCGCTTATCTCCTGCGCTTCCATCTCGAACCAGAAGTACTTCCCATACCTCTTAACACTACCGATAATTCGATTCTCGAGGGCGTCCTTGAATGCCGTGGCGGACGTGGGAGAGACGTAGAGGATTGCGTCGTCAGGTGCGGTGATGGAGGTGATGCGTTTTGAGGCGAGATGGGTGTGGAGGAAGGTTCGGGCACGTTCGACTTCGGCAAGTTCTGGCATCCTTGTAGGTTCGTAGGTGTCGGGAACAGCAAGAGGCGGGATCAGGGAGAGGAGGTTGGAGGAGGTTGGAGGAGGTTGGGAGGAGCTACGCTGACGTCGTGAGAAGAATCCTTTCAGGCGGTGGTCATGACGTCACGTGCACCTGCACTCCGATGCACGTTAATTGCAGCGTAACATTTGAGGCTCCAGCTATTCGACGACGAAGGTTGTTACCGTTCCCATGGTTGGTGTAGCCATTTGCTGCTGTGGGACGTGCATGTGATGTATCTAAGGAGGTACCCTCCCCGCGATCTTTCGCGTAACGTCGAAGTGCACACGTGGACTCTCGAGCGTGTGACGGTTGATTACTCGTTTCGATATCTTGAAGGGTCAGGGTTAAGCTTGAATGAAAGGAGGTTCGCTTGGAGCCACAGAACACTCGCCTTGCCCTACCTCCATCCCGGGCCTTGAGGTGACAAGAGTAAGGATCCGGTGACGTCCACGAGGCTCGTTGCAAACATGTTGGGGACGAAAGGATGGTCATCGCTTGTTATTTCCCCGTACTTCCGTCATGCAAACACGAATGACGTTCGACATCCCGAGAACTGAGAACAGCCCCTGATGCTTGGCTGCGACAGCTAGATCTCGATCCAGCATCCACAAGCCCGCTGAGAAATCCATGGCTCATGTCTAAACGTCCTGACACTGCCAGCATTCTCAAAGCCTATCGGCTTCTGCGGCTTCAGAAACTGTAATGGACACGCGCCTGAAAACTTTAGAGTTCGGGCCGGGTGCAGGGGATGATCACGCTCGTCTGCTCTTTTGGAGTTCCTCGATACACGTACGGACGTAACCTGGACACAAGCTCATATACACATGCACATTCAGGCTACGTTACAAATCTCGGCAACTCGTCCGACACTCCGTGCAATTCCCGTTCTCGAACCTCTTCCAAGTTTATCCGCCTTCACTTTACATACGTCCAAATTGGCTCACCAGGTCCTCCATTGTTTTATGCTGACGCGTCTGAAACAGCAAACATCCTGAAACTAGAAGCACGGAGGCGCAACCGATCCGGTAAACGGCGCCGTTTGATTCTAGGCCTGCGTAAGTGCCTTCGGAACAGATAAGATAAAGTGCGAGGTGTTTTTGTGGGGCGTAGACCAAGCTGGCCGTGACTCATGATCAGCTGAAGCAATTGCAATTGGAAGGTGCTCGACATTTGTTACCTAGGCCTGTCATGACACGAGTTCGAGGTAACCTGTCACAGCCTCGATGACGCGACCTGATCACCTCACCGCTCGAACCCAATCGCAAAACCTACCGCGCTCCGGATGCCCAATAGCCAAACTCAAACTCTAATGATAAGAAGGCATGCAGGGCCTTTTCCTCAGGGCATGACCTACGTATGAGACAAACGCCCCGGTAGGGACACGGGAAACGGGCCGTCTTTCGTCCGCTCAACTGCTATGACGCATCCTCATTGGCTGAAACTCTACGGTCCAGTTGTCCAGACCTTGTCGCAATGAGTCTAATTGGGAGAGGTGTCGATCTAATCCGAGGCAGTGTTTGAACAAACGGGTGAAGGGACCATGAATCGTTAAGCGACATTAGTCATCACATGTGAGGTTGAAACCTGACGCAATCCTCTCTACCCAGAAGTTAAATGAGAGCGGACACGAGACGTGCGTCGCAGGGGGATTTCTCTTATATCTTCTCGGCAGAGCCACTTGGCGACCAACGTCTGTGTTTCGATACCGCACTATACGTATACGTGTAAACATTGATCCACGATGGCCGAGACGAACGGAATTGGTTTAAAGGCTCCTAGTCAGCAGGTGAAGCGCCGAGGTATGCTGGATGACTCAAACGGATTGGTTGAGTGTGAGTGCTGATCTGTGTCCACAGCTTGTGTTATCTGTCGTCGTCGTAAGCTGCGGTGCGATGGCATCAGGCCTCTTTGTGGGAATTGTTCCAGACTTGGTCATGAGTGCGGTTACGATGAGACTCGTCGTAAATCTGGACCTCGTCAAGGTTACGTCAAAGGTCTTGAGAACAGACTTGGTATTTACCATCATCTGCCGCCACTTTCACCAGAGCTAACGATGTGGGTACAGCACAAGTCGAAAAGCTCCTCGAATCGGCGCAAGAACTAAGGATCCAGGACCCACCTCAGCAGAGTGAACACGGTCAGAGCCAGCAACAGCAACAGCAACACCTCCAGTTCAGTGGTATGGTCCCGCAACCACAGATCATGCCTCCGATGCCGCAGCAGCGTGAGATCACCAACTTCATTCCCGGAATGATCCCAATTGGACCGCCGACCAATGCGATGAACGTGGCGACGACAGCTTCCGGTGTCGGCAACGATCTTAATATGACGACGCCTGGACAATGGCAACCAATCGATGGTACGTATAAGCCCAACGATATCTTCAACTCCCTCGATCTCTCCAACAACCGGTTTCAGCTTCCTCAACCCACAATCGCTCAACCGTCCACTCCCGCAATTTCTCAACCACAGATCCCGAACTTGCAAAGCTTCGAGTCGATGTCGAGTGAGGAGGCCGATGCCCAGTTTGACGAGTTGTGGGAGCTGATGCGTATGAACCCACGTGAAGAGGATTTACCCCCGTCCAACCTCATCGACGTCCTCAACCGCCGATTCTGCGACACGATGTGGCACGCAATGCCAATCCTTCACCGAGGACGTTTTCTCTCCCGTCAACTTGTACCACCGGGAGCGAGGCCGGTGTTGGCGTTGAGGTTTGCATGTTGGGCACTTGCGGCTGCGGGGCATGAGGATGTGAGGTTGAACGCGTTGGCGGATGGGTACTATTCCCGTGCGAAACTCGAAATTCATAAACTGGAGACGGGAAGGGAGAGTAAATCGATCTGTGACCTGGGTGTGATCCAGGCGTACACCTACGTCGCCGTCTACGAGATCCACCACGCATACTGGCCTTCCGCATGGATGTCCGTTGGTGCGGCGGCACGGTGTGCGCTCATGATGGGTCTGCATCGTATTGATTCCGGTGAGCCGCTGACGGGAAAAGCACAAAAGACACAGAAGAAGTGGGGGATCCGTGAGGCGGAGGATCAGTCTGAGCTTGAAGAACGTCGTCGTACGTTTTGGGGAGTGTTTGCGCAGGATAGGAAGGTGAGTGTGGGGACTGGGTGGCCGTGTGCGTTGCATGAGAGTGATGTTACCACCAATCTTCCTGTGTCGGAAGCTGAGTGGGAAAGGGATGATATTGGGGAGGAGAGTGAAGGTGAACCACTCTTCCCTCTGCATGTGACGAGTATGAACCAGAAGACAAGTCCGTGGGGTGCATTGCTGAGGGCGAGTGCCCTCTTGGGCAAGATCTCGGAACACATCAATCGTGAGAGTCGAAGCCAATGCATGCCCTACTCCGAACGTCATAAAGCCCTCGACAACCTCATCCAAAACACCCTCTCCTCCCTCCCCCTCCACCTCCGCGTCCTCAACGGTAGCGTCGACCCCCGCGTGCTGTGTCTCAACCTCGGTTTCCTGACATGTGTGATTCACCTCCACGCCGCAGTCCTCGAGACGACGAGTTCGTGTGCGGTCACTTTGGATCGTGAGGGGAGCGTAAGTAGGTGTTACTCCGCCTCAATGGAGATGGCGAATTTATTGAGGTTGACGAAGGACATGCCCATTTCGTTCAACTACATGATCACGAATCGTGGGTTCTCGCTGTACTCTGGTGGGCGCGTCCTCGTCCTCCTGCTTAACGCTTCTAACGAAGCTGGGAACAAGATTGTTCCAGGAATGGGGGTGAGAGACGAAATGCGCGACGCACTCCAGGTCATCCTCGAGAACTTGGGAAAGGAAGCAGCATATTGTTCCATGTCCGGAATGTACGTCGCCCAACTCCAAGCCGAACTCGTCTCCGGATCCCGTCCCGAAGGCGGCTGGTGCGGTGACAAAGTCATTATCGAACCCCAAGACGTCGCTGGCCTTGGCCGTCCCTCCGCTCAGCCTTCAACCCCGCCGGGGTTCCACCACGGCTCAACAACCAATAGCGACGAAAGCATGCCACAAATGAGTGATAGCTCGAGTTCACACGTCCACTCCGCCGACCCATCTCCCCTCCAACAACCAGAATCCTCATTCTTCCCCGATCACAACGACTCCAATGACCCCGCAGTCGGCGTCGGAAGGCGTCGTAGCAGTGCATGGAGCGCTGATCAGGAATGGGAATATGTCACCCAGATGAACCACAACCACAACACTGGCACCGCCGCAATGGGTATGAACATGGGAATGAGTGCGGAGATGGTGATGCAGATGGAGCAATTTCAGATGCAACGTATGATGCAAGCGAGTGCAGGTCAAGGATCACCGGGACCGCAGCCGGTGCAGGGTGCGATGAAGAATGGGATGGGGGATCCTCTTATGGCAATGGGTGGGGAACCGGGGGAGGTTGAGATGTTGGATGAGATCCAGCAGCTGTATTATTAGCTGTCCATTCGCTTGCGATTACCTTTTGGTTGAGAGCTTGTTGAGTTGCGTTTTACGTTTGTTTAAAATACGGTTTCCTCGGTGTATGCATAGGCTTATGCTCTTTTCTTCTTTTTGGATACCGGTACACGTTGGTGTTTAGCAATTGAATCTCTCCTGTCAACAATACCTACATGCCATCCTTCGCAAAGGGGATGCTCGATTAGTAGATAGTATGCTGCCCACTCGTGTATCTGATATGCCTTCCTTTCTCTACGGCTCCATTCTCCTCTGCCAGAATCCCTGTTCAAAGCCCTCATCGATCTCCTGATAGTCCATTGCCCTCCCCGCTACATCTTCTTCCATCCGGACCATTGCTGCAAATCCTTGTTCCGATCCCAACCGATTTTCCAAATCCATCGCGTGTGTACGTGCAAACGGGTTCTCCTCCTCAACCTCCGGCTCAAACCACAAACTCTCCAACACTGGTTCTTCCTCCTGACCCCTCCCTCCATGACCCCCGCCTTGGATCCACTCGCTAGCCTCCGTCTCAATTCGTTCATTCACTGCTCCTTGAAGTTTATCCTGCCAGCTGTCCTGCACCGGCGCGATAAATGAGTGGTACCCGGACTCACCCTCGTCCAGTTCTCCCTCTTCATCACAGGCGAAGGAGAAAGAGCTGGGTGGGAGCTCGGGCGGTTGCTGGATGAAACGGGCAGGTGTTGAGAGTTGTTGATGATGTGTAGCACTCTCGATGCGCTCTAAGATTTGTGAATGAAATTTGTTGGTCCATGTGTCTTTCGCAGCACTCGCTTCGGCAGCAGTATGAGAAAACGCAGCGTACAGCGTGTTAGGTGACTGGCCAATATCCGAAGCGAGCTTTGTAGGTGCAGGGCTTCCATATGTCGCGGAATGGCGAAGCCCGGTCGCCTGTGCTTTTGGGAAGAGCTGCGGAAGCGTAGGTGCCCCTCTCAGCGTAGCATGACCCGAAAGTAAAGTGGGAAGTCCGCCTTGACTTTTACCGCTGAGAAAGCCAGGCTGTACACTCCGGATTAGCCATGTCAGAGCACTAGCTGCCGCAGACAGCGTACCTTCTTCGGCGTACTGGTAGTAACTCTCCCCATTCTTCCTTTGCTTGTCGTGATGGATCCACTTTTCGCTACAGTGTCGACTGTATGCTTCTTAGCCACGCCTCCTCCCCTTTTCCAACCACGCAACAGTGTTTCTATGTCTTCTCTCATCTTCTCGTTCTTCTCGTTCTGCTTTCTTGTTCCACTTCTCCTCTTCCTTCCCATACCCGGAAACATCTGCATGTCATCATCCTCTTCGCAGTCAATAGGAGCAAGGGGTTGGGTTTTCGCCGACCTGTCATCCTCACCAGTCAGCTACGCCATGAGCGTCCCTAAAGCGGGAGATGGACCTAGAATGCGGGATGTATGCGCTCAGTTCGTCAGATACGCTCGTGGCGAGACTCGTGGAATAGCTGTTGTCAGCGAACGAGGAGTCAGTTGTGGACACTTGGAGTGGCATTGGCGCACGTAGTACGCCGTGTGAAAATGCTAGAGCGAGAAAGAAGTGCAGAAAAGAGGTTTGAGGGCCTTGACTGGTTCTTCGAGTCCAGTCGATCGAGATCGTGCAGAGCTCTGGCCTTGGTTGCTCCGGATCCTTCAGTTCGAGCTCAGGGGTGATCGAAACGCGCCAGGAGTTGAGCACACAGACCCAGACACGTGCCAGCTGAGATGAACCTCCGTCCGGACAATGGGTACTGAGTGTATCTGAATGGATTTGTTCTGCTTGACCGTGGCATAAGGATTACGTCTGCAGCCAGGACAGCAAATATCAGCATCTAACGTCCGGGAACATCTAAGTGTGCGAACTATTACAACATTCGCCACGACACACCACTTGATTACGACATCTAGCACGAGAAACCCTCTGTTGTCAGGCTCAAACTACACGGGCATATAGCTACCCCCGGAAAACCTTTGAAGCCTAGGCGTGCTATTTTCCCACGCTCGTGAATGCCGGTCATGATAGATAGACAAATTATTAAAAGAAACCATATAGCCAATTAGAACGGAGTAACGCCATATTACGGGTAAAACTACACGCACAGCCAAGACCTTGCAAAGATATCAAGCGAGCAGAGTAACCACTCCTTCGGTTCCCTTTTCCTTGTCCGCATTATTCCTGCCTTTCCCGTCGGGGATTACGACAACCTGCTCAACCTCCTGTCCATCGAGCTCGATTTCTGCGGCATTAGCCATCTTTCCGAGCTCCTCGAACCGCATGTTCTTCACGTCACCATCCGCAAAGGGGAAAATGGTGGCAAGGCCCCAGTATGTGAAGAAGCTCATGAGGCAAGACACGACCCACCCCAGTTCAAAGACGTGATACATGCCCCCAACGGTGATTGTGCCGAAAGAAGCGATAAAGCCCGGTAACGGCAAAATCCACCCAATGACGTATGCCACAATCGCCCGACAGTTGATTCCATGCCAGTACATATACGCCGACCCCTTCGTGGTATCATACAATTCCTCAACAACTAAATTTCCCCTCCTCACAACGAAATAATCCGCAAACATAATCCCTACAATTGGCGCCATGAAAATCGCATACCCACTCAAGAAGGTCATAAACCCGGTCGCAGTTTGCAACATTTTCCATGGCAAGATACACATACCAATCGCCCAGCAAATCAGCTGACCACGGCGGATATCGATATAGCGAGGGAGCAGGGCGGTGACGTCTGAGCCGAATGGGAGGGAGTTGGACCCGACGTTGATGCCGAGGGATGCGAAGGCGAAGGAGAATGCGACGAAGAAGACACCAGCGCGGGTGCCGGAGGTGTAAGACTCGTCGAGCATTTTGCTCATAAGGTCCCAGACGTTCCAATATACGGCGCCATAGATGTTCGCACTCGCTGAAGCGACGCAGAGTCCGAGGAATCCGACAATGATGTTACTGAGCGGGTATCCGATGAGTTGGCCCATGAGAGCTTCACGTGGGTTCCGGGCGTAGCGGGATAGATCGGGTTGGTTGACGAGGGTTGCGGATGCGTAGCCCATGCCGTTATTCAAGGCGGCAAGGATGGCCCAGGCGAGGGTTGAACCAGAAGCGGTGTTCTTGAACTGGAAGGCGCCACTGCCACCAGAGCGAACGAGAGCCCAAATCCAGAAGCCAATGCAGGCGGGTGGGACGGCGATGGATTTTATGGTGAAGAGGGTTCTGATCTTCGAGGGGTGGATGAACATGAACGGAAGCTCGATGAGCCAGAAGAGGAAGGTTGCGAGGAGGTCTGCGGAGGTGATTCCAGCTGACGCAGGAAGATGGTTCGGAATACGCTCCCACGAGGGTGCGAGACAGCGAAGACAGATGGCGAGACATACACCGCCATAGTACGTCTGTACCCCAAACCAGATAACCGCCACCATAGCTCTCGTCATCACCGCCCAGTAGCTTGCATAGATCCCCCAACTGGCCCTCACCAAGACTGGAAACCCGATGTGATAAACCGACGCTGCACGGCCATTGAGAACTGATACGATCGCAGCCAAAACGTTGCCAATAATGATGGCGATGGTCGCTTGCCACCAAGACAACCCTGTGCCAACCATGGCTGAGCCGAGAGTCCATCCGGACCCGGAGAATGAACCGGACCAGAAGAAAGCAAAGAAATGCCAAGCGCGCCAGGTGCGGCGAAAAGGCGGAGTCGGGTCTAAGTCTTCGTTTGAGAGGGCGACGATTGAGGTGGAGGAGGTGTAGGATGAGTCCTTCACCGTGATAGCGGAGGCGAAGTTGGAGGGGGAGGATAGGGCATGGACGAGCTTCGCCTTTGTTGGAAGGGGATTGTGGAAATGCATCCTGACAAGTGCTATGGAGCCTGATCGGACAAGACCATGCGAGCAAGAGGTCCCTCCATGCCTTTGTAGGACGCAATTACGAACGCTTCAACCGCTGATAGGCTTCTTATCCGAGCACCCACCTCCTGAACGTCATATATGAGTTGCTCGGATCGCTCGGTACCCATTAAAAGAGTCCAGGTCACAACCTCATGGTCAAAATGAGTGCGGTGGACACGTCCACGATTGCGATGTCGATGCGCAATTGCGCATTTCCACCCCACCAGGGTCCGGACCGCTTGATAAACCTGAGACTCACGAAGCCCAGTCCGGAGTAGACTACGCATACCGAGATCTCATTATGGGCCTCTAATTATGATGCTTCCCCATCCATCCGACAGCTACAGGTAGGGACGACGTCGATTGAAAGAACTTCCGATTCGATTCAATGAAGTCGAACTCGAGGACGACCGCTGCCAGTGCATTTGTTCCGGCAAATTACGGCTTGCTCTGAACAACTCGACTATGTTCACGTATAAAAATTGGTCGGATAATTCGTAATAAGGTTTGGTTTATGTGAGTTTACGCAGGAGTCCTGCCGCAACTCACTCAAGTCAGGGAACTCCATGTACGTGAACGCGACAACCTTGACAGTGACGATAGTTACCATAAGGACTGCGAATGCGCCTTCCGTTCGGCTCAGTACTGCGAACAACGAGCCGTATAGTATCCCCATCTATCATCAACCATTCAAACATCCGCACCATGTCTTCATTCCCTATCGCGGGATTGCTCCCCAAAGAGGTAGGCGGGGTTGAGTATGTTATCTTACAAACTGCTAATCCGCGCTTACAGGAGATTCAAGCGACTCAATTTATATCCAAGAACCCCGAACATGACGGTCGAGTTATCACAATTGCTATCCTTGACACTGGTGTGGATCCGTCAGCTCTTGGATTGCAGAGAACCACTGATGGAAAGCCCAAGATCATTGACTTGGTCGATTGTACTGGGAGCGGCGACGTGAAGATGATCGTTGCTGAAAAGAGCGAGAGCGGGAGCCCCAAGTCTTTGACCGGCAAGGAGCTGAAGTTGGGCAGCTGGGAGAACCCGAGCGGGGAATGGCGAGTAGGATTGAAGAGGGCTTGGGAGATTTGGCCAGGACCATTGGTCAATCGTATGAAGAAGGTTTGTCCCGAATCGCCGTGGTGCTTTGCGTACTTACTGATATCGAGCCAAACAGGACCGTAAGGACCGCTTTCTCGAAAAGCATCACGCGCTTCTCTCTGCCGCGAAAGCAGATCTCAGGGCTTTCAATGAGAAGAACACTACGTCGTCTCCAACCATCGCGCGCCAAAAGAACGAGCTTGAGGCGCGCATCAGCTCTCTTGATTCTCTGATTAAGTCATACGACGACGCAGGACCAACGTACGATGTCGTCTCCTTCCACGACGGCAAGACGTGGCGCGTCGTGGTGGACTCTGAATGCTCCAGCGACCTCTCGAAGTACACCCCCCTCGCCCCCTACCGCGAAGGACAGCAATACTCCACCTTCCCCGAACCGACGCTTCTTCCCTACTCCGTCGACGTCTTCGATGAAGGCTCAGTCGTCAGTATCGTTTGCGCGGCCGGTACCCACGGAACCCACGTTGCAGCCATCACCGCCGCATACACCCCCGATACTCCGGAGCGTAACGGTGTCGCACCGGGTGCGCAGATCGTTTCCCTCAAAATCGGTGATACCCGTCTCGGAAGCATGGAAACTCATGCCGGTCTTGTCCGTGCCGCGAACTACCTCTACAAACACCGCGACACAATTCAACTTGCTAACATGTCCTACGGCGAGGCTTCGGGGATTAGCGCGAAGGGACAGTTCGTGGAGGTATTGGCAGATTGGGTCGCCCGGCGCGGAAACTGTGTGTTCGTTACCTCTGCCGGGAATGCTGGTCCGGCGTTGAGTACTGTCGGCGCACCCGGGAATGGAAAGGGTGTGCTGAGCGTCGGCGCTTGGCAGAGTGCTTCGATGCAGAAATCTGAGTATGCGCTTCTTGACGAGGTCCCCGCTGGTGGATTCACCTGGTCGAGTCGTGGACCTACGACGGATGGGCACAGGGGTGTTGATGTCATGGCGCCCGGAGCTGCGATTACCTCTGTTCCGGGGTGGAGTGGTCAGGGAACACAGTTAATGAATGGAACGTCTATGGCTTCACCAAATGCTTGTGGTGGTGTCGCGCTGGTTCTTTCGAGCTTGAAGGCTGAGGGGAAGGAGTGGAAGGCGGCGGGGATTGTTAAGGCTGCGAGGACTACGGCGAAGGATGTTCAGGCTGATTTGAATGCTGGGTTGATTCAGGTTGAGAATATGAGGGAGTATTTGGCGAAGTGGGAAGGTGAGAAGGAGAGGGATGTTGAGTGGGAGGTTTCTGTGGGTAAGGGACGTGGTATCTATCTCAGAGATCCTGAGGAATGTGCCCAGGTTTCGAAGGCACAGGCGACTGTTAAGCCCTTCTTTTTGGAGCATGAGGCTAAGGAGAAGGCTGAGTTGGAGGTTAAGTGTAGGCTTGAGTGTAAAGCGTCCTGGATCAGGGTCCCTAAGTATGTCCTTTTGGCTGGCGTGGGTCGCACATTCGATGTTGAGGTTGATCCGTCGCAATTGGAGAGTGGGTTGCATTTTGAGGAGATTGTTGCCTATGATGCGGATGCGGAGGAGAAGAGGGTCGTGTTCACCATTCCAGTCACCGTGACGAAGCCTGAGGGTGTTCCATTTGCTCCGAAGACGCCTTTGGTCAAATACCACGGGCTTCGATCCGCTCCCGGTTACATCGAGCGTAAGTTTGTCGCTGTACCCTCCGGGGCAACATCCTGCAAGCTCCGAATCACTGCCCGCGATAACCATACCCCCATCAAATTCATCGTGCACTGCTTGCAGATGATAGAGCAAATTCGACATTCGGATACTGAGGCGCACTGGATGTTCACCCTCACCCAGAACGAGCCAATCGAGAAACGCTTCAAGGTTGTTGGTGGGAGGACTATGGAGGTTTGTCTTGCGCAGTTCTGGAATGTTGGGGTTGATGTGGAGGTCGACGTCGACGTTGAGTTCTACGGAATGGGGTTGACGAACGCTGATAGTAAGGTCGTCTTGATCGGTGGAGAGGGCGTGAGGAAGTTGGAGGCCGTTAGTGGTGTGAGGCAAGAGATCTTCAAGCCTACCGCCAAGCTGGAGAAGGTCCGCAAATTCGTCCGGCCTAAGGAGAGCATCATCAGCCCTCTCGGCGAGCGCGATATGTTGCCGAACACGAAGAAGCAATATGAGCTCGTCCTAACCTACCCTTTTAAGCAGACTGAGGCTGGCGATGTGACCGCTTCCATCCCCGCTTGTGGATGGATGTATGACTCCGCCTTTGGTATCTTGATGATGGTCTACGATGCCAACAAGCAGCTCGTTAGCTTCGGGGATGTGTATCGTAAGGGTCACAAACTCGAGAAGGGTGATCACGAGTTTAAGATTCAGATTCGTCATGAGTCATTTGAGGCGCTTGATAAGGTGAAGGATACGGTTCTTACTCTGGAGTGTGGGATGCAGAAGGTCAAGGAGGTTGGCTTGGATGTGTTCGAAGACCAAGTTGATCTGTACAATGGCAGCAAGGCTGCTGATTTCAAGAACTTGAAGTTGAAGATGGGTGAGAGAAAGGTCTTCGTTGTCAACACTGACGTTGCGAAAGATAAGTTGCCAAAAAATGCTGGTCCCGGCGACGTGCTTGTTGGTTCCCTCTCGTTGAACGCTGCAAAGGTTGAGCACGGTGGATATAAGTTGCAATACGTCGTCGCTCCTGATCCCAAGAAGGAAGACAACGGCAACGGTACTGTCAAGAAGAAGGACCCCAAGCTTGTTGACTTGCAGATCGAGATCGTCAGCAAGATCAAGGATGCTGTTGCGAAGGAAGCCTTCCTTGCTTCCCTGCTGAAGGAACATCCCACTTACCTTCCCCTGCTTGTTGCCAAGCTCGATTCGTTGTCTCCCAACTCTGTGCCCGCTGATGACACCAAGAGGAAGCAAGTCAATGAAGCCGCAGACGCGGTAATCAAGCAGATCGACATCGACGCCTTGGCTCGTCACCAGGGCATGAACCGCACTCCTGATGAGGAGAAGACTGAGGAGGAGCGCGAGGCCGACGAAGAGATGTCCAAGAAGAAGGACGCTTTCCTCGCCGCACTCAAGGCCAAGCTCATTGCGTCAACCCCCGAAACCCGCGAAGCAGCCTTCAAAGCCTGGCGTCAATGGGCTCCCGTCGATGCATCCAAATCCGACATGAAGTTTGCCCTGTGTCTCGCTGAGCGTGATATCGCCGAAAAGAGGTACGGTACTGCGCTCAAGACACTCAAGGACGCGGTCGAGGAGAACGGTGTCGTGGCCGGTGAAGACGCTGATAAGGCGCAGGAGCTGAAGGCGAAGGCTTTGAGGGAGTTGGGGTGGGATGTTTGGGTGAGATATGAGGAGGAGTGGGGCGTTGTGAGGAAGCCCCCTGGCGGGTATGCTTTGTTCTGATTTCCGGGAAAGCTGAAAAGTTGCATTGGAGAAATACTTGCATTTGCATAGACCATACCTATATATGCAAGAGGTGCCGGTCATGATCATAGTTTTGGTAAGCGTATCTGAGCTTTTTGGCACCTGAAACCGCGGGAAGACTGGGCCATTTAACACAAAAGGCGATTTTGCCCGTGATATGCAGTTCAACTATTTTGATATTCATGCACACTACCCTATGTCTATTTCTTTCCTTCCAACCACTCCAAGTAAACCCCCGCCAACTCCTCCGGACACTCCTCCGCCAACTGATGTCCCCACGGCAGTTCCTTGTACTCGACCTTTTCAGACACATACTCCATCTGTCTTTTGACTTCTTCGCCGATGAAGTGCTTGCTCCCGATAGCCAACACGGGCATCTTCAGCTTGTTCTTTGAGAATTCCCGGTTCTGATCCCCAGTCTCGAGGGTTGCGCGGTAAATTGAGAGCATGGACCGTAAACCACCGGGGTTTGAGTAACAACGGACGTATTCGTTGATTGCGTCAGGGGTAATAGCAGAGGGGTTCCAGGCTTCATTCTTGATGAAGGAGGAGAAATACTCTCGTTCGTGACCGGTAATGAGAAGCTCCGGGACATCGGGCACAGCGTAGAACCCAACGTGCCAGAGCCAGGTACCGGAGTTGACATGGACTTTGGTGAATGCAGACCAGGATTCGAGGCCGTAGCCGGGGAGGACCATCTCTTGGAACACGAGGCTCTTGACGCGGTTGGGGCATTGTGCGGCGAGTGCATACGCCGCCGCTGCACCCCAATCTTCACCCACGAGATGAAACTTCTCGATTCCCAATTCCGTCATCAAATCTGCAAAGTCCCGCGCGACGGTACCCATGTCATATCCACTCGCGGGATGGCTGCTGTCACCGAGTCCACGCATGTCGGGACAGATGATGCGGTATTTGTGGGAGAGGAGGGGGATGACCTTTCGCCAGTAGTATGACGTTTTGGGGACGCCATGGAGCAGCAGGAGGGCGGGTTTGTCGGAGGAGGAAGGGGAGGTGGAGGTGGTGTAGTAGTGGAGACGGAGTTTTGTGGGGCCGGGGAGGAGGGCGCGGGAGTGGGTAACTGGTTCGCCTTGGTGGTTAAGGATTTCCATTGTGATTTAGTTGTGGAGATGCGATACAATCGAGTTGTTGACGAGGAGAGATCCCGAGGATGAGGTCTTTATAGACGTACGCGTACGGCGGCCCGCACCCCGATCCGACCCGGATGCCGTATTCCCGTCGCAGCTTACGTGATGCGAAACCGTACATCCCTGTACCCCGCAACTGCCGTGCACTCCCGGGACTTGCGATGACTTAATTGTATAGCGTGGCTTCCCTGGTTCATTTGCGTAGCCGGACTTTCAATCTCCGGGGAAAATGAGGTTCCCGGGGGTGTGTGTTCTGGAGATTTGGTGTTCAGTTCGCCCCGGTTAGTAAACGGTACGCCAGCGGTCAAGCCCCCAGTCATGCTCCCCGCATAGCAGCCTTCCGCAGCGAGACGAAAGCTTAACGCAAACGAAACTTCGCTTCCCTGTTTCCGGTCATTGCATCAAGATACGAGTCAATCTCCTGGATACGTGAGACCTGTACGAACCTTTGACGGCTCTCAATTGCACTTGCAAGTCATCTGGGAGCACGAGATCAAGGCGCACACTTTCGACGTCGACTTTCTCCGGGCTCCTCCAAGGAACCCTTAATGATCAACCATGCGTAAATCCGGGACTCTCCGCTTCCCCGCAGATGAATAGGCTACGCGAACGGGTACCGGCCGGGAATACCTACCACAGGTATGTATACATACCGGTAGTGGCTTACTGATCTTTTACCCGGCATAACCGGTTTCTCCACACGCCTCGAGGACGTATACGGCGTCCAATGAGGAAGTGAGAGGCATGGAAGTACTACTCCATGAGCATGTCCGATACGCCTACGGCCATGGAGAGCTCCGCGGAGATGGTTAAGAGTATGGCTCAGCATAAGATCTGATGGAGGAGAGACAAGTCTACCCCGCTTCGCAACTCCACATGGTCCATACGTACGCGACCTCGCAAATTGGAGCGTGCCGATCCGCTCCGCAAGTTGCCGCTCGAGGGATGTCAGACCCCCGCTCCTCCATGAACCAAGAGGTCACCGCACAAGATAAAAGGAGCCTCGTACCCAGCAGAAAAGTCGCAGAACATCAACATCAACTCAGTTATCGAGAACCTTTCAACATGCCTCGAGCAATCTGGCCTCAACTGCCAGGCTCCACCCTCCTAATCCTCATCAATTTCCTCTCAATGACCGCCCTCTTCTTCGAAGGCTACAACCAAGGCGTAATGGGCGGCGTCAACACCGTCCCAAATTACATCGAAAAGATGTCCATCGGCACAAACGGAATCGTAACACGAGCAACCAAACAAGGTGGTATCGTGTGTATCTACTACCTCGGCGCACTGTTTGGGTGTTTCTGGGGAGGGTATCTGGGGGATAAGAGGGGGAGGAGGTTTGGTGTTTGGGCGGGGACGTTGTGGTGTGTTGCTGGTGCTGCGCTTCAGGCTTCGGCGCAGAATTCGAACTGGATGCTTTGTGCGAGGATTATTACGGGTGTTGGAACGGGACATCTTAACGCTATCGTTCCCGTCTGGACTGCGGAAATCTCGAAGTCGCATTCCCGCGGTGCCAGTATCTCGATTGTCTTTTTGGCGAATTACATCGGTATCGCGGTGGCCTACTGGTTGGAGTTCGGGTTGAGGTATTACTCGAACGAGCCCTTCCGCTGGCGCTTCCCGATCGCGTTCCAAATCGTCCCGGCTGCAATTTTGAGCGTGTGTATCTGGCTCGTCCCCGAATCCCCACGTTGGTTGGTCAAGGCCGGACACACCTCCACCGCCGCCCGCGTCCTCGCCAAAATCCGTGGCGACGTATCCCCCACCGCTCCCGAAATCACCGAAGAACTGGCCGAGATCGAGTCCTCTGTCAGCCAAGAAAGCGCGAACGCGAAGGCTACCTCACTCTGGGCCATGGCAATCGGTGCCCACTCGGGCAAACTGCACACAGGCCGTCGTGTTGCGTTGTCTATGGGTATCATGATCATGATGGAATGGACCGGAATCCTCGCGATCACAGTGTACGCAAACACCCTCTTCGGCCAAGCCGGATTCGACCCGACGAAATCCGCATGGCTCGCAGGTCTCGTCAACACCGTCGGAATCCTGGGAACGGGTGCGGCGGCACTCACCATCGACCGTTATGGACGTCGCCCGAGTTTGTTTTTCGGAGCGGTGGTGCAGTGTATTGCACTCGCTCTCACGGGTGGTATGTCTCGTCTCGCTATCGTACAGCCGCATAATGCGTCGGCGTATGGAGCGGCGAGTGCGGCGATGGTGTTCATTTACACCTTCTTCTTCGCCGCCACGTGGTTACAGTGTGCGTTCGTCGTCCCGGCTGAGATCTTCCCAACGTACATGCGCGCAAAGGGCAACTCCTTCGGTGTCGCTGGCTGGGCAATTGGGTGTGCGTGGACGACCCTCGTCATTCCCTCCATGTTTAAAACTCTCGGTGAACGCACTCTGTATTTGTTTGCGGGTTTGAATTTGCTGTGGTTGCCGATTGTGTATTGCTTTTACCCCGAGACTGGAGGGAGGAGTTTGGAGAGTATTGATAGTTTGTTTGCGAGTGAGAGTCCGTTCGTGTGGGATGAGGAGAGGGAGTTTAAGATGATGGTTGAGCAGGGAATGGTCAAGTCGGAGGAGGAGGAGAAGGGTGGGGTTGTTACTGTTGAAAGGGCGGCGTAGTAGATGGACTGCTTTATAATTTGCTATGTGTACGATATGGGGTACGATTCTATACGAGACGAAAAAAATTGATATGGTCTATGATAACTCGTCTTCCACGTCATTCACTGTTTGTAACCCAAGCTTAAGAGCGGAAATCATCCCTTTCGCCGCCCTCTCCCCACTCTCATACGCCCCATTAACCGTTCCCATCCCTCTCCATGTCCCAACATGCTCACCCGCAAACCACATCCGCCCATGTACACATCCGTCCCCTAATACCTCTATATCCTCAACAGCATTCTTGGTGCCGGTGTTGATGTGTGTGTAGGAGCCGCCTCCGGACCAGGTGTCTGATCCCCAACTCGTCTTGAGGATTGCGGTGGGTTTTTGGGTGGGGGAGTAGTTTGGGAGGAGGCGGAGGTACGAATGAATCCACGCATCAAGGTCGGAGTCGGAGAGGGATGAGACATAATGTGCTTGATCCGCCGCTATGTAGAATGCTAGCGCTGGAATATCTGTACCCGTTGGCAACGAAGCGAGTGATAGCATCAACGTCAATACATTCGGTGGCTCGAGAGGTTTGGACGGATCTGGGAGGAAGGCATGGAATGACGGTGGATTTGCCTTCTCTTTGTCCTTTGGGAGCCACCACGCCGAGTCGAATTTCAGGAAAATCTTCTCTAGGACGCCGAAGCCGAGCGAGTCTATAGCTTGCTGTAACCGTGTGGGGAGGCTCGGGGTGATTGTGATCATCTGCTTCTTGAGAACACCAAGAGGTACGGCGATGATGACTGCGTCGAATGCTTCCTTCGTACCTTCCATGGTGGTGATAGTGACAGAATGCGAGCTCGAGGCATCGACATGTGTGATTGGTGTGGAAAGCCGTACGATACCGCCATCGAGAGATGGTTTAGCGATGGCCTCAAGGATTGGCGAGTAAGTCGACGCGAGATACGGTCGCTCTCCCTGTCAAGATATTCAGCTGCCAGCTCCGATCGGCCCGTTGGTTTGAGTCCTACCGGTAACTCCTCTTCCAAGAAATAGTACTTCAAGGACAACCTCCTCACATCCTCCGCACTAAAATTCGTAAAGAACTCCGATAGCAAACAAACCCACCTCTTCTCCTCCTTCGACAAATCCTTGTCCTCCTCGACGTCTTTTTTGGCAAAGTCGAACAAACTCTCATCTGCCCCAATCCTCCCAGAATTCTCCTTGGAGTACGCGATAGCATTATCAGCCACCTCCCACGTCCGTCCAAACAATTTCTCCGATTCCGCCCTGGGCAGCGGAACACTCAATCCATGAGGGTAAACCGCCGCATCTTCCAACGCTGCGAAAATCGCACCAGTCTCCCTCGCGATGGGCGTGATAGGGTTTCCCTCCATCCCATGAATCCAATTCGCTCCTAAACTATCTCATCAGCACAACTTGCCAACTTGCAACGAATCTTGCTTTTTTTCTGGCAACATACCCATATCGACTCTCCACCCATCCTTCTCATACGTATACACCCTCCCTCCAACACGGTCGTTCGCCTCGAAAATCGATACCCGACATGTGGGTGCGTGTTGTAGGATATATGAAGCGGCTCGTAGGCCGGCTACGCCTGCTCCGACGATTGATACGCTCTTCTGTGGTAGTGGTGACATTGACGATGTACGAGCCGTGGGGTTGTAGCCGTGATGTTGTGGGTCTATTTGTTCGTGACGTCACGGCAGACCGTACCGGTGCTCCCGCTTAAAAATGTTGGGAGATCTTTTGTTCGGGATTCAGTTGACATGTTCTTGACAGTTCGCATGTGTAGTGGACCTCGAACGTCGAGCATAAGGCGTTTGCCGTGGGGACAGCAATTGGCGGAGGTTTCCCTGAAGCGGTCAAAACAAAGAGCAAGGAGAAGATAAAATGCCAAAACAGTCCATTTAAACATGCTAAATCCTCTCGTACGCTCAACGCACGCTCAAGAATGTTAATGATATACCTATCCTATCGTACCCACAACTCCACTCCCGCCACAAAAACGACCGCGGTCCGTAAATCTTTTCATGCTTTCAACTCCCATTCACTCCCTTCGAACAGCTCTCGCTTACTCGAACACAATAGCAGCCTTAATGGCAGACTTGTTCTTCATCGAATCCAAACACTCCTGCCACTGCTCAATCTTGAACTGCTTGTTCACGATACCCTCAACCCTAACCTTACCCGAATCCAAGTAGTCGATAGCAGCAGGGAAACAGTATGTCTCGGAGAAAGATCCCAAAATGGTAATCTCATCACCAAAGATCTTGGACGGGGGCCAAGAGACGCGGGCAGCGTTGGAGTAGACACCGTATACGACGAGCTTACCACCACGGCGGACGTAGTTGATGGAGGACTCGAGAATGGCCGCGGATCCGGTGGCTTCGACGACGATGTCGAATCCGTAGGGGTGGTCTTTCTTGATTTGGTCCCATTGGGCGGAAGCGTCGTCGCGGGAGAGGGGGATGTAGACATCAGCAGCATCGAGCTTTTTCGCGAGCTCCATCTTGTTTCCGGCGGGGGCGGCAAGAACGACGTTACATCCTCCATTCTGCTTCAGGAGTTGGGAAAGAACGAGACCGGTGGGTCCAGCGCCGATCATGAGGACGGAGGAACCGAGTTTGGGCGCGATCTTCTCCAACCCGTGTGCGGCGCACGAAGCGGGCTCGAGGAGGGTAGCGTCGACGTTCGAGAGGTTCTTGATCTTGAACACTTTTTGTTGCGGGTAAGCGCAGTATTCCGCGAATGCTCCGTTCATGGTGACGCCGTGTGCCTCGAAATTCTCACAAAGCAACGGCTGGCCTCTACGGCAGTAGAAACAGCTCTCGCACAACTCGGAGTTATCGGCGACGACACGGTCTCCGATGGAGAATTGGGTGACCTTGGGGCCGATGGCGGCGACGGTGCCGACACATTCGTGGCCGGGGACGAGGGGGAACTTTGCGAGGAATTCGCCTTCGTGGATGTGGAGGTCGGTTCCGCAGACACCGCAGGCGGCAACCTTGATGAGGACGTCGGTGGGGCGGAGTTCGGGGAGAGGCAACTCGACAACAGCAAACGACTCGGGCTTGTCGTACTGGAGAGCCTTCATGGTCTTGGGAAGCTGAGGAGCGGACATTTTGATTGTGTGTTGTGGAGCGGGTTGTTGGGAAGAAAGAGGGAAGGGACGGGAGATGTAGTATTTATGGTGGACGGCCGAGCGTGTGATGTACGTGGCTTCACATTTCGATATCGCTGCGGAACTCGATCCGGTTCATTAGACCATCCGCTTGCCAAAGAGGCGCCCTGCTGTGACGTCACCAGCGACAACCCTAATCCCCCTCTCCCACCCGTTGTCCAGGACGGGCTGAATGCTCTTCTTATACCTGGCACGCTCCCCTGCAATGATCGCCCACACAACCGCCGTGGTCCTCCCTTCTTCGCTGTCTCATGCACGTGCATGCACTCGCGTAACGCCGGATTGACGCATCCTCATCCGGAGCGCTTTCCGACGAACCCATGAAGGGGAACCGAAATAGACCCTTGCCTAGGATCTACATGCCCCGTTGATCTTCAGTCGAGCCCAAGGGCCGGGTATGTCTGGTCCCCTCGCAACTGAGAGCTGCAGTGCGGGTTGCAATTGCCAGATTCGGAATGACGGTTGTGGGTATCCTACACACCAAGAACGGGCTAGAAACTGGGTCCGTACGTACGCGTTGGGGAAACGGGATTGGGGTGAGGTTTAGGTACTGGTGAGAGCGGATGCAGGGGATCGCCGTGGGACGTTCGTTTGAGGTGGAGGAAGGTTGAGTCTTGTTGAACTTTGATGTGCACTTGGCATAATGCCGTAGGGCGAGCTCGAGACGCAAACCAGGAACTACATAAGAATTGCTGGCGAGCCGAAGCAACTCAATTGCCGAGATCGATCCGGCGGCGGACCCAGTTGGCTCACTGACGGGTACACATACTCATCTCTCCCAGATCAAAAAAAGGACACTAGAGATATCTCGATCTCGAAAATAACTCACCGTTATGCACATAGTGGACTGTCGCTTTAATTTCTTTGTTGTGCAAGAAACTGCCAAGCATGTCCGCGCAAGCTCCAGCTCGAAACCTTTAACGTTACTATGTATTCGTGATCAGTCCCCGTGTAGCGAATCAATACATCTCCGAGCAACCCAACCAAGGCGTATGGGCATGAGTTCAATAGTCGCTGAGTAAGAGTGCCTGCCGTACGGGGGGTAGGCGTAGGTGTAAGGGGAGATACATATACCCATGAGGCACCCATCTACTGTATATATGTGTAGCCGTGGGAATATTCATGAGACACGGTATTCGGCATGCGACGAGCCTGTCGAACCGTGGTAATTGCGAGTGCATACATGAATAGCTGGCTCTCAGATCTGCGAGGGGCTCGAGAGGGTCGATATGGAAGTTTTCCAGGATGTCGATCGCGAGATCGATTTGCATATGGCTGGATGCATTCAATTGTGCCTCCAGGTTCGCTCGCACGAAACGACACAGACATCCCTGAGATATATAGGGGTTAAGAACTGTGAGATGATGAGGTTCGAGATACATGTAATTAAAGTTACACAGCCTCATGACAGTGTCGACCTCAATACGTAAACGAGAATGGTGGCAGCTGAGGCCCGTAAACACTCTTGGCAAGCCCAACGTCGTTATCTCCTGTTCCCAAATGGTCACAGAGGCGAAACGAAAATCAGACGTTCAATGGAGTGATGACAGGAAGGGGAGTTGAATCGGACCACGGTCGTATTTTGGCGGGAGTGGAGTTGTGGGTGGGTGCGATAGGTATATAATTAACATTTTTGAGCGTGCGGTTGAGCGTACGTGTACGAGACGATTCTAGCATATTCAAATTCATTGTTTTGGGATTCATACAGTATCCTCTGTTCATATGGTAATGATATCGTGCATTCTTCGTAGGTGATCAAGGTACTCCAGCAGCTGTACGTTGGGGGGTTGTTGGGGCTGGGCGGTATAAGATTTGGCGTTCTCGTCTCTTCCACCATCCAACAGCTGCTGTGTGTGGTTTGATATCTCCTACGGTTTCATAGGGGATGTACATATGCGTGGTCGAGAGGACATGACGCAGAGAAAGCTGCTTCGCCTCGACTTGAGCTCATGGACACCATCCACCATAAAGTCATTGAGTGTGAGATCATAGCATGGGCTGAGATTGTTGTTCAGGGTTCGTAGCAATATCGTACGTGGATAAGCACATGTATACCTGTAGACAGCTAGCTGATCAAAGGTACACAGCCTCCGCCCAGCCCCAACTATTGCTGTACAGTATACGTCGACGCAGTGGCATTTGGCAATGGAGGACATCACCTTACATCTGTCCATGACCATGAAGGCGAAGGTCAGACGTTCGTCGAGGCGGAGCCGGACATGTTGCTGATGAATTTCGTCATGGACGCGCGCGAGAGGTGTGAAGCTGCAGCTGAGCCTCGAGCTTCGACGTCGATGTGGCAGAAACTGCTGATGGAATGCTGGGTTGCATTTGCAATTGGCAAAGACGTGGGTTATTCGTGTTCAATCATTGTTAGAATTAATCGAATCGGATGCAGCCTTCCTTAGACGTGTACCACCCAATCGCGTCATCAACCCTGCTTGAGTCGCAGACGATCCTCACACCCTAAAAATAGAACCTCCGATGCTCCGCCCCGGGATCTACCACCCTCCAACCCTCTCCTTCCGACCTCTTCCGATCTCTTGTGCGAGCCTTCCGATGTTCGACTCGAACTTTCACATGTCCCGAATTCCATCGCCATAATCTGCGCACATGTCGCCTTGGCCGTCGCTCTCCCGCCCTAAAGTTAAGGGGGGGGTTACAAGCGATATGATGCACTTATTGTCGATCAACCGCAAATGCCGACGTACTTCGGGTGACGGGGGTTTCGGTTTATCCGCGCGCGTGCACCGTCGTAACCTTCAAGGTAATCGATTGCGATAGGGGAGTTACTTGGCTGCCATCTACAGGTCAATCAGGGAAGTCGGATCCAGGATCGGCGAGGGCGACCCTGAAGCTTGTGCTGCAACGCTGCAATTGCCTCGTATGGTGCCATGAGAGAGGGATTTTGCGACGTCGATACCTTGATTATGCTTGCCAAGGCTGGCAGTTGGATGGATGAGCGAAGGTTGTGTAAGACGATAACAACAGGATGTGCATGAATGTCGTGAGTGCCTTGGATCTCGTATTTGGACGCTGGACGCAGGGATGGACGTGGATGTGGAGATGGTGTGAGTTGAGTGATTCACAAGAGCCGAGGATCGCTGAGGATCAATTGATCTCTCGCTTATACTTAAGCTCGCTTGTCCCATGAGGATGTGGAGAAGGACGAACTTCGAAGTTGAATGAACCTGGGCTGAACAGCTAAGAGCGAACATGAGTGCTACGCAGTTCTTCTCGACGACGCTCGGAATAAAGTGGTCGAAAAGACGGTACCTACTACGCTCCTCTTCCCATACGACACATAACTAACAGGACGGTGATAGGAATGATCAGCTTACTACTGCGGTCGAAAAAGCCCTTACGAACACTCCTGTCAATACCGACAAGGTCAAATCCCACTACTCAGCCCTCCATTCGTACCTCCACTCCCGGCGCTTTATCACTCACCTCCGCTGCGCCATGAACTTCACCCTCGACATCATCTTCATCCTCCCGACGCCCATAAACCACACCCTCGGCGGCCACGCCTTCCTCGTCTCCACGATCGGGAATTACCTCATGCCTTCCGCCGCTGTCGGTGCGCATATTGTCTCCACGGTCATATGTCTCCTGGGCATGCTCCTTGGAATAGCTTATACACATTTGGTGGTGGTGTTTGCGGTCAGTGTTTCCAGTCCGGCGAGTACGGAACGGAAGGTTACGTTGTTTTTGTTGTTGTGTTGCGCTGCTATTGGCGGTGCTTTGACGAGGAGCGTTAGTTCGAGGTGTGTGAGAGGTGTGTCGATCTTTATGTTGATCAATATCTTTGCTTTGACGGAGGCGATTGATGCGAAGACGTATACGTTTGATGTGTTTACGGAGTATGCGTATCCGCTGTCGTGTGGGTTGGCGATCAGTTTGATTACGTCGTTGGTGTTTTTCCCACAGGACTCGTCGGTGACGCTGAGGAAGAACGTCGCCTCGACCCTCAACCTCACCGCAACAGGGTTCAAGGATGTCATCGAAACCCTCTTCGACGCCGACACAGAGCGCGAAGTCGGTGACATTGCACAAACCCGTCGATCATATGCCACATTACGGACAACGATGTACGAAGTCGGTTTACAACTCATCTTCTCTCGCGTTGACCCAGCGTCTGTCTCCAAACTCAAGAAACCCCTCGGAGACTGCGTCGAAGCACTTGCCGGGCTACATTCCTCCCTCAACACCCTCAAACTACGACGATCCGAAGGCCAATTCACGAATCCATGGCAAGACTCCACTTCGAAAACACAGCTACGAATGGACCTGGACTGTCTCGCCCGCAAACTGGCGCGAAGGAAGGAGGATGTGATTACAGCAACTTCCTTCGCTTCCCAAACCCTCAAGAAATCCGCCGAGTTGATCGATGCTGCGTTCGACTCGTACCCGACCCCTTCCGCGACTCTGACTTTCGAACTCGCATCATATACGAATGAACTCACCCAACTCTCACGCGCGCTGCTAAAGCATACCGCATCCTGCTACGGTCCCATGCTCGAACAAGCCTTCGCGGAGCATGCGGTCGAGGATGTCCGTGCATTCTGCGAGGGTGCACGAAGGGTGGCGGAGGTCGCGATGGGTGTCGTGGAGGGGTTGGGAAAGAGGCGGACGGTGCGAAGAGTATGGTTGCCGCAGAAATTAAGAGAGGCGGGGGGTGCGATTCGTGAGTTCTGTGGGGCGGATATGGGCGCCGTCATGGATCGGTGGTCAAAGACTCCTCTGCGGCGGGGTTCGGCTGTCTCGAACGCCTCGACAGTCACCGTCGTCGAAGTCGAACCTTTCGTCCCACTCCCCTTTCGGTATTGGTTGTCGGAACTCTTGAGCAAGTTCCGGAGAAGCCGACACACACAATACACCTTCAAATTCTTCATCGTGATCGCAATGATCGCAGCACCAGCCTACATCCACGATTGGCGATACTGGTACCACGACTACCGTGGTCAATGGAGTGCAATCGGTGCGATTATATGTATGGAGGCAAGTCACGGTATGACAACCCGAAACTGTCTCTTCTCAATCCTCGGAGCCCTCGTCGGGTCAACCCTCGGGTACGCCGTCTCCAAACTCGGCGAACTCGCACAGTCTTACGTCCTGGTCGGTGCACTCTCTGCACCCTGTGGACTGGGACTGTATTACTTCATCCTTGACCCGGTTTGGGCAAAGGGTAGTTTGGTGAGTGCGATTGCGTTTAGTGTCGTTGTGGGCGTGTCGAGGACGAGTGCAGATGCGGGGTTGAGTGTGGAGGGGATTTGGGCGAGGAGGGCGGTTGCGCTGAGTCTTGGGCTGAGTATTGCGTTTGGGGTGTTTACGTTGGTTATGCCGCAGAGGGCGAGACATGAGTTGTTGACGACGGCGTGTCGAACACTTGATAGTTTGTCGCAGTTGTTTTCGGTTACGGCGCCGCAGGGGGATGAGGATTTGTCGATTTCCCCGGCGAAGGTTGAGAGGATCTCGAGTGTGGTGAAAGAAAGTCTTGCGTTCTCGGGGACCTTGTTGGAGGCGACGCGGTATGAACCGAGTTTGAGGGGTGGGTTTCCGAGGGAGGGGTGGAAGAGGGTATTGGGGAAAATGAGGTTGGTGTATGAGTTGAGGACGAAGATGGATCTGGACTGTCCGAGTTATGAGGAGAGGAATCAGTTGGTATGTCTTTTTACCCTTTTCCTTCTGTGTGTTTTGATTGCTGACTGGGATCGTAGTTACTTGCGTTCTCACAGGATTTCCTGTTGTTGTCCCACTCTCTCCACACCAAACAGCCATTACCGTGGAACCACCAACCCCTCGTCACCCACGCCTACAATGCCTACATCTCCGCCCTCCGTGAAGGTCGTCAAGGCTGCGCATGCCGTACCGCCGAAATCGAAGTCTTCCAAGAAATCATCGACCAAATCTCACTCCTCAACCGTGATGTAGCCTCGATATTGCAGGAAGCGCTGAACCCGTTGAGTCAGGGGTGTTTGCCGCTGCATGATAAGACGCCGAGGATGATGTCGACGGTTAGTACTGCTGTTGGGACGGCGGTGAATTCGAGGAGGGAATCGAGGGTGCATAGTTCGCAGGATTTGATGACGTTGGGGAGGTTGTCACAAGTACAATCACAGTCACGGCAGGGGTCTAGAGCTACGTTGGCGAGTGGAGACGATGAGGGTTATGAGCTACAGGAACGGTCTCCGATGGGTAGTTGCTGTGGGAGCGGGAGTGGGAGTGTACAGGTTTCGACGCCGACGGTGGAGGTGCCGCCCCGTGTGAAAGTTAGCAGGCCGGCGCGGACAGTGAGTTTTGATCCGTCGGCAAATAAAGGGCAGGGAATGTAGATTAGATTAACGCAACTTGGACTTTAAAATACAAAGTTGACAGCTCCACACGTGACCACCGCGCACAGACCACCCTCTCCCGGGTCGATCTGATCTTCCGCGCGTGGCTCGTTCTTCGGAGCATGGCTGGTTAGCGCCTTTGGCAGCGGCCCAACTGAAAGACGAATTCGCTTCCCAATGCGGCGGCCCACAACAAAGCGAGGAAAACCGTACATGGGGGTGACCTGAGACCTAAACCGCTTGTTGGGCCGCGACAAGGATTAAGACAAAGCCTAAGTGGACGGCGCATCTGTTTATATAAGAGATCAACCCAGCTGTTGGACGACAAGAAGAAGGATCATTGATTTGCTGAGAGTTTCTACGACGAGATGTCTCACGGAAAGCAAACGCCTGTTTTCCCACAACCGTCAATCAAGGAGTTGAGAAAGGCGCACAAAGAGAAAGAAAAGGCCGCGAAAGCTCAAGCTGCTAGACTCACCGTCGGTACCACCGCTGCCGCTGCCGTCGTCGCAGATGCTCTCCAACCACCACCACCACCACCCCGGTCAAGACAAGGATCTGCGGTAGCATCGGTTAAGGCGCCTTCGGCTGTGATCAGCGAGAAGGAAATTTCCTCTCGCTCTAGGACGTCGTCGTCTGCGCCGGTTGCACCCCGTGGCTTTTCGCCTGTCAGACAGAAGGGCTCCTCACGCGGCCGTCGCGCACTCTGCATCACCCTCGCCTTCCTCATCGCCCTTGGAGTCGGCCTCGGCGTCGGTCTCGGCATTGGGTTGAAGAAGAAGGGATCAGACAACAAAATCACGATCTCGGACATTAATAGTGCCGCGGCGATTAATTATACACTGAGCAGGAACTATACCGGCCAGAATTTCTTTGATGAGTGGAATTTCGAGACGATTACGGATCCGACGCATGGGTTTGTTAACTATGTTGATCGGAGTACGGCGTTCAAGTCGAACTTGACCTACATCAAGAACGGGACCGCGTACATCCACGCGGACTCCACCACCAACCTCACCGCCACCAACACCGTCGGCCGTCCCTCTGTGCGTATCTCGACCACAGACGCCTTCACGCATGGCTTGTTCATGTTGAATTTGACGCACATGCCCGTTGGCTGTGGAACCTGGCCAGCATTTTGGACGACCTCGACGACGGGGTGGCCAAACTTCGGCGAAATCGACGTCCTCGAAGGCGTAAACTACGACCCCTGGAACTCAATGACGCTCCACACCAAAAAGGGGTGCGCAATCGATAACACAACGTACGTGGGCGATTACACCGGAATCCTCCAATCCACCGACTGCTACGTCGACTCACCCCTCCAAGGCTCGAACCAAGGCTGTGGAATCTCGGACCGGAGCAACGCGAGTTTTGGGCTCGGTTTGAATAACGCAAAGGGCGCCATCTTCGTAATGGAATGGCGCTCAGAATGGATAAAAGTCTGGCAATTTCCACACGGGACCGAACCCTCCGATCTCCTCTCCCCATCCCCTAACCCCCTCTCCTGGTCCACCCGACCTCGCGCATTCTTCCCCGGGCTGGAGTGCACGGTTGATGAGTTTTTCAGTGATCACGTTATTGTTATCAATCTGGCGCTTTGTGGGGATTGGGCGGCGGGGAGTTATCCGTATTCGGGGTGTCCGGGGACTTGTGAGGAGTATGTGAGGTATAATCCGGGAGGGTTTAAGGAGGCTTATTGGGGGATTAATGGGGTTAAGGTTTGGCAGGGGCCGGAGGCGACCATCAAGAGCATTGGGTCGACTGGGGCGACTGATTAGGGGGGTGTAGAGTGAGGCAGGGAGAGAGAGAGGAGGGGGCGGAGGGGCATGGCTATACACGTATTTGAAACCTTTTACGACTTAGGATTAATCATGTTATCATCATAGAAGAACGTGAACGGACCACATCATCAACCGTATTTATGCTGTGAATGTTTGTTTAAGCAACGTATCATAATGTCGATAAGAAACACGTTCCCCGCGCTCAGCACGCTGTATGACTCTCCATCAAACCAATCACATCCGTCTCCACAAAGATTCCCTCATTATTGTTCTTTCCGATCGAGATAACACACAAATCATCGAGGAACCCATGGCCGGGCGCATAGTCGACAAGATTTGGGTCTCGTGGAAAGAAGTCGTGGCTCATGACGTAGAGGGTGTCGATGGAATCAGTGGCACCGACTGCCCATGAATCAACAGTCAGCAGAAGGACGACAAGAGAAAAATAACATAGGGAAGGGATTTACCAAATGTCAGGGGCGGCGACATAGAAACGTAGTCGAACGGCGGTGTCGACTTGAGCGTGATAACCCTCCTCTCGTACTGTCCGGGTATCCCAAACTTCCAATGTGCGAATCCGGTCAACACCGTATTTTCCGGCGTCGGCTTACATTCTCCTCGGTTACACAGTGTGAGAGGAATGAAGTTCCCTGTCTGGTGAGGGAGGAGCATATCACTCGCATTCCTGATATCGGTGAAGCAGTTACTCGTCGTCTTGTCTTGATGAAGTGGCGTGAGTACCAATTGCCTCTTCTCCGTATCATAACCCCCCAGTGACCAAACTTTTCTCGGTGCGAGATCGGTATGAACGTACAATTCTTCACCAACAGCAATGAGAGCCCAATTCTTCTCTAACCCACCCTGTCCCTCCCAGTAAAGGGGGAAATGATGTCGCAACCGTACTGGATGCGCATCATTCCATCCAATCCTCTCCAGAGCCTCGTTCAGTTCTGGCATGACAACCCTCGCATCAACCAGATAAATCTGGCGACACAAATCGTCTCTACTCCCCGGAGAATTGTAAGTGAGCAGTGGTTCCCCGAGTGCGGACCAGAAGAGTCGGGCATCTTCGGGACCGGGAATATGGCGGAACCACCATCCGGCCGCGGGGACACAGCCTCGGATTACGTTTGAGGTTGAGCGGATGAGGGGAAGGATTGTGGTTTGGGTTGTGTTGTAGAGGATGTTTAGGTCGGGGGGCCAGGCGTGGGTATTGTGGGTTGGGTCGTCTTCAAGAAGAGCACTATGGCGAGAACTGGTTAGCAGGTATGTTTGGGGGGGTGAGGCAGAGGTTGACGTACGCCAAGATGTCACGAAGGTCGATATCCACCGGCTGCCCCTCAATATCCTGCACAATCCTCGTATCATACTGGCTCCTCGCAACAGTAACATACAATGCCCCCGTCCCGGGCGGCATCCGTAGAATGCTCGGATTATGATGTCCAATCCCTAACTCAACGAGGCCATGAGCACCCCATGGATGCTTCCGTGAGACGATAGGAAGGACGTCTCTCTTGGGTCCGGAGGGGAGGGGGAAGGTGTGTTGACTGCGGCGGTGGAGGGAGGTGGGGCGGACGAGGGAGGATGCGGACTTGGATTTGAAGATGTTGATGAGGGTGAGGAGGAGGGCTGCGAGGACGAGGAGGTAGCCCATGAGGAAGCGGAGGTGACGGAGACTGGGGAGCATGCTGGGTGCGACGCTGACCATGCTGGAGTCAGGATTTTGAGCGCAGCTTCTGGTTTGGGTCTTTGCCAAGTTTCGGATTCCAGAGAACGGAGGCAATTATCAAAAACGTTGCTGCGGCAACGTGTCGGGTTCCCTCTCGATGGGGTTTTGACATACTTCGTCGGTCTCCTAATTTCTCACCGCCTCCAGATGGAAAGTAGCGGCATGACTTACCCGCTCCACCCATGCTTATTTCCCTCTTAAAGACTATCTTGCGTCTCGTTTTGGACCATGTCCCGCCGCCGGAGAACGGAGGAAGTTTTAGTGTTCTTCCCTCCCGAAAACACTTCCTGTTCGATATCGCCGTCTCCCTCGAAACAGGTATGTAACATCGGAGAGAACTCATACGCGTCGCGGCTCAGCTCCATAATGAACAAGTCAGGCAATCCAGCGTTTAAACGCGCTAGTCCCCACTATTTCATTTTCCCGCTATGTTTTCATAGAACTTCGAGCCGTCCCCCACGTGCAGCTGCAGGACGACGTTCGTTTCTCCGAAACCGGCACGGAACCTTCACCCACATACCTTACGCCGCGAGACACGGCTGGATATCGGATACAGTATCGGTTGAAACCTTCGTTTAAGAAATATTTAGCGATGGCAGTCAGTTACGCTTAGGACTCTTCGGACGTGGGCCGTGAGTAATATGAGAGGAAGCCATGTCGTATTGCATGATATGGGGCAGTCGGTGCTTAGGTACTCCGTCTCGGCATCCTGATCGTTACTCTCTGCGATTGGGGTGAGACACTTGTTACGATCTGATGGATCGCGGTTGGGTACCCGACCCGTTCTGGTGCCTTGTTGGACCGATACTTCGATAGGAGAGCGAGGAGGAGCTGATCAGCTGTTGACATGTTGGGCCGGTACTTCGGATATGGGCATCGATTGACGACTTCGTTCACCCCAGACAAGGCTTTGTAGGACCTGTGCAGGAACCCTCTTACTCTCTCCGAGTACACTACGACGGAGGGCCTGTACGGCGCCAGGTCGACACCACCACGACGCAACATGGTTGCTCTACTACGCACATATGGAGCCATCCACCGAGCAGTACGCAAAGAATTCGTGGCGAGGAGACGTCTGCTAGTCGTTCTCGTCCTGCTCTGCATCACCTGGCTGGTCTATTGCTCCGTCAACTCTTCAATAATGGAGGCTATGTCGACGTTCCAGGAGCCTACGGTCACAATGATAGCGCCTATACGTGCGCACCAGCCCGAACATCGTCTAACAAACTTCGCCTTCGCTGTCAAGATTGGACGAGAGACCTTCTCCGAACGACTACCCCTCCAGTTCCAGACCTTTCTTCCACGAATCGATAACTACATCTTTATCTCGGATCATGAGGGACAACTTGGTGGAACGCCAATCTTCGATTGCTACACCACCATCTACGACGACGCACTCGACCAAATCCTGAGCACCGGATCAAAACCGCAGTTCCCGTTACCTCAACGTCCAGAGCGAGAGCCCGGTTGGGATCGCGATGCGCACAAGAACCTCCCCGGCTTCAAACACCTCTACGACTCCTTCCCCGATGCGGAGTGGTACATGATGATTGACGAAGACACCTATGTCTTCACACAGAACTTGTACGACATCACCTCCGGCTTAAACTCCTCCGATCCCGTTCATATGGGCTGGGCAATGGGATTCCCACCTTGTGGGGTAAACGACAAACTCTCGCTCGAGGAACACCCAAACATGTACCAGGGCGGCTCCGGAATCCTTCTCTCGCGCAGCGCCCTCAAAATCTTGTACCCACACATTGACCAATGTATCCTCAAAAGCTGGGATTGTGGATGTGGTGATTACCGCACCGCACTTTGCTTGCACGACGTCGGATTGACACCAGATTGGCCACGTCACCCCTACGGATACCACGTCCACGACTTCGGGCAGGGAGAGCAAGGGTGGCCTTCGGATCCCTGTGTAAGACCGGTGACGGGTCACCATATGCGTGGAAAACACTTTCAAGAAGCATACCGCGCCGAACTCGCTGCCCCCCACGGACATGTAACCTTCGCGAACCTCTACGCCGTACACCATGGCGGCGCCCGCGACATCACCGAACGCGATATCGACTACGTGACCGACATGGGACTCGCCGGCTGGGGCGAAGTCGAGGATGCGAGGGAGTGTAGGGAGATGTGTCTACTGGAGCCCGAATGTAAAGCGTGGACATTCCAGGAGGAGACGGGTGAGTGTTTTTTGAAGTATGAGGGTGGCATGAGGTATGGTAGGAAGGAGGGGTACGTTAGTGGGATGTTGGGGGAGAGGTATAGGTGTGAAGAGCCGATGAGGTTCACGACGGAGAGGTGGCAGTTCTTGAGGTATGATGGTGAGGGAAACCTTATTTAATAGCGCTATCATAATCCCAACATAATCTATGTCGTATATGCAATGCTCAACTAATGCCCCGTCCTGGCCATACGTTCCTCCACTTCACCACCGCGAACATTACGTTGCCGGAAAGTGGAAAAGAAGCACAGGCGTTTCTATGTCCAATCGACCTTCACCTCTTTGCGTGGCAACTTGTCCGGAGAGGCACCACCTTCAAATTGCTTCGGGATCCTTCCGTTCACAGAGCGTGCCACGCCCAGTTCCGAGACCGTAGGAGCAAGCACGAACACGTTTCTAACCGTGAGAAAGGGATATTCAAATGGCACTCAAGGCGTGGAGTCTTCAACATGGAGGGTAAAAGTTGGTATTAATACAAAAAAAGAAGCTACCTTTCAAAATATCTCCTCTGCCCGTCTAGGAGTCCTAAACAAAGTGATGAAGCTCCGCCCAACTCCTCCCAAACACTGAATAATCATCATAGTGCACCGAAGGGAGTATTTGTTGATATATGGACGGAAAGGTCGAGTGAAAAGCCCAAGAGAAGGGGCAGACGTAACGTGAAGTAATCAAGGACTGCGGCGCTCGAAGGCTGCTCAAAGGCTGCTCAAAGGCTGCGACCATGGAAGGTGAACTGAAAATCATCAAGTCAGCGCTGTATTCAATTGGATACAGAGGTGACATACCCCTCCGCGCTTGTTCAACGTCTCACGCTCGGCCTCTGCATCACGCTTCCAGTGCTTGGAATCCCCACCGTGCTTGGAATCCCCACCGTGCTTGGAATCCCCACCGTGCTTGGAATCCCCACCGTGCTTGGAATCCCACGTGCTTGGAATCCCACGTGCTTGGAATCCCACGTGCTTGGAATCCCACGTGCTTGGAATCCCACGTGCTTGGAATCCCACGTGC